CCAGAACCTAAGCCTGATGCACCCTTCGTCACCAATTTAATTCTCACTTTTTAAATATTGAAGAAAAAATATATCATAAAATAGTTAATTAGAAGGAAAAAATGAAGAAAAAAGATGAAACAATAAGATTAATTAATTAATTAATAATAAAAGTAAAAAATATGAAAATCAAAGGATGAACTAAATAAATTAACAAAGAAAGAACAAAAAAAAGCAAGCACAATAAAAAGAAAAAGAAAAAAGAGCTTTATTGTTTTTAATTAGTTTTAAAAATTAAAAATATCACAATCCAAAACAAATAAACTGTTTATACCGAAGGTCAAGTGTCAAATTTGAGAGATTAATGCAATTTGCTAAACCTGAACCTAAGCCTGATGCACCCATTGCACCAATTTAATTGTTACTTTTTAAATATTGAAGAAAAAATATATCATAAAATAGTTAATGAGATGGAAAAAATGAAGAAAAAATATGAAATAATAAGATTAATTAATTAATAATAAAAATAAAAAATTTGAAAATAAAAAGATGAGCTAAATAAATTAACAAAGAAAAAACAAAAAAAAGCACAATAAAAATAAAAAGTAAAAACAAAAAAGAGCTTTATTGTATTTAATTAGTTTATATAATTCAAAATATCACAATCCAAAACAAATAAACTGTTTTTACCGAAGGTTAAGTGTCAAATTTGAGAGATTAATGCAATTTGCTAAACCAGAATCTAAGCCTGATACACCTTCGTCACCAATTTAATTACCACTTTTTAAATATTGAAGAAAAAATATATCATAAAATAGTTAACTAGAAGGAAAAAATGAAGAAAAAAGATGAAATAATAAGATTAATTAATTAATAATAAAAGTAAAAAATATGAAAATCAAAGGATGAGCTAAATAAATTAACAAAGAAAGAACAAAAAAAAGCAAGCACAATAAAAAGAAAAAAGAGTTTTATTGTTTTTAATTAGTTTTTATAATTCAAAATATCGCAATCCAAAACAAATAAACTGTTTTTACCTAAGGTGAAGTGTCAAATTTGAGAGATTAATGCAATTTGATAAACCAGAACCTAAGCCTGATGCACCCATTGCACCAATTTAATTACAACTTTTTAAATATTGAAGAAAAAATATATCATAAAATAGTTAATTAGAAGAAAAAAATGAAGAAAAAATATGAAATAATAAGATTAATTAATTAATAATGAATAATAAAAGTAAATAATTTGAAAATCAAAGGATGAGCTAAATAAATTAACAAAGAAAGAACAAAAAAAGCAAGCACAATAAAAAGAAAAAAGAGCTTTATTGTTTTTAATTAGTTTTTATAATTCAAAATATCACAATCCAAAACAAATAAATTGTTTTTACTAAAGTTCAAGTGTCAAATTTGAGAGATTAATGCAATTTGCTAAACCAGAACCTAAGCCTGATGCACCTTCGTCACCAATTTAATTCTCACTTTTTAAATATTGAATAAAAAATATATCATAAAATAGTTAATTAGAAGGAAAAAATGAATAAAAAAGATGAAATAATAAGATTAATTAATTAATAATAAAAGTAAAAAATATGAAAATCAAAGGATGAGCTAAATAAATTAACAAAGAAAGAACAAAAAAAAGCAAGCACAATAAAAAGAAAAAGAAAAAGAAAAAAGAGCTTTATTGTTTTTAATTAGTTTTTATAATTCAAAATATCACAATCCAAAACAAATAAACTGTTTTTACCTAAGTTCAAGTGTCAAATTTAAGAGATTAATGCAATTTGATAAACCAAAACCTAAGCCTGATGCACCATCGTCACCAATTTAATTCTAACTTTTTAAATATTGAAGAAAAAATATATCATAAAATAGTTAATTAGAAGGAAAAAATGAAGAAAAAAGATGAAATAATAGGATTAATTAATTAATAATAAAAGTAAATAATTTGAAAATCAAAGGATCAACTAAATAAATTAACAAAGAAAGAATAAAAAAAAGCAAGCACAATAAAAAGAAAAAAGAGCTTTATTGTTTTTAATTAGTTTTAAAAATTAAAAATATCACAATCCAAAACAAATAAACTGTTTTTACCCAAGTTCAAGTGTCAAATTTGAGAGATTAATGCAATTTGCTAAACCAGAACCTAAGCCTAATGCACCCATTGTACCAATTTAATTACCACTTTTTAAATATTGAATAAAAAATATATCATAAAATAGTTAATTAGAAGGAAAAAATTAAGAAAAAAGATGAAATAATAAGATTAATTAATTAATAATAAAAGTAAAAAATATGAAAATCAAAGGATGAGCTAAATAAATTAACAAAGAAAGAACAAAAAAAAGCAAGCACAATAAAAAGAAAAAAGAGCTTTATTGTTTTTAATTAGTTTTTATAATTCAAAATATCACAATCCAAAACAAATAAATTGTTTTTACTCAAGTTTAAGTGTAAAATTTGAGAGATTAATGCAATTTGCTAAACCAGAACCTAAGCCTGATGCGCCTTCGTCACCAATTTAATTATCACTTTTTAAATATTGAAGAAAAAAATATATCATAAAATAGTTAATTAGAAGGAAAAAATGAACAAAAAAGATGAAATAGTAAGATTAATTAATGAGCTAAATAAATTAACAAAGAAAGAACAAAAAAAGCAAGCACAATAAAAAGAAAAAACAAAAAAGAGCTTTATTGTTTTTAATTAGTTTTTCTAATTCAAAATATCATTATCCAAAACAAATAAACTGTTTTTACCTAAGTTCAAGTGTCAAATTTGAGAGATTAATGCAATTTGATAAACCAGAACCTAAGCCTGATGCACCCATTGCACCAATTTAATTGAAACTTTTTAAATATTGAAGAAAAAATATATCATAAAATAGTTAATTAGAAGGAAAAAATGAAGAAAAAAGATGAAATAATAAGATTAATTAATTAATAATAAAAGTAAAAAATATGAAAATCAAAGGATGAGCTAAATAAATTAACAAAGAAAGAACAAAAAAAAGCAAGCACAATAAAAAGAAAAAGAAAAAAAAAAAAGAGCTTTATTGTTTTTAATTAGTTTTTATAATTCAAAATATCACAATCCAAAACAAATAAACTGTTTTTACTAAAGTTCAAGTGTCAAATTTGAGAGATTAATGCAATTTGCTAAACCTGAACCTAAGCCTGATGCACCCATTGCACCAATTTAATTGTAACTTTTTAAATATTGAAGAAAAAATATATCATAAAATAGTTAATTAGAAGGAAAAAATGAAGAAAAAAGATGAAATAATAAGATTAATTAATTAATAATAAAAGTAAAAAATATGAAAATCAAAGGATGAGCTAAATAAATTAACAAAGAAAGAATAAAAAAAAGCAAGCACAATAAAAAGAAAAAGAAAAAGAAAAAGAAAAAAGAGCTTTATTGTTTTTAATTAGTTTTAAAAATTAAAAATATCACAATCCAAAACAAATAAACTGTTTATACCGAAGGCCAAGTGTCAAATTTGAGAGATTAATGCAATTTGATAAACCAGAACCTAAGCCTGATGCACCATCGTCACCAATTTAATTCTCACTTTTTAAATATTGAAGAAAAAATATATTATAAAATAGTTAATTAGAAGGAAAAAATGAACAAAAAAGATGAAATAATAGGATTAATTAATTAATAATAAAAGTAAATAATTTGAAAATCAAAGGATGAACTAAATAAATTAAAAAAGAAAGAATAAAAAAAAGCAAGCACAATAAAAAGAAAAAGAAAAAAGATCTTTATTGTTTTTAATTAGTTTTAAAAATTGAAAATATCACAATCCAAAACAAATAAACTGTTTTTACCCAAGTTCAAGTGTCAAATTTGAGAGATTAATGCAATTTGCTAAACCAGAACCTAAGCCTGATGCACCTTTGTTACCAATTTAATTCTCACTTTTTAAATATTGAAGAAAAAATATATCATAAAATAGTTAATTAGAAGGAAAAAATTAAGAAAAAAGATGAAATAATAAGATTAATTAATTAATAATAAAAGTAAAAAATATGAAAATCAAAGGATGAGCTAAATAAATTAACAAAGAAAGAACAAAAAAAAGCAAGCACAATAAAAAGAAAAAAGAGCTTTATTGTTTTTAATTAGTTTTTATAATTCAAAATATCACAATCCAAAACAAATAAATTGTTTTTACTCAAGTTTAAGTGTAAAATTTGAGAGATTAATGCAATTTGCTAAACCAGAACCTAAGCCTGATGCGCCTTCGTCACCAATTTAATTATCACTTTTTAAATATTGAAGAAAAAATATATCATAAAATAGTTAATTAGAAGGAAAAAATGAACAAAAAAGATGAAATAGTAAGATTAATTAATGAGCTAAATAAATTAACAAAGAAAGAACAAAAAAAGCAAGCACAATATAAAGAAAAAAGAGCTTTATTGTTTTTAATTAGTTTTTCTAATTCAAAATATCATAATCCAAAACAAATAAACTGTTTTTACCGAAGGTTAAGTGTCAAATTTGAGAGATTAATGCAATTTGCTAAACCAGAATCTAAGCCTGATGCACCCATTGCACCAATTTAATTGAAACTTTTTAAATATTGAAGAAAAAATATATCATAAAATAGTTAATTAGAAGGAAAAAATGAAGAAAAAAGATGAAATAATAAGATTAATTAATTAATAATAAAAGTAAAAAATATGAAAATCAAAGGATGAGCTAAATAAATTAACAAAGAAAGAACAAAAAAAAGCAAGCACAATAAAAAGAAAAAAGAGTTTTATTGTTTTTAATTAGTTTTTATAATTCAAAATATCGCAATCCAAAACAAATAAACTGTTTTTACCTAAGGTGAAGTGTCAAATTTGAGAGATTAATGCAATTTGATAAACCAGAACCTAAGCCTGATGCACCCATTGCACCAATTTAATTGTTACTTTTTAAATATTGAAGAAAAAATATATCATAAAATAGTTAATTAGAAGGAAAAAATGAAGAAAAAAGATGAAATAATAAGATTAATTAATTAATAATAATAGTAAAAAATATGAAAATCAAAGGATGAGCTAAATAAATTAACAAAGAAAGAACAAAAAAAAGCAAGCACAATAAAAAGAAAAAAGAGCTTTATTGTTTTTAATTAGTTTTTATAATTCAAAATATCACAATCCAAAACAAATAAATTGTTTTTACTAAAGTTCAAGTGTCAAATTTGAGAGATTAATGCAATTTGCTAAACCAGAACCTAAGCCTGATGCATCTTCGTCACCAATTTAATTACCACTTTTTAAATATTGAAGAAAAAATATATCATAAAATAGTTAATTAGAAGGAAAAAATGAAGAAAAAATATGAAATAATAAGATTAATTAATTAAGAGAAATTAATTTATTCAAATAAATTTAATTTTTAAATTTTTTTATTTTTTATAAGATAATTATGAACTTACAAAAATAAATCTGATATTTATAAATTTAAAACAATAATAAAATCTATAAAAACAAAAGATAATGTAAACCCATTAAGTGTAATTATAAGATTTAGCTGAAACTAAAACTACTAAATAAACTATTTTGATATTATTCGTGTACATATTACCTTAGGGTATTTATATAAAAGAGGTTAAAAATACTTTTTTAAAATATTATTTAATAAAAAATGTTATATTCAATTATTCATCGCTTTTTCGCAATTGTTTATCATCAGAATCTTATTTCAAAGGCTACTAATCTTTTTGATTTAAGGAAATTGCTTTTTACTAAGAATTTTTATGATTCATTAATTTAGTTAAATCTTTTATTATAAATTTGTGTAAATTTTAAATAAATATTAAGTAAAATAAATTTTTAAATTAAATAACATTAGTCGAATAAAAAAGATAAAAAAAATATATCAAATAAAAGCTATCAAATAAATTAAAAGAACTTTATTCTTTTATATTTATTTTTATAGTTAAAAATAAACAATCCAAAGCAAATAAACTGTTTCTACCTAAGATTAAGTGTTAAATTTGAGAGATTAGCACACTTTGCTAAAGCAGAACCTAAGTTTGATGCACCTTCGTCGCCAATTTAATTTTCACTTTTTAAATATTGAAGAAAAAATATATTTTTAATTAGATAATTAGAAGGAGAAAATGAAGAAAAAATATGAAATAATAAAATTAATTAATAATAAAAGCAAACGTTGAAAATAAAATAATGAGTTAAATTAACAAAGAAAGAAGCAAAAAAAGCAAGCAAGCACAATAAAAAGAAAAAGAAAAATAAACCAAATAAATTAAAAGAGCTTTATTGTTTTAAATTAGTTTTTATAATTAAAATTATCACAATCCAAAACAAATAAACTATTTTTACCTAATGTAAAGTGTCAAATTTGAGAGATTAATGCACTTTGTTAAAGCAGAACCTAAGCCTGATGCACCCATTACACCAATTTAATTGTCACTTTTTAAATATTGAAGAAAAAATATATCATTAATTAGATAATTAGAAGGAGAAAATGAAGAAAGAATATAAAATAATAAGATTAATTAATTAATAATAAAAGCAAAAGTTGAAATAAAAAGATGAGTTAAATTAACAAAGAAAGAAGTAAAAAAGCAAGCAAGCACAATAAAATGAAAAAGAAAAATAAATCAAATAAATTAAAAGAGCTTTTATTTTAAATTTGTTTTTAAAATTAAAAATATCACAATCCAACTGTTTTTACTAAAGGTTAAGTGTCAAATTTGAGAGATTAATGCACTTTGCTAAAGCAGAACCTAATCTTGATGCACCAATTTCACCAATTTAATTGGAACTTTTTATATATTGAAGAAAAAATATATTATTAATTAGTAATTTGTAGGAGAAAATGAAGAAAGAATATGAAATAATAAGATTAATTAATAATAAAAGCAAAAGTTCAAAATAAAATAATAAGTTAAATTATTAAAGAAAGAAGATAAAAAAGTAAGTACAATAAAAAGAAATATAAATCAAATAAATTAAAAGAGTTTTTATGTCTTAAATTAATTTTTATAATTACAAATATCACAATCCAAAACAAATAAACTGTTTTTATCAAGTGTAAGTGTTAATAGCAAAAAATGAAGAAAAAATATCAAGTAATAATAAATAATTAAAAATTGAAATAAAAATTAAGTTAAAATAGCTTAAAAAAATTTTGTATAAATACAAATCAATAAATCAAAATGAATAATGAAATATTAGAAATGTTATTTTTTAAAATAAATTGTTAAAAATATAAAAAAAATATTAATAATAATATTTATAAATGAAATATACTTCATATTAATATGGAGAGCCTAATGAGATTAAAGTGAAGAGCTTAAAAACTATTTTTATTAATAAAAATAAATTTAAAGGATACTGATGAATAAATAAATAATTACCTTTTCTAAATCACCGTAATATTTAATCTAATATATCATTTATTTATTTTTTTTCAAAAATATTAAATAGCAATCAATTTATGGAATTTAATTTATATGATAAAAAGAACAAATAAAATATAATAACCATCAAATATTAATTTATAAATTTGCTTTTATGAAGAGATATCACAAAAAAATTAATTTAAAATTCATTATTTAATCTTAATATTTGTATATAAAACATATATTTAAAAATATAGTAGGAATTAGGGATGGGTAGTTAATTAATTAATTAGCCATATGTTGAAAAAATTCTAGTAATTAAATCTTTGATTAAACATTTTTTACTTATTTATTTTTTTTCTTCTATCAATTTTAAAACATTTTTTTTATTTCTTTTACATTTTCTTTAATTTATAAAAAAAATATTTATTATTCTACTAAATAATTATATATTTCCTATTAGCGAAATAATTATTCAGAATTTCTCTACTTATTATCATAACATATTTAAATAAATGATTTGAATTGTTGATTCGCAACACAAATTATTTATTTCAAATATTATTTTTCTTCAAAATTCAAATTAATGATTAATGAATGATTGATAATCACAATAATATTAGATTTTTACAATAATTGTACCAATTTAAAATTTAAAGATTAATAGATAATAAATTAATATTTATATTGGCTTTTAACTGTTTAATATTGGCACTTAAATAATGAATTAATTTATAAAAAAATAAGCACATTAGGTTCTTGATTAGCTTTATCAAGAATAAAAAATAGGTTAATATACATTTTAAAAGTATAGTAAAATATGTAAATACTTGAACAAAAAGCTTAATAGAAAAATGAGTAGATTGATAGTTATATAGATTGATAGATAAATACATGTCTACTATTGATTATAAAATTTAATAGAAATAGATTGAGTAAGGGAGAAAATAAATAGCAAAATTGCTATTTATAATGTTTCAATATATTGGCTGAAAATGAATATAGGTTGAATTAAAAGATTTTGAAATATATATATTTATTTATTTATATTTGAATAAAAGAAAAAAGAGTTGAACTTGAAAAGACAATAAGATCTATGAATTATTATTTATTTATTTATTCATTATTTTTTACATACATAAAAGCTTAAATCAGTCAATCAGAAATCAAATAAATAATTAACATCAAAATAATCTTTCTTTCTTTTTTCTCCAAAAGCAAAAAACGAAATAAATTCTTATTAAAAATTAATCAATTATAAGATAAATAGGCAATGTAGGTAGAATAACATGATGATTAAAAGACCATTGCATAGTATCGTGAGGAGCACTCCAATAATTTTCGCAACGAGTTAAGGAATAAGTTCATTTAAAAGTCTCGTGAGAAACACTTGAATAGAAACAACATTAGCTTTCAAAACAACGATTTAAACAACTACAACAACGCAAATAATTAATATTCTTAGATTCCATAGTAGCAGTAGCAATAGCTTTTTTCAAATTTTTTAGTTGACCAAAATAATATCTTTCAGAATGCGTTTGAATCTCAGAGACAATAAAACCAAAATTTGTCTAACTTATTTGGCTAATGCTAAAACGCAGATTACATGAAAATGGGATAAGATGTCATTATTGAAGAAGGAAATAGCTCAAATAATGGACAAATTATTTAAAGCATAGATTTCTCTTAATAAAATAGAAATAATTAGTATTTGAATGAAGTAAATAAGTTTCATAACGAGAGCAACCAATCCATTTAGTATCTCAATTTTTAAGGAAGTGTGCAAGCTTTGCTAAACAACAACGATGCAAACTTAAAAGTAGCGATAATGCAGCATATCACTGATTTGATTGAAAATAATCTACAAGATCTGATGGACTTCTCCTATATTTTGCAGAGTCATTGTTATCTGTTGGATATTGTAAAACAATACATCGAACATAACTAAAAGCAAGTAAATTTATAGATAAATAAAATGGAAACGCAGCAATACAACTGTAGCAGTAGCAACCATTCTAAAAACAATATTTTAATTTGCAAAGAAAGCGGAAGCAGTAGCAGTAATACTGCCAGCTTGCATGAGTTAGAATAAATAGATTCAAATGGTGAAAGCAGCAAAATTATTTGGGCTATTAACTTAATCAGTCTTATTGCGTATACGAAATAAGAAAGCGTCAACATGCTAATCAAGAAGGGATTTGTTGATTTGTTTATGAACATTTTTACCGAATAAAACTAAAACATTAAAATTGCAGAAAAAATAATATCATTTTTTGCTAATGTAATTTCTGTTGATGAAGTAATGAAAACGTACATTTTGACTAATATCCCGATCAAACTATTCCTTTTCTTTTTTATAAACAACGAGTACCATCATCCTTCTTTTCTTGATTTTCACCAAATTCTCTCCCTCTTTTTAAATAAGTGCTACTTGTAGTCTGATTACATGAATTTAAATAGCAGTAATTAAGATAAACCAAACAGTAACGGAGTTAATAGCAAAAATGACAACGAAAACTAAAATTCATAGGAAGGCCACATTTTGCAAACACTAAATTTTATATTTAATTCTGTAACAAAAGATTTCCTAGAAGCTTTACAAAATTTTATAAACGACACTTAAGTTTCAATAAATTTGTCAGAAATTTTGACTTATATTTGTTCTAATATACTCAAAACATATCCTTTTGAGATGATAAAATAGCATATTAATGAAATCAAGCAACTAATTTAATTATAAATAAAAAGTGGAATAAAACCTCTTTAAATCCAATCAATTAAATTAATGATAAAGATATTTCAGATACCTCACTTGCTTCAAGTAATTTCTTTAAATAACTCTTTTTTACTTAAATAAACCTTCACAAATATGAAGCAATCAATTAATTACATAAAAAAAATCCCCCTTTTAAAAATAAATTTTACAAATGATAATTTAAACAACTTAATTAATCATCATTTAAACAAACAATTTTTCTATTCTAAGAGAAGAAATTTTTACTGCATCAGATCTATCCAAAAATTAGAGCCAAAGTACAAAATAATTAATTAATTAATTGAATAAATAAGAAAGAAAGAATTTATTAATTGAAATTTATCTTTTAATTTACAGTTTTGATAAAATTAAAATTACTAAAAATAAATTAATAAATAAATAAAAATCACTGATTATAAAGGAAATTTTTCACATCCTTTTAATTCTTTCATAAATTAATTCCTTCGTAAATTAGTACCTAAATATATAGATGCTTTTAAGTTAAGCAATTAATTAATTAGTCTATATTAATTTGTATTTATCAATAGGAATTTGATGATGAGGCTAAAAACTTTATGGTTCAAACGTTAAAAGACTCTATGAGCTCTGAATTCAAGCAAATAAGGATTAACTCAATGACTGCAATAATAAGTCTTCTATAAAATATTCAAGATGACAATTAATATACTCACATTATACAATACCTTTACATTAATATCTTTAATCTTTTCGAAAATGATCATTAATAAATAAAAACAATATGTTTAAACTTCTTTTAGAGTCTCATTAACCACTGTGCAAATAGTTAAAATGTTACAATAGATTGGAAGCTTAAAATGGGAGATTAAATCTTAGTCAGTTTGATTTCCTAACTCAGAAAATGCAGTGTTTCAGTATCCAACATAGACTTTATTTCTTAAATTCTTAACTTACTCTAGTAAATAATATCTATCTTAAACAGCAACATCTTCAAATATAAATTCCAGCTTGATTATTTGTAACAAAGTGGCTTGCTAGAAGCTCTTAAAATCCTCCAACAGCAAGATATTTCTTTTGAAATTAAAAATTAATCCTTCATGATACTTTAATAATTTTACAATGTATAAAATCAAAAATGAAAAAGTCCCAACAAAAAATTGATATTTAAGAGTTATCTCAGTAAGCAAGTAAATAAGTAAGTAAGAGAAAGAGAAAGGTATTTTAGAAGAGTTTATAATTAAATAAGCATCCAAATAATTAATTAAATTTTTTAATAACTCTCTAAAAAACTAACTAATTAACTAACAAACTAACTAACTAATTAATTTTTCCACAATAAAATTTTAATTGATGAAAATAAAAAAATAAATTTATAAATTCTATATAAATACTTTCTGGTAGTTTTATACCTTAAATTCACTTTATAACTTAAATATTATGTAAAAACTTAATAATTTGATTTTTAAAAATAAATTATATACATCTATCTATCTACTCATCCTCCTTCCCACCAACTTCTTTTGAGAGAAAAATAGTAAAGAAATCGATAAAGATAAGCAAACTTAAAACAAATAAATAATATAGATAGATGCATACCTAGATAGCTATCATGTCCTTCAAAACTCTCTTAAGCATATTTATATTGACGATCAAATATTTTTAAACAAATACTTATTTATCTATTTAAATACATAAACATATATACATACCGTACTTTCTGTTTGATAAGAATCACTTTAATTTAAGAATTTTTTTTAATAAGGAGGTATTATCTCCTAGCAAAATATAATGTAAATTTTTTAGTAAGACTTAAGATTTTGAAACTTTGTAGTAATTATTGAGTAGATTTTTGAGAATTAAATTTATGATTAAATAAAATTTCATTTATCTTTTAAATTGGAAACATTTGAGAGAGTAAATAAATAAATGAATGAATATAATTTTACAAAGATTAAATATAATTTTGTAATTAAAATAAATTTAATTATCTTATTATTTTTTTTATAATAAATTTAATTTGATTAATAGCCAGCCTCAGTATCTTAGAAATTAATGAATTATTTTCATCTTGCGGTTGTTATTTTACTTTTATACTTTTTCATACTGTAAAGTTTATTTTAATTTAATGAATTAATTAATTATTTGAATTTTGTTAAATATTTTCAATCTGATCTATCGAATTTCTATGCCTGTTTTTAAATCAATTAAATATGTTTAAGCTTTTTATTTGGAAAGAAATAAATTAATTTACTATTTCTTTCATGTGCGAACTGCGAGTACTTAAATTACGAAGTATTGTCAAACAATCAGCCGATATTTCTGGAGTTATTTAAGCAAATACTTTTCTTACTCTTACTATTGATTCTATAAAATCATCAGCTCTGTCATAAATAAAAGAAATAAAAGAGTGATCAGAAGACTCAGAAGCTAAAAATTTCCAGAAGAAAGCAGAGTTTAATCCAATTTCCTTTAATTTTTTATTCATTACTTAATTATTAATAAATAAGTTTGAGTAAATTTTACTTTTGAAGCTTTATTTAAGCATGTCTAAGATATATTAATTAGCAATTCTGAGCCATGAGGAGATTATTGGATCAAATACTTTTTAAGAATATTTTGTTCCTGATACAAAGTTTGAATCATTTCTATACACTAAAGTTAAAAAACAAATAAAATAATTAATTAATTAATTTATTTATGTTTTATATGAATTTTTATATAGTAAAAGAAATTACTGAAAAAGCTTTGCATATAACAGGGTATTAATAAATAGATTCTTCTATGATGTTGAGTAAAAGCTCTACTATTCCAAAGTTTAATAGCATCTTCATCGATTGATACTATTTAAGAAGATAAAAAATACTATCTAGTCCGAAGGCAATATATTCTTCATCAAGATTCTCTCTTTTCAAAATGGTGACTAACTATTCTAAATGATTTTCATTGATGAATAAAAGTGATTTGATTTCCTAAGCTAAAAATGATATAATTTTCAAGGCAGTGTAAGCTATTTTATAATCTGTGTGCTTTATATTTGCGAATAATTTTTCCATCAACTAGTCTCCCTTCTTATCTAAAATAAATGTGTTCATATTTTCTCTCTCACAAACGCCTACTAACATCAACCCATAATTAGCAATATCTTGAATGCTTTCACCTTCTATATACCCATCTATAATCTGTGTTAAAACAGTTGGCTCGATCAAATAATCAACCATATTTCCTAAATAATTAATACATACAATTTATATTTTTATTTAATCATCAAATATTTTATTTATTCACCTTCCATTTTATCCCATAGTTAGTGAATTATTTCTAAAACTATTCTCTCAACTTTAGGTTCTTGCTTGATTTATCTATTAGAAAATAGCTTCATTAGTTTTTTGATAAAGTTCATTTCATCCCTAACAACACTATGTTCAATTATATATTCATATATTTTTAATGTTTTTATAATTCTTTCCCTAACAAATCTATTATCTTTCAAGCTCTCTTCTTCCTCTAATTCTAAGTTATAAACCAAATCAGAACCACCATAAATATTCAGCAAATTAATGTCTCTTTCCTATTTAAATTATAATTAATTTTTTGTATTTAATTTAACTCAATATATTTTAAAAACTAAAATTATTAGTCATGGTTTAAAAAGCTAAAACGAACATTTTATTTTTTTCAAAAAAATTATAATTTTATTCAAAAATTAATTTCTTTCATTCTAAAATAAATTTAAAGTTTTTATTTTTAAAATAAAGTTTCATCAAATCTTAGTTTAAAAGATTAAATTTATTTTTAACAAAATTGAATTTAATTTTGAAAAAAATGAAATAATAATCAAATCCTTCAATTAACTCTTTTTAATTGAAATAAATTAACTTTGAAATAAATCTTGGTTTGGAATGATTAAATAAATGATTGAGTTCAAAATAATATTTAATTTAGATTTACATCGCCATTTTCTACGATTCTTTTCATTAAAGTTAAAGCGTTGCTTTTTGTTGCAGGGTATGGAGACTTAGTACCAATTTAAGCTATTCTTTCAATTATATTTTCCTTAAAAATGAGGCGATTAAAGGTATACTAAGGGATTAAATAGCTTATGCTTTTGAAAAAAATAATTTAAATACATTTTATGCACATTAGATTTAAATAAATATTTACCATAGCAAAGTACCTTATAGAACGCTATTGTTTTACTCGAAAAGCAAATTTAAAAGCTTCATTAATTTTTGATCTTCTTTCACTGTTTATTTAAATGGCTCAATCTGTAGCAATAAACCAAACAAATTTAAATTCGAAGCAAGGAGCTCCTGATTGCTCTCATCCAAATTAATTATTAATATTTATTATAAATCATTTTGGATCATCTATTTTTAGATAAATTGGTCAGAAATTTAATTTAAAAATTAGAATTAATTACTTGGTTAACTAAAATTTTATTCTTTGCCATAAAATTTAAAACATTGAAAGACAGCAACTTTGGCCATTCTTTTTCATATTATCTTAAATAACTAATAAGAAGTTTCATAGCTTAAACATTTTAAAACTCTTCTGTCATTTGAGTAGTCCAAGGTAAATTGCAAGTATTCATAAAAGAAAGTACTTTCAGTCCTGCCATATGCACATTATGATAATCATTTAAATCTTCTTCAGGTCTAGGACCTCTGAGGCATCTTACAGCTATATGACCATTGTTGATATACTCCATTTCTTTATCTGTTAACTTTGTTTAAAAAATTTAATTTTATTTTATGAAATATTAAAAAGAATCATTAACATACTTTATTTAAATCAATAATATCTGCCATTATTTAAATTGCCTGCTCATACATATCTGAATTTTGACTTTCAAGAGCATCTTTGAAAACCCTCATTTTCATTTCAGGAGATTTGGAAAACTCATCTTTTAATTTCTCAGTGTGGCTCATCTTTTATCAAAATATAGATTAAAAATGCATATAAATAGTTTGTAAGTTTACTCTTTCCAAAAGCTGGAATTTAAAGGTTGTATTATCTGAATAACTGACCCAATACTAGAACCATTCTTTTAGCGTTCTGATGTATTTTATTTTCAAGAAAGGATTGGTGTTTGCATTAAGTGGAGGGACGTTGTTTATATTGACATTTGGAGAGTTCACTTAATATATAGAAGGATTCGAAAGCAATATTTGATTTTTATTTGTTCCAACTCCATTTTTATTAGAAGGAGTGTTAGCATAAGATTTTGAATTAACTGCAATAGGAGCAGTGCTATTAATTGTCTATTTTTATCAAATTCATTTTTAATATGTATAAAAAAGTTAAATTTAATTTTATTAATGAGAATAAATTTGTACATCTAATCTGTAAGACTAATTCCCTGCTACATTAGATTATGTTGGAGTTCTCATATAAGGCGACTGCTCTCTACTAATATTCTTTTTTGTATATAAATCTGGATCTTTGCCATATCCACTTGAGCTCTGTGTTTTTAATGGTATTTGTTGCATACCTCCTTCTATTTGATTTTTTAAATTGATGTTTCTTTTTCTGAGTTTTTTCAGCTTTTTAGTTGAAAAATTATTTTAAATCAAAAAATCAAAATAAATTTGAAAAAAAGTACATCTTCTTCTTGGCTAGAGCATTTCAATCTCAAGTGAGCAATTTCTTTTTCTTTTTCATTAATAACAGCCAGAAGTTGTTTGTTTTATTCAGAATTTTAGTAGTTTTCTTATTTAATTTGTTGATAACTGTCTAAATTTAAGCTGCTTAAATTATCTATTTGGCTCATTTATTCTTTGATTTTGTATTTGAGATCATTATTTTATTGCTTATTTTTTAATTAAATCAATAAAAATTAAATTCATTTTAATACAATTTACCTCCAAAGCTATAGTTTTCTATTTGATCTCATTATCTTTTTCTTGAATTTGTCTCTATAAATTTTCAATAGTCACTTCCTATTGATAGAGTTTTTCTAGGTTTTGTTTGTAATCCTTCCCTTATTTATCTAGTTCTTATTAGTTTTTTTACTCATAAAATTTAATTTCATCTTTCAGCTACTAAATCCTTTTATCTTAGTCTAAAATTTCCTATTTAGCAATCAACTCTTGACTCTCTTTCCTCAGCAGTAAATCTCTTAAAAGCTAAAAATAAATTTTAATTTTTTAAAAATAAAAATAAATATTTAAGATTTTACTTAACACAATTAAGTAATGTCTTTATTTTCGTTTTGTTATGCTTTCTATAAGTTTTTTAAAAGTTCATCTTTTTATGTCGGATCTTGTAATACCTCATTGTAATAAGTCCTTATCGTTTCGTATGCTTCATTTATAATTTTCATTTTCTATTGAGTTAATTTTTCTTATTGCTCAAGTTCTTCATTCTTTTTAATTATGATTTGCTCAAACTCATTGTTTTTATATTTCTAATCTCTATTCAAATATATATTCATATTTTATTTCCTAAAACTAAACAATTTACACAAGCATCTTCCTTAAATCCTCTTTTGTTAAATCTGCAGGAATTTCTTTCTCAATTGCTTCTTTGTCATTCTAAACTTTCTAATTTGAATTCTTCAATATTGGTTTTATGAAATCTTTTTATGTTTCACCAGCTCTTTCAGGATTTAAAATCATATCGTACTCATCAGGTTCATCTTCATTAATATTACCATCAGGCAACTATCTCTAATTTTTTTCAAGAATTTCATTTTTAAATTACAATCTTTCAATTTATTCATTTTTCTTTTAAATTAATGATTTCATGTCATCAACCAATTTAACTAAATCACTAAGCTGCTGAGAGTGATCTGTTGGCTATTGCTCATGATTTTAGTTAAGCTACTTTCTTAAAATTTATACTTCCCTATCAGCTAATCCCTTCTCTTCGAGCAACTATTAAACTGCATTCTCATATTGCTTATGCATTAGCTTCATTTATTGCTCTAAATTATATTTTTTATCCTCAGTTTCTCTCAGCTTGATCTCTCTAAGTACATCTGGCTTCTTTTCCGGATCGATTATGATTTGTTTTAAATGTTTCACCTTTTATAAAATATCAAAATAAATGAATGAAAAAAAATCTAATATTTCATTTTATTATTTATTTATTTATTTTTCGATAATAGGAAGTCCTTTTGTTATCAGATTAAATAAATTAAATAGCCATCAATCAATTAAATATTTAAAGAAATTGAATGCCTATCTATAATATTTAATCTCATGGTTATAATTAACTTAATAAAATAATAAGCAAACAACTAATTAAATAAATACCTCCTTTTCCAAAGTTTCGTTTTTATGCTTAAGCAATTCAGAAATTTACTCTAAAGTTTCATTTTGAATTTCCAAAGATAAAATTCGCTTTTTGTATTTAACTACTTCTTGAAAACTGACAGGCTAACCATTTTTGTTAGCCGCATCAATTGATGTTTTAGGATCAATAGTTTTCTTTTAACTTTAATCAATCGATTACGATCCTCTCCTCCTTGCTAAAATATTTGTTTGAGTATTATTTAATGTGCTTGAAGGATTTATGCTGCTAGTTGTTTAATCTTTTCCTTAAGCATTGTAAACAGATCTATTTTTCTTTCTAATCGGCGTTTTAAAATTGTTTTTTTCCTTCATTTCATTTATCTAATAAATAGCATAAATGTTAATAAATGCTGAAATAATTTAACGTCTATTATCTTAGATAAATTAAATGTAAAAATAACATTAAAAATTACAATATCATTAAGCTCATTAATTTAGTTCTGATATTACTCGATTGTACCTTCTTTTTTATCTAACTTATTTTTTAAACTTAAAAAAACTTTATTTATTTCTAAGTAAAAGCGATTTTTACTTATCTATTTTCGACTTCAATCTATCTGATTTAAATGTGATTTCATCCTCATCATTATTACCATCTTAATCCTCTTTATTCCTCTATTGCTAATTCCTAATTTCTTAAGTTAATTGCATCTGCCCCTCCTTACTGCTTAAAGAATTCTATTAATTATTCTTTTTAACAGTTGACTTTGGTGCGCTTGGGCTTCTCTGCCAATACATTTATTTACTTGTAAGTTTATATATCTATCTATCTAAATAATTATAAGTATCTAATTTATTAATTTGTTAGCTCTTTATCAAATGATATTTATTTAATTGATGATAGAAAAATATTTGTTGGTTTTAATTACAAACTTAAGCCTTATAACAAATATTATAAAGCTGTTCAATATCTCTCGCTTTTAATTCTAAATATTTCATAATATCTTCTTTAAGAAATAATTGTATTTCATACTTACAAATATGTAAATCACAAAAGATAAATAAATAAATAATTTATCATATATTTGTTTTAATCAAATCATTTTAATCAACTATTTTAATTTCATTTGAAAAATCATAAATTAATCAAAATTAAAAACCATATATTTTCATTTTACTTAATGAAATATTTAATGAAGCTTCAGCAATTTAAAAAATAATAAATCATTATTTTCATGAATTGGTTGTATTAGCAAAAATGTTAAATTCTTTTCATTTATAATTAAAAACAATATCTTTTTTTAATTTATTTGGCTTAAATTTATATTAACTGTTTAATTTTTATATTTCGTGAATGCATTTTAATTAGTTAATCATTATAAATGTAAAATTGTTTTTGCTTAAATTAATTGTAGTGTTAAATATTTTTTTACTTAATTATGTAATTATTTTATCATAATTTATTAACAAATTATTAAATTGATTTACTTTATTTAAAACGAAAAATAAATTGATAAAAAAACTATCATTTTAAAATAACAAAATATAGTAATTAGTTTTGTTTTTAATGTATTTTATTTGTTTTATTTATTTATTTATTTATTTTTTTGTAAATTCTTATTTTAAATAATTCTGCTCAGTAAGTATTTTAAGAAACACACCAAGTTTATGTAAAATTCAAATATTGATTAGGACTGAATAGTTTCGTTAATAGGACCTTAATATAATTGATTAATTGATTAATGAATTTCACTGAAAAAATTAACAACTAAGAAAAAGAGGGAACTAAATAATAAAAAAATTACTGGGAATTAATTATAGGATTTATTTATATATTAATTAAATAATGATATGAATCACTAATAAGTATTCAGTATAGTAAAAATATATAGTTATAGATACTCTAAATTTTATAGCAAATCAACTTAAATAAAGAGATAAAAATGGAACAAAAATAGGAATTTAGCTCCATCCCTACTTATTCTGTTTAATAATAAAATATTGTAAGAATGATTACTTCATTTAAGAATCAAATATCTTAAACACAAAGCTAAATGTTTATTTTAATACTAACAGTAACTTTAATTGGAGCCATTATAGGAGCAACAAGATTAATTTATGGTAGAAAAATTCATGAATATGTGCGCGACTATTATCCAAAAGTTTTATAGAGGACATTTAATGCGCAAAAAACATTATTACGTCGTTAATTAGATTCAAAAATTCCACGATGCTTTATGGGCTGTAGTTTTAGGTATGATTTTTATTTTTTATTTTAGATTTCATCAAAATTTGAATTTAAAACTGCTTTGGCATTTAAATAATTAAAAAGTTATTTATTCAATTTTAGGATGGAGAGTAAGAAAAATAATTAAATTGAAACGCATGCAAGATCTCATTCAAGAGATGAAAGCTTCAATTTGGAAGAGAAGAGAATTAATTCTAAGCATAAGATAAAATATGCCTAAAATACCTAAAGGTAATTAATTAATTATCAAATTTAAACAGCATCAATCTTTTTATCCATTAAATTTAAATAAAAAATAATTATTAAACTTTATAATTTTAAAAAAATGATAAGATTATGATAGCTAATTTATGAGAAAAAAGGAGAAGGAAGCTTTAAAAGTAGCGATGATGACTAATCAATAGTATAAGTTTATGTCAAATGAGCTAGAACCTTTATAAAAAGAGTTTCTAACAACAATTAACAGACTAATGGTTACAGGTTTATGGATTTATGAAGATAAGCATTATAAAAAGAATGTATAAACAATAGTCACAAGTTTTACAATTATAGATTAATCTAAGCACGTTAATAAAGAATCATTGCATCCTTCTACTTAGTTTAATAGGAGTTAATTTGTTACACCAACTTAGTCTTAGTATTTGAGTCCACCTGGTAGCAATATCTAATAGAAAATGGTTTTTGCAACTCCAGTTTAATAATAATAATAACAACATAGAGTAGCTTTTAATCCTTAATAAAGCTAAATAGCAGCTCCAGCTAATGTTCCAAGCTAGTTTAACTATCCTGTTGATGTTGGGAATGTTTAATCTATTTACTAAGAATAATATAGTTAGCAGTAAGATATTTCAAAAGATGCAAGTACTGTATAATTTGGAAGTGCAAAACAAGTATAATTAGAAAGAAAGTTAAATTATAATTAACAAAGTCAAGAAAATATTTTATAAAGCAAGAAATCTTTTGAGCAAGTAGAATAAAGGCAAGCAGAACCAGAATTAAAAATACAAAATTAGTAGAATAAGTTACAGTAAGGTTAGAATAATGCTCAAAGTCATGATAAACCAATAAATATGAAAGGCGCATTCTAAAAATAGCAATGCAGAGATATGGATCAAGATTAAAATGAAGCTAAAAATGAGGATAATCCTTAAAATTAAAATAATGAGTAGCCATAATAGCAATAACAATAACAGGAGAAGCCTTAAGGATTCAGTTGGGATGATGTGCCTGTAGGTTAAGCAAGAAAAAAATTTTAATTTGATGAGTATCCTGAACATGCTATTACTACAGATATAAAGCCAACGATACCAAAGAAGAAAATGCAAAAACTCAAAGAGTAAAATGAATAGTCTGAAAAAGATAAAGGCAAAGATTCCTCAAGAAAAACTTCTGAAGAAATAACATAATAAGAAGAAAAGAAAGAAGCAGTTAAAAAATCAGCAAAAGGTAAAATATAAAAGAAGCAATAAGAAGAACAAAATGAGGAATAAGTAAGTAACAATAAATCTAGATAAATGCCTAGATCACAAACAGAATTTCCTTTAGTTTACTAAGGCGATCTAGATACAGGCACCCACAAAAGCAAGAGCAAAAACAGTAAAGCACCACTAACCCAAGAAGAAAAAGAAGAAAAAGAGAGATAAGAAAAGCTAGAAAAAATGAAAAACCTTAAAAAGAGAATGAAATACGATCCAAGAAAAGCGATTTAAAATGAAAAGTAATTTAACAATTTAAAAAAAATTATTGAATAAATTCTAACTCTTTTTTAATATATAGAAATGGAGTAAAAGATAAAAAAGATGATAATGATGAAAATGATGAAACAGAAGAAAATAGAATTAATTCAGAAGAAAATGACGAAGATGACGATTAAGTTAATTCAAAAGATCAAATAAGTAACAAAAACAGATCAAAATCAACTCATTTTCCTTCAAAAAAAGACAAAGAAAATGATAAAAATAATGATAAATAAGGAGACAAAGGAAATTACTTAAAAAGACAATCTAAAAATATGGCTTCTTAGAAATTAAATTGGAAAAAAACTGAGTCAAGAGTTGATTGTTGGAGTTCATGGAATAAAAGAAGCAAGAACTATATCTAAAATTCTTAGACCAATTTCATAAATAACACTCCCACAAAAAGAAAAATCACTCTCTCTTCTCATAATTAGCAGTCAGCAAGAAGCAACAGCAATAACGAGTTCTCATTCGCTTAGAATAAGCTCCATTCTGTTAGTGAAGCTTAACAGTTTTAACAAAAAGTGAGAAATAAATTCGGATTAAATGGATAATCTAATACCAATTTAGCCTCAGAAAAAAATATTTTAAGTCCCCAACAATCTATGACAATGATAAAGCAAAGCAATTGGCTACATTCAACCATTGATCCAAATTAGTATAGCCCATATGAAAAATTAAAAATTTTTATTGATTTTTGTTTTAATAATAAAAGAAAAGATTTAATGTCTGGCAAAGAATCTGGACCTGCTATGGCTTCATTCATGAAGCTACCAAGTAATTTTTTATCTTTCAATTTAATATTTAAAAAAAATATGTTAATAGATTTAGATTTCAATAGCTTATAAAATATTTCCACAGGAGATCTTTTGAAGTTGAGAGAAGCTTTAATCCCAATAATTCAAACCAATTTAATTTTCATAGAATAAAACGATCCAAAGATATTTACAGTAAAACATTTATTATGAAAACCTACTATATAATTTTTTTATTAAAAATAAAGAAAATAGCTAAAGAAATACTTAAATCCTCTAATACCAGTTGAAAATATGCTTGAATCAATCAAAAACTTAAATTTGTTAAATATAAAAAAATCCTTCTAAAATTGTATAAATTATGTTTGTTTTCCTATTTATAAATTTGTCATACCGAAATAATTTTGAATCTATCATATAATCAATCTTTTTTTAAAAAATATTTTTTGAGAAAAATAGAAATAGATTAAAAAAATAAAATGTTATTCTGAAATTTTATTTATTCTTTAAATCTAAAATGTTAAGAGTAATTAATTCTGTTAGTAATGTTAATTAATTACTTGTTTTATTTTATTTTTATAATTTAAAATAAGCAAAATTAATTACTTTTTAATAAATAAAATAAATATATTTTATCCTATAATAGTTTTTTAATATTTAGATTCTCTCAAAAATTTTATATATAGTATTATATAAATAGCTTATGTTTTGTTTTATATTTTGAATAGCATTAAATGTATTTTTTGTTTAAACTAACTATTGAAGAATTTAGGATACAAAAAATTGTACTGAGCTCATGCTCTTAGATTCATATTTGTTATGACTATTAACATATTAATTCATTCATTCACATATATTATAACAATTAATGTGAAATAAATTATAAAAAATTAATTAAATTTATATGCTGTTAGTTCCAAAAAAATAAAAATGAAATAATTCTATCAAAAATATAGATAATAAATACAAAATAAAACTTAATAAATTTATATTTATTTTTTGATAAATTAATTTAAAGTTTCAACAAAAGGCCGATTTAAAATAATAATAAATTTCCTATTTTGTTCAAATATTTTATGGTTGTTGTTATTATTAGCTAACTGCCTATTTGTTTTATTCTTAATAATTTACTTAAGGTACATTTTAATTGTTATTATATGAGTTACCTTAATAGTTAGCTTAAGGAGCACTTTATTAAGTATTTGGCTACCAAAGCACTTATTATTATTATTATTATTAATATTATTATTTTTTGATTTATTGCTATTAGTCATTTGGGTTTTATTAATAATTTTGATGATATTATGGATTAGCATTGGTATTGCTTCTATCTTATACTTAATATGGTAAAGGATTGTTTCTAAATTATTAATTTAAGTCATCTTGATTAGAATTTAAAGGCATCATTTATAATTCATTTAGTTTTCTTCTATTTTATATAAATGTGAAAAGGTACATCAATAAAAGTAATCCTGCTCCAATGCATCCAACTAACTAGGGTGCAAGTGCGTAACCACGTTTATATACTGCTAAACTGTCTGTATAGCAACTTAATCTTTAATAACAAAGACCATAGACATATTTAGCTGCATAATAATATGCTTCACCAATATCGCAATCACCACTAGAACCACATTACCAATTTGAGATATTGTCTACAATATCTTTTCCGCTAAGCTCTCCTTAAATGGAAATAAAGCATTCTTATATTTATTTATAATTTGAATTTAATAAGTAAATCTTTTAAATAATTTAAGTAGAAAAATTTAATGGTAAAATTATTTTAATATTTTGCTAAGAGTAATTAATTACGTCCACAAGTGTACGAAATAGAAGTGACGAGACTAGACACGGTTAATATAAAAGCACCACTTAAAGAGGTTATTGTAAGGATATTGGAAGTATTAAAATAATTAGGATATTTTTTATAATTATGAAGGAAGAATAACGAGGATATGCTAAATACCAATGTGCAAGATAATAATGCTATGATAACTGCTTGGAGAAAGGGTAAATAGCCAATATTTATTAATTAATTTGAAGAATAAATAACGACAACAGCTACACAGATTAATAACAAACTATAAGAAAAAGTGTATTATTAATACTTTTTAATAGTTACTTACAAAGTAATTTGATTGTTAGGAATGAGAGGAATATTGTCCATTCTGCCCTATTTTTTTTTTTAGTACTTTAATAAAATTAAATTGTTTATTGGTATTTTAAGATATCACAACTTACTTTTTATTTAAGATTAATTATTTTCTCGTATAAATAAAAATTTAATTAAAGTGAAGAAATATTTATTTAGAGTGGCAAATTTAGAATATCCTCATAAAATTACGATCAATATCTGCAAATCTTAACTTAAGGTTATTTTCTCCTGTAAAAAATTTAATTGTAATTAAAGTGACTACAAATATTAAATGATGAGTATAAAAATAAAAATATCTTCATAAACTTGTTTTTCTTTCTATCTAACTTATTATTTGAATCAAGGGAAATAGTAAGTAGATTTTATGTTTTTTCATCTATTTAAATTGATTTTATTTTCACCAAAATAAGCTTTTTATTTGATTTTACAACAATCTTTGAACAATTTACATATAAAATAATTGATTTCTCTTATTTATATATGATGTAAAAATTATTCTTATATCTTATTAACTATAATCTTAAAAATGCAAGTTTAGATTTATGGTATTATATTAATCCATCATTTTCTCTTGAAGATTTCTCCCACAAAAATAAAATTTAAGAGCTCTTAAATTACCTAATAGCAAACTATAATTATATTTGATTTACCCTTTTTAATTAATTACCTCTACCTAATCAAAGAATACCTTCCTCTTTAAGTGAGCTTTGCTTCTTTATCAGGAGCAACATTAGTTTTTAATTAAATACCTCAACCTACAAATGAAATCAATAGATTCTAGTGATTAATTAATTAATTAGATAAATATCTTTGGTTGATGAAAAATTCAACAAATAAATACTCTAAATCCTCATTGATTTTTAAGGGTACCCCCTCCTCTTTGGAGTTTTAATTTGTGGCACTTAAAAGAAACAAATTCGAATTCGTACATACATATAATTGAATTTAGATTTTTTGAAGAGATTACATTACATTATATTTATAAAATAAGTAAAAAATAACTTGATAGAGACAAGTCAATTTTTTATCATGCTAACTCTTCTATTCATTTTCTGTGTGGTTAGAAATTACTTTTTATTCATTTTTAAAAGGACATTTTGATTGAAAATACTCAATTATTTTTTATTCTCTATTATTTTATTTATTGATTTTAATAAATAAAAATCAAGCTACACAACCAGCCTTCATTATCAATCATTAGAGCTGATTTTAATTATTAATTAATTTAGATTTTTAATTAAAAATAAACTGATTTAATTTAAGATTAAGAATAAAATTTTAATTTTTGAATTATTTTAGATTTCCTATTCAAAATAAACTGATTTATTTTACTTTAAGATTAAGAATTATATTTTAATTTTTAATTATTTTAGATTTCTAATCAAAAGTAAATTGATTTTACGTTAAGATTAAGAATTATATTTTAATTTTTAATTATTTTAAATGTCTAATTTAAAAAAATTGATTTTACTTTAAGATTAAGAATTATTTTTTAATTTTTCATAAAAGCAAAAATTTATTTTGAATATTAACAAAAAATATGTATCAAAGTGAATGAGCTCATTTTAACTTTTTTTAAACTAATTTATGAGACTGTTTAATTTTATTCCCATTTTAGAAGTTTTTGGTTAAAGAAATGAAACTAATAATTTTCAGAGTTTGAAGAAAATAAACTAACTATTAAGAATTTAGGATACAAAACATTGAACTGAGCATTTGTTATGGTTATTAATATATTCACATGTAACAATTAATGTGGAATAAATTATAAAAAATTAATAAAACTTAAATATTTCCTAAAATAAAATGAAATAATTCTATCAAAAATATAGAAAATAGAAAATAAAAGCTAATAAATTTATATTTATTTTTGATAAATTAATTTAAAGTTTCAACAATAGGCTGATTTAAAATTTCTTAATAATTTACTTAAGGTATATTATAACCGCTATTATATGAGTAACCTTAATAGTTTGCTTAAGGAGCACTTTGTTAAGTATTTGGTTACTAAACACTTATTATTATTATTACTATTCGTCATTTGGGTTTTATTAAATATTTTGATTATATTATTGATTAGAATTGGTATTACTTCTGTCTTATACTTTTTATGGTAAAGAATTATTTCTAAATTATCAATTTAAGTCTTCTTGATTAGAATTAAGAGGGATTATTTAAAATTCCTTTAGTTCTCTTCTATAATATATAAATGTCAAAAGGTACATAAAATTAACAAATCCTGCTCCGATGCATGCAATTAACTAAGGTACAAGTGCGTAACCACGACTATATACTGTTAAACTGTCTGTATAACAACTTTATCTTTACTAACAAAGACCTTAGACATATTCAGCTGCAATATTATATACATTACCAATATTACATCCACTAAAACCATTATTACTACATGAGATACTGTCTACAATATCTTTTCCACTAAGCTCTCCTTAAATGGAAATAAAGCATGCTTATATTAATTTATAATTTGAATTTAATAAGTAAATCTTTTAAATAATTTAAGTAGAAAAATTTAATGGTAAAATTATTTGAATATTTTGCTAAGAGTAATTAACTCAATTACATCCACAAGAATACATATAAGAAGCGAGGAGACTAGATGCGGTTAATATAAAAACACCACTTAAAGAGGTAATTGTTAGGACATTGAAAGAATTCAATTTATTAGGATATTTTTCATAATTATGAAGGAAGAATAATGAGGATATGTTAAATACCAATGTACAAGATGAAAATGTTATGATAGCCACTTGGAGATAGGGTAAATAGCCAATATTTATAAATTAATCTGAAGAATAAAAAGTGGTAGCAACTATGAAGAGTAATAGCAAACTGTAAAAATGAGAAAATTTTTTATAATTTTTAATCGTTGCTTTCAAAGTCTTTTGATTGTTAGGAATGAGAGGATTATTGTTCATTCTACTAATTAATTAACCCTTTTTTAGGTTTTTAGTACTTTAATAAAACTAAATTGTTTATTGATATTTTAAGATATCAACAACTTACTTTTTACTTAAGATTATTTTTTCATTTCTCGTATAAGTAAAAATTAAATTAAAGCGACGAAATATTTGAAATATTTATTTAGAGTAGCAAAATTAAAATATCTTCATAAAATTACGAATGATATCTGCAAATTTTAACTTGAGATCATTTTCTTGTTTAAGTAAAAAATTAATTCTAATTTAAGTGACTAAAAATATTAAAAATGAATAACATCTTCATAGACTTGAATGAATATCTTACTTATTTATTAATTGAATCAAGGGAAATAGTATGTAGATTTTATGATTGTTCCTCTATTTAAATCAATTTTATTTTCATCAAAATAAGCTTTTTATTTGATTTTAAAGCAATCCTTCAACTATTTACATATAAAATAATCTATTTCACTTATTTATATATGTAAAAGATATTCTTAAATTTTATTAATAATAATCTTAAAAATACAAGTTTTAATTTATTTAATATATTAATCCATCCTTTTCTCTTAAAGTTTTCTCCCACAAAAATAAAATGTAAGAGCTCCTAAATTACCTAATAACAAATTATAATGATCTTTGATTTACCCTTTATAATTAATTATCTCAAATGAAATCAATAGATTCTAGTGATTAATTAATTAGATAAATATCTTTGGCCTCTAAAAAATTTCACAAATACTTTAACTCTTCATTAATTTTTTAAGGCACTCCCTCCTCATTTTGGAGTTTAATTTGTGGAATTTAATTTATGCTTTAAATTTGAAAATTTTCTAGAAAGTGGAAGAGTTTAAATTATAATAATTAAAGTAATATTTAAAATATTTTAAAAAAACTATTTTTGATGCAAAATAAATACATAAATAAGCGATTATTCATTCATTAATTATTATAATAATTTTTAAATTGTAAAATATTGAATTAAATATTTAAATATGTTATGAATATTATTTTAAGAATAGATATTTCATTTAACTTGGCTACAGTTGGAACCAGTAAAGTCAGCAGTGCATTAACACACTCCCTTTACACAAACACCACGTCCAAAACATGAATCTGGACAAGCCGATTGACTATAACAAAAAGCGAAAGTATCTGGACATGTAAATATGTAACCAGATTTAACTTTAACTTAGTCTTAACCCTGCTTACAATCATACCAACTTCCTTCGAATTTGAATGATGCTGTTGGAGAATTTGCATTTTCATATGAGCATTTACTTTCAAAGCAAAAAGCATCAATTTTTTTATGAACTTTCTTGTTCAACAAATCAGTTTTCCAGCAACGAGATTTTTGTCCAGTAGCTCCTCCTAATTTATCAATCATTTTAGCAATAGATTCTGCAGGATAATTGCAATGAGCATTAGAGTATGGTAAATAGAAAAAGCATTTATCTGAAAGAGGATCATCTTAGCAAGCACCAATGCTTGAATAATCATAGCTGCATCCAACTTACTTTTAACTTGGGCAAAATTAATTTATATTACACTAAGACTTAAAAATACCACAACCTTATTATTTACCCCAAGTCAGAGTGCCTACTTTCTCTTAGTTAACAGTATACCATCCAGAAATTTCAAACATGGAGGCAGTGAAACTTGACATCACACTGTCGTACATTGAAGAGCCAGTCATTAGCTCATTACCAAACACTTTTCTTTCCCAATGAGCTCCAGCAGTTCCCTAGCCTCCCTAATTATTAATTTAATGATAAAAAAAATGTTTTTAATATTATATTAATAAATTAAGAATTATTTCTGTATTTAAATTTTTTCAAAGTAATATTTTAATTAAAGTTAATTCTTAAATAAAAGTTTAATATTTCCTTTAATTTTATTTTTTTATTAAAATTTCAATTAATTATTTTAGCTAATTTATAATTTAAGATTCATTTTACAAGAAATTACTATTATTGAAATCAAATTCTAATTCTATGATAATTAAAAAACAAAAAGGCTTTCTGTAAATCAATTTATCCATTTCTAATGCTTTGTATTATTAATAATTTATGAACTTATTTTTACTAATAAAATTATTCAAAATATTCACACTTTTTTTTTTTTAAATTAAATTAATTTAATTTTACTTTTTATTTTAATTTGTAAAATTATTTTTATTTTAAAATAATTTCCATTAAAATTAAATATTTTTTTATCTCTTCTTTTTATCCTATTTCAAATTGTTTTTTAAATTTTAATCTATATTAAATCAAAAAACAAGTTCGTTAATTAATTAATAAAATAAATACTGATTTTATTTAATATATTAATACGAATTAATTTACCTCATTTTCTAGTGGTGCTCCTTCAGCATCTTAACAATTGAAGTGTTATTATGTAAGTTTCTTTATTTTTGAGTGGCTGACAAAGGTTTATCCGCCTTGTTTAATAGTAGAAAGAGGACCATCGACAAATTTTTTGAAATGTGAAGGAGAGAAGACTAATGAGTGAGTCATTTCATGGATGGTAGTAAATATCCACTGAGCCTTTCTCATAGGATCCTTATCTCTTATGTGTTTAGTGAGGTAGAATAGATTCATGGCAAAATATCCCATCACTGGCCTATTAGAACCAAGTTAGTATCTATGCCTTTAAGGACAGTTGCTTGCGTAAGCTAAGAAATTTTCTTTTTCGTTATTGACTGCTTTGATGTAAAATACAATATCTGCATCTTATATTCCTTGGTTGATATGATCTTTAGGAATTTTAATTTCTGCTAAACCGCAAGTGTTTACACTGTAATAAGGATCAATTTTAAGAGGATTTTTCAAAGGTTTCACTCTAAGAAATTCCTTAAAGAAATCTCCAGCAGCTGGTATTAATTCTTTGGTTATAAAATTTTTGACATCAGCGTCAGAATCCATTAAATTAGAATAATCAAAATGGATTCTAATTGGTTTCCATCCATCGCCTTCTTATAAATTTCCCTAGAAACTAATTGTGGTATCATTTGACTAAAAGGATTCTTCAACTTCCTCTTCAAAATATTATCTCTTGGACTCAAACATTTCTTCTTCTTTTTCTAAAACTTTATCATGAATGCATAAGTGAGTCTCTTCTTCTGAGTACTAACTGCGAACATTTTTGGCAAATAAAACGTTCTCTAATCCTTTTGTTTCAGTTTAAATCAAATCGTGATTGAATTATTTGTAAATTTAAGCAACTCCAAATGTAGAAATAGCCACAACTGCTAAAATGCAGAGCAGTTTTGTTATTTAAGATTTGAAAAGGTTTTTCATACTTATTTAGTTACTAAATGACTTAATTCTAATTAATCAAATCTTAATAGTTAATGTAAATAATTAAATCTTCAATTTTTAAAATCTTTTGAAATCAATAAATGAATAAATAACTTCATAAAGCATAATAATATGTATTTATTAATGCGAAATAAATAGATTTTTTTAAAAAATAAAGTACATATCAAACAAGGGAAAACAAACAGATACTCATATTCCATTTTTAGATTTTAATAAAACAAAATAAAAATAAAATTTGTTTAAGAAAAGTTTTCTGCTTCATTAAATATTTTTGAAGTTTATTAGGTAAAATTTTTTATTTTTCTATTAATAGCAAATTAAATAAGTATTATCAAAAAATATATATAAGAAAAGTTTTAATTAATTTAAATTTAATACAAAATTCTCTTTTAAAAAGATACTTGTCTAAGATGTTTCTAAGGTATTTGAAAATTTAAGTATTTGAATTAGTAATAAATAAGATTTTAGAGAAATTATTTTATTATTTTATATAGTATTTTTTTGTTTTAGAAGATTTGAAAACAAGAACATGAAATTAATTTTATACTTTAAAACTTATTACTCTAAATCTTGAAAGAAAAATGTAAATTTAAAGCTTGAAAAGAATGAAATAAAAATTATAATTAATAATAATAAAAATTAAAATAAAATCAATCTTCAAATACTAAGGATACATTTAAATAAGGTAAGTTTTGAAAAAAATTTGTATAAAAATTAAGAATTCCTATTAAAAATGAAATATGTATAATTGTTAAGTCAGTTTTAACCTAATATTGGTAAATCTTTGTAAGTATATAAAAAATTATAAATGGTAAAAATAAATAATAAAAGTTCAGAAATTAAAAAAATATTTCTTTTTACTTAAAAATTTACAATTTATTTGAAAAACTTCATAATATTTTATGAATATTTAATAGTTTAAATTTGTTTTATATGATTTTCATAGTGTAAAAAAAGAATGAAAAATAATCAAATTGTAAATAAAAGGTATTTTATAAAAAAATAATCATAGCATAAAAATTTTCATAAATAAATTAACTTTTCTTTCATTTAATTGATTAATGAGATATAAACATTATTATTAGTAAAGATTTATATTAGATTTAATTGTTTGATAAAAATTGATTTTTAGAATCAGAAGATTAAAATATTAAAATCTTTATTACCTTATTTAATTTTTTGCAACTTAAATATGTTTTAATTAAATTTTTTAGTATTTATTAAATTTTAATCCAATTTATATCAATAGCATTTATTTACAAATAGATTTATTTGAACTTTACTTATGAAATGGTAGATTCACTTTAAAGCAAATACATTTTATAATAAAAAGAATCTTATTATCAATTATGGATATATTTATAAACCTATAAGGTAAGTAAGCTTTAGAATTGATTTCATAAAAAAACTAAGTCTAAATTATATATGCATTTTAAACAACAGATGATATTTCATTAAAGTTTTATAAAGATTATAAATATATTAACGATAAAATAAATATCTTAATGGTTAACACAAATAAAGTAAGAAATATATCAATCAATATAAATAAATAAAGAATCAATATAATATCGTTTTGAATATCAAAGTAAAATAAAGTGGTTTGGTTTATATAAGATATTATAATATTAATCAATTAATTTACTATATTTTGAAAATATATATAAAAATTAAAATTTGATTGTTTCTTTTATTGAATAAGTAATTAATTAATACTAGTTATTTCCATATAAAGATAGAAAATATGAATGAACCTTAAGCAGAAGGAGACCAATTTTACAACACTTCGCCAATTTCATTTGATGATTTCAACAACCTGTCATCAGTCAATGAATCTTCTGGTGAATAAAGTAACTCTAATTAGATTAATGGCTAGGCCAGTAACAAACAAGTAAATTTCTCTGGTTAATTCAATCCTGTTTAGGAATCAGTAAACAGAGATGACTACTTTATAAGAAATAGTAATTAGCAGATATTATAAGAACAACACATAATTTAGTCGTAGCAAGGTTAACTTTTTGATGATGAGGATTTCTTCTAGCAGCTAGAAGCAACAGACAATCCTTAATCCAACCAATAAATCAATTTTTTGAATGAGAAAAAAAGATCTTCAAATAATAATATTATGAAAGAATAGACTTAAGAGAAGATATAATAAATAGATAACAGACTAGTTATTTAATAAACAAATATTTGGAATCCCAATGAAATATTTGCTAAAAAACCTAGTCAAAGTAAAATTCATATTATCAATAGCAATTTATAAAACAAATTAATTTTATTTAGCATAAAGATAAGCTGAAGATTTAATCAATCAAGATTTTTATGAATAAGAGCATTAATAATTATCTATTGACTCACAAGAGAGAACAGAAAAGTTTCAATAAGATTTATAATAAAGAAAGTTGCATAGTGAAGCTGGCAGCAGCTAAGGAGAAATCAAATCGCAGTCCTCTATTTAAAATATTTAAAACAGAAAAATGAGTAATTAAGAATTGTTTTAACAAAAGAACAAGGTTGATTAGCTTAACGAACTTGAATAGTAAATACAAAAATTTCAAGAAATTCAATAATAAATTGAAAAAAAAAGGAAAAGCTCTTCTCTGAAATCGTAATCGCAAATATAAATGAGCGAAACAGATTCTCAAAAGAGCAATCCCCAAAATATTCATTAGCTCACTAACGAATCAGATAAATCTAAATAGCTGCAGCAGTTTTACAAAGAAAATTCAAATTAAAAGTATTAAAATTAAAATCCACCTAATTAACAGCAATAAATTAATTAAAAAGAATTACAGCAATAAATAATACTGACCCAACAAAATCAGTAATCTTAGTAAAATAAATAATAGGAGTTCGAAAATCAATAGTTATTATAAATCTAATAGTAATAATAATAATAATTGGAGCTGCAGAAATAGCAGTAATTACAAATTTAACAACAGCATTAACAGTAGAAGCAATTTTAAATTTAATAGCAGTAGTACTCATAGCAATAATAAGTTAATACTTAACAGCAATAGCAATAAAATATTTAACAATAATAACAACAAAATATATAACCTGAAAAGGGACAGAATTTTTAACAGCAACAAAAGTATCTATTAAGTAATTAGCAGTAACTGTAGTAATAGTAACTACAGTTGTAATAACAACAACAATATTAATAATAGCTTTAATAACAATAATCTTAATTATAGGTTTAAAGCAATAGATAGGAAAAGAATGGATTTATTAATGTAGATTACAATACCTTGTAAGTAAATAAATAATAAATTGAGAATAATACATAGAAATTTAAGATGAAATGGGAAAGCGTTTTAAGTGATTCTAAAATTAACAATGACTTTAAAAAATTCAGCAATGGACATTAAAGTATTGAAAAATAACTTAAGTACCTCGAGAATTAGCAGAATATTTATAAACAATAACTTATGAGTTAATAATAGCACGAGGAAGAAGAGAGGAAATACTATTCAAAGCATGTAGAAGAGATTTGTAATTAGATTGGAATGGATAGATCTTATTCACAGTCTCCTGAAAAATATGATTAAATTAAATAAAAGTTAATCTTTAATCCAAACAATAGCTAGAGCAACAATAGCAGCGGTAACAATTAAGCCAATAATAGCAGTGTAAAGAAATATAATTATAAGCAGATCGATAAGTAACAGTTACTTTTAGATAAAGAATCAAATTATAATTACTAGAAAGAAGGGAAATTTTAGTAGATTTTGAGTGAAGGGAAAAGCGATTCAAAACACTAAAAGAATTTTACTTTCTCTCACAATCAACCTACAGATAATGGACCTCTTTTTATTGCCGATATTAATAATAATTTGTTAAACAATTAGTCTAATTTGTCAAACAATTTATCAGGAAACATTAAAAATATTTAAAATATTTCTTAGCAACCCAATATTATCATTGAGCAGATTCCAAGCAGAGTGATGATGGAGAACATAGAAAAAATAGATAACCAATTCTCACTTAGCAATGAGAAATAAGACTTTAGTTAATCTAATTTTCTTCAGAACAATGATGACAATATCATTTTATTATAAAACTCTGATGTAGCTAATTCAAATATATAATATCAAAATTAACAAGACCTTCATTCTGCTAATCTGATGGCAACACAATAAGATTTAAATTTATTATGTCCCCTTCATCCAGAGGAAACTAATATATTTTTTTGTGGCACTTGCAGATAATTTAATATCTGCTTGATTTGTCTCCATCAAGGACTTCATCAAAATCACTATGTCTTAGATCTTTAGCAAGAAATTAAAAATATCAATAATTAGAACGTTAACAGCTTCTTTTTGCATAAAATATGTAATTTTGTTGCCTCATTGAAAGATAGAAAGAACTTGCTTATCAATAAGCAAGATGTTATTACTCAAAAACAAAAAAGGATCATGAATCAATAAGATGAGATTATATTATTTGCTCAGAATAAGCTATAAGAAATTCGAAGCAACGTCGATAACTTTGAAAAGAAAATCCACCATGATATTAATAAAATATTTACTCATTGGTATGAGGGATTTTGTGCTGATTAAGACAAACTTTAAGAACTTGTAGATGATTTGCAGAATGAGTGCGACTATTTTGAATCTGCTTTTAGTAAATTGCCAAGCTAAGCTGAAGGAGATAATTAACTTACCATACCAGCTTCTATTTAGATATATGCAAATAATATTGATAAAATCGAGGCAATACTTTCATAAGAAGATAATCCTGTTTATAAAAATTAGGATCTGAATGTTTCATCTCTTGAAACCAATATAACAGAAAGAAATAACTTAGAATTAAGCACAATAGTAGAAACTTTGAATAACTTTTCGAGAAAAATATAAAAAACATTAAATAAGTTAGAAAAACCTAGCTACCTGGATAGCCAAGCAGCTTATAATTAAAAGAGTTAATTCGAAAGCCTTTAAATTCATAATAGAAGTAAGTCTCCCAAACAGTTAGACACATTTAGAAAGTCTCCTATTTAAATGTCTAAACAAACTACTTTGAATAAATTTAATTAAAACAATATTCTCAGTGAAAGAGCTTCCATTATTTAAGAATAATTCTACAGTCATCTTTATCCAAGCCCTCTATAGAAGTAACAGAATAATGATAATCATTTTAGATCTGAATATAATGTCGAAGAGCATTTTAGAAGCTTTTCGCCTACTAGATTAGAAGCAGGATAGAATAACTCTTAGCATTCCCTTTCTGTTAATTCTATGTTCGGAAAGAATACACACAATACAAATAATAATTAAAATATATTTTAAAGTACATCTATCCTCACTAAACATAATCAGAGCTATAAAAACTTTGAAAATCACAGCCATAGAAAAAGTTTATCTCAAAGAAAAATAGATGTTAACAATATCAGCCAATAGAATAAAAATTATGAAACGATTTCGAGGATAAAGAAAAATTTAGATTAAATAACTCATTCTCCTCTTTCTTCATCATAAAATTCATAAAAAAAATTGCAACTTTTATAAAACAGTATTATTTTTAACTAAATGGCTGCTTCGAGTGCTATTTCTTCTCATAGTAACATAAATATAAAAAAGAGTGATAAAAAATTATAAAATGACAGCAAATTTAATAGCATTTAATAATTGTAGTAAAAATCTAATAATATCTCAATACTTCCAGCTTCCAATAGACAAAATTTAAGAAATAGAAAAAGTGAGATAGACATTACAACACTTAAAACAGGATATGAAGATTTGAAAAATTCAAACAAATTCTTCAATAACATGATTCCATCAAGCACTTAAAGTTAAATTCAGCGCAACTCACCAAAACGTAGCTTAAAAGTTGAAAACTAACTAGCAGCAACCCATAGAAATCTACATAACTCACAACAAAAAACTAGCCTTTTTTCTGCTGAATAACAAAACTCATCTAATAAAATGATGTCAAATCTTATAAAATACAAATAGCTTTATAATATAGGAAAAAGGTCTTTCTTTGATCAAAATTCAAACGGAGGTGATTCTTCAAATAGTAAAAATTTCTAATGAAGAAACGATAAATTAACATAAAAATTGTAATTAATTAATAAATCAATTAATGTATTTAGAGTATAATATAATTTATAAATTATTTTAATATAACTTTTATAATTAATTCAATGTCAAATCAAATCAAATATATTTATTTTTTATTACAAAATTTTTGCAATAATTCTTTATTAAAAAATTACAAATTGATTTTTAATAAATTAAAATGATATCTGTTGAAATATTTAATAACAATAATAAAAGCATTTAAAATACAAATTATAAGGTTATATTTTTATTTTTTCGATTTTTTTTGCAGTTTTAAAATGTTTTTACAAATTAGACTAAACATTCTGGCTAAAGTATTTTTATATTTAAAAATAATAGCTTTTTTAATTAAAGGGTATTAAATAAAAATAAAATTTATTTTTAAATTATATAAAAACAAAAAAAAACTTGAAGTAAATCTAACATTCAATGTTTAAATTATGAATGCTCAATATATAATTTACAATATTGTTATCTCTTTAATATATTTATTTTCTTTAATTTATATATTTTTTATTAAATGAAAAGTGTTTTCTTTAATATCAACAAAGAATAATCAAAATGAAAATTTTAATTTTTTTCAACATTAAAAATCTAAAATAAACTTTCTTAATAAATACTATTATAAAATTTTATATTATTTTTTTTTAATTTTTTGAGAAGGTAACGATAGACAATTAAATTACAAGTCTGAAATATTTTATTTCAAAGTAAGTAAGTAAGTCTCATTTCTAATTCAGTGCCTTCCTAGAACCCTTCTTGCATGGAATCAATTCTAAAAGATTAAAATGGTTAGAAAAGAAATTCATTTTCCTCAAAGTAATTTGAAATATTCTTTATAGACTTAGGCTTGAATTAATTATTCGAGTCAAATTTCGCATCTATGTAAATAAGCACTTTGTAAGCCTTTCTGAATTCTTCGCTTTTTAGATATTCTTTATTAAGAATTGAATATTAATTAAGTACTTATTCTCTTCCTGATTATTCTACCTTTACTTCGATAATTCTTAGACCCATAGTTCTTTTGGCTACCTTTTCACAATTAGACGTAGATAAGAATTAAGGAAATGAAATAAATGTAGGAACATTTTTTTTTTGATTATATGAATATTCCTAGTACATAGTGTCATATTAATACTTTTAAATAGCTGCTCCTCTCACAAGTTTGATTTCTGATATATTCTGATTATCATTATATGAATAGATACACTTTGATAATATTTTAAAAACGTCTTTTAAGTAATTGTAGACTTACATATTCATAGTATTTAAAGAGAAATTCAAAATCTTGTAAACAGGTGTTTCTTGTGTATAAAGTTTGATAAAATTCTCTATTATTTTATCATCATTTTTTGAGGCACCATTCAATGTGAAACATTATTCAATATATTAAACAGTTTATTCCAAATCAACTTATGAGAGGTAAAGGGTAAGTGGAGCTTGAATTTCGTTTTCCTTCACATATTAACATAGTTATTAAAATTGATTCTTTAAATCCTTAATGCTTGATTGAAGTTCCTTAAAACTATGGCTTTTAGGGGTCTAAAAAATATTCAAAATATCTTTAGTTTTTGATCTAAAATAGTAATCCAAGTGGCTATTCTAAATAAACGATCTGTGTATCCTATTGAAAATCATTTTATCAAAGCTAGTGAATAAAAATGAGTAGTCAACTGTCAATTAAGTAACATATTTATATTTTTACTATAGATTCTCGATAGTCCAGTTATTCTTCCTCACTGTATTCATACTTGTAAAGAGGATAATTGATTTAGAATGTAATTTTTAATCTCTAATATTGTTATTGACCCACTGAATATTAGATTGGCCATCAAGTTACTCATTCGCAAATGTTCCACTCATTAAAAACAAAATATTCATTCTAGCAAATTCTATTGATTTTTATCTGAAGTCCTTGCTTTTTTCGAATTTGTAGATTCTATTTTTTAAGAAAGGGTACATGCTTATCAAGCCCTATTTTGCGTGTTCGTTGTCTTCATTGACATAAGGGTCACCCCAAATAATGATGTATTCTTATTAATCACCTTTAAATAATGACGTAGTACTCATTTGAAGATCTTCTTTAAATAAAGAAAGTTCTGTCACATACCCTGCTTTACTTTTATCAGATGGGAGACTGGAATAAGTTGTAGATTGTGAATAAATTTCAAGAAATTAGCTTTCTTCTAAACTATCCATGCTTTTTACACTTTTTTAATATTTTATATCTTTTAATTTAATTATAAACCCCTTAAAGGAAACTTAAATTATTTAAAGCTCAGTACATTCTAAATAATAAGTAAATTTACAAATGAAAAAATATTTTATGATTCCTCAACTTGAAATAGAAAAATTAAGGTAAAATGAATAATAATTGTGATGAATAAATAATATTATTGTTTTAAAAATGGTTAAATAGTAGATTAAGTTTCTTTAAAAATATTAGTTAGAAGAGAAAATTTTAGTGAGTTTAAAAAAAGAAAAATTAGTATTTTTTAATTAAATCAACTTTTCTAAAAAGTTTTTGTATTAGTATTTTCCTTTGTTATAAATCTTAAATATTCTAATTAAGTTTTGAGATTAGATAGAAGGATTATATTCACAATCAATTTTAAATTTTTAAAAATTAACTGAAAATAATTATTTTTTTAAATAACGCAAACATAATTAAATTTTTTAAATATGTTTTGTTTTTAATACATAGAAATTTATCATAAAAAAGATATACAGTTATTCTAAACCCTTGGTCAATATCCCTGTGTCCACTTAATATCCCATGTTTTTAAAAATGAAAAAAGTTTGCAAAAAATATTTTTAGATTTATAATTTTATAAAATTTAAACCAAAATATTTTAATTTAACTCGCTTTCATTTTATAAATTTGTATGATAACTTACTCTAGTAAAATATAGGAATCATCCCTAATCTTGAGAAAGTAATTATAGTTTGTGTATAATTAGTGCATGAGGAATATAAAATATATCACTCGATTTCGAATGTAGTTTTATAGATCTTAGTCTATCAATAGTTAAATTAGTTATTGTGTGTTTTTAGTCTTTGTGTTTTTTATCATATTTTTGCAATTAATTTTTATTAAATTTCTATTTGACTTTTTGATCATATTTTTCAAAAATAAAGAAAATCTTGTTTTAAATATTCAAGTAAGTAAGTATTTGCGGAATAATATTTAAAATTTATAAAAAATATAATATAATAATATAAAATGAATTTATTTTATGAATTCTTTTTACTAAATTCATTATTTAAGATACATATAAAATATTTTATTTTTATTTAAACTTTCTTGCTTCAATCTCTCTCATACTTCTTCTTCTTTAAAAAAACTATGATTGCATTTTTCATTTATGTATACTCGGTACATGCTTACATATTGTAGAAAATGGCTAATAAGACTGATAAGATAAAAGGCTTTGACAAGATTTGTTGAATATAGAATCACTATTACAAATGAAACTACAATACAAACTACTCCTACGATGGTTAAAATAAGTACTGATGTAAATCTAATGATATGAATTTAAATGCAGTTTGTAACCAAGTAGATAAGAGATAGAGCATAAAGACAAAAAACTCCAATACTTAAAGCATAAAGAAGAGTATTCATGTTGTCTATTACATTAGCATCACCTTAGGAAATACATGAAAATCCATCACCTAAAGTTACAGATCTTAAAAAAATAGGTGGACTAAATCCTACAGCTGTTCCCGAAGTAAATATGAGAAGAAGGAGATTACCACTATAAAACTTTTCCATTAAGCGAGTTATAAAATATGAGTTATTATTATATTTCTTTGCATTATCTAAAAAAAATATATAGCAGAGTAAATAGCGAGTGAGTGTTCTTGGGTTATAGCTTTCTTCATTCTTTGGAAAAAATGGAAATATTAAAGAGAAACAAACCATAGCTCCAATAAATCCAACTATAAAATGAGTGTTTACCAAAGTACTGGTGTGCTTACTTAGATAATTGGATATCTTATTCTGCTCAACTTCGCTATAAATTTAACATTAATCTATATTACTAAAGCTTTGAGTTCCATCCAATTAAGATCCAAAAATAATTTAACCATTTCTAAAGTAATTTTTCTTAAGGTACAAACCACTGATTGTTTTGAATTAGCTAACAACACAAGCAAAGTAAGTAATATAAAAAACCAAACCTATAACATAAATACCTGCATACACTTTTGGAGGAGAAGTACTATCCAAAAATGCATCAACCTCCTTCTTTCTTACTTATAAAGACCAACAACAACATGGCTAAGATGCAGCTGGAGGAGCAGGTCGAGGAGGATAATTATAATTCCCTAATTAATCAGACTCTGAAGGTAATCTATTGCTTTAACTCATTTATTTTTGACAAAAAATTTTAATAAAATTGTATTTAAATATTAAAAATAGTAAATTAATGAAATAATAAACCTAAGTATTTATAATAAAAAAATATATTAAAAAAACAATGAAATTTTTATTTCTTAAACATATTTTTTTCTTTTGCTTTTTGGATATTAATCATTCGCTAAAATCTTTCTTTCTTTGTATTATAAATTTAACAATCAAATGTAAGGTGTATTTTTTTGGTTTATAATTATTTGTACAATTTATTGAATATGATGGTTATGCAAAAAGCTAAATCCTTTTAACGCTATTTTCAGTTTTGTAAAATAATATTTTAAAAAACATTTCAGAACATAAATAGCTAGCTATTTGAATATGTTTTGAGTTATTTATTTATTTTATTTTAAAATAATTTGCATTTATCTATGTAAATATATTAGTCGGTATTCATTGGTATTTATATTTCTCTTTTATTATAAAAGTTTTTATATTTTTGCTTTTCCAAAAAGGAAAAACTCAAAAAAGATTAATTAATTAATTAATTTACCTTAATACAACAATTTCTTTATACATTCAAGCTATTCTTACTATTCCAGTGAAAAAAAAAAAAAATAGCTTCATAAGAAAAAATTTAAAAATAAAAAAGCTTATTTTTGTAATATTCTATTTAACTTTCATAAATATCAAATATAACATTTTTTCAAAAACAATTACTGTGAACAAAAATTATGAAGTGGATTTAAAATAACTTTTTTTTATGAATAAGCATGAAGCAAAAAGTAAATATTTAGTTGATGATATATTATATGAATCAAATATTTTGTTAATATATGATCACATTGATTGTCGATATTTTTTAGTCCTTAGAAATAAATTTTAGTTTTCAAATAAATAATTCAATTATATATTACGAGCAAGATATTTTATTAATTTAAACAAACACATAATTTTATATAGATGAGGGATTACTTATTTATTTTAATTATTTGCTTATATTATCAAATTAATTACCTAAATCTTTTCAATATATTAATTGTGCAAATTTGATTTTGAAATAAATTTACAATCATTTTATTCAAAAAATTAAGAAAGTTATAAAATATTGAATGTGTTTAAATAAAATGATTAAAAGAAGAATTTAAGAGTCATTTTTTTATTAATTTGCTTATTCTCCTCTTCTCTACTTACTATTTAATAAGGTTGAAATGGTTAGAAAAAATATACTTATTTTTCATTAAATTAAATTCACTTTTTGTTTTTATCATAATCTTTACCACTTTCTTTTTCTTGTAAATTTTTGTTAATAAAAACTAAGGGAACCAAATAAAAGAGGATAATTTTTTTACTAATTAATTAAAATTCTTGATATATTTTGTCATATTAATCATTTTGAAAAGATTTGCTGCTAATTAGATTAACAGTTAATTAATTCTTATATAAATCAGGCTTTTTACAATAGTTTATGCAAAGTGAACAACTTTTAATAAATATGAGGGAGGATTCATCTTGTTTTAAAACATACTTTAAATTTTATAAACTGATGTGTCTTAAAAATAGAGTTTTATAACATTCTACACTATTTTAGTGAGTGCTATTACTTGAAGCCCAATTTTTAGAAAACAAATTCTTAGTTTTCAACAGTGCCTTATAGATCCATTTTTAATAGGTAATGAGTAAGAGTAGCTTGGATATCTGAATTTTATACATATTTGCAAATTTTTTCTAGTTGTGGTTTTTAATATATAAGGAGAAGAAATAAGTTACTAAGAGGAATCGCTAGTAATATTGTAAAAATATTGAAAATATTTTGTGTGCTCTTATTGAAAATAGTATTCCAAGTGGCTATTCTAAAAAAACAATATGTATATCCTATCGAAAATAATATTATCTAAACTAAAAAATTAAGGTTGATTAAACTAAATAGAGTGCAATTTGTGATATTTGTCATTTTAAAATATTTAAAAAATACTTTGAAAATGAAATATAATTTAAAATAAAGCAAATAGTATTGAATTAAGATGTGAAATAAAGCATAAATAAATTATAAAAAAATTTTAATTTATTATTTATGAATAAGAAAAATCAAATAACAATCTTTAAAAATTCTTTAATAAAAAAGGCTAATTTATCAAACATTTTTCCAAGTATTTATTTATCAAACATTTTTCCAAGTATTTATTTATCAAAGCAATTTTTTATTTATTCATTAATCTATATAAATAAATATGATTTAGTTAAGATAAAACTAAAAAGATAATGAAAAATCATTATTTTTTAAAAAATTTTTAGCTTAAATTATAGAATGTTTTTTTAATTATAATTTTGTTATATGTGATTTTAAAAGCTTTAGTATTATGTAAGTATTAGGAAATAAATCTATATAAAAATAATCCTTTTATCTGTTAAATTTATTTGAAGCATATACTAAATTAAAGAAATCTTATTATTTAAAAAAAATAAAATATTTTTTTTTTTTATTTTTGAAAAGAAGAAATAATAATAAATGATAATTTTAAGATATCTTCATTCATTTTTATTGATTGATTAATATTGTTATTGTCTAAAGTCTTTAATGTAAATTAATTCATATGAAATAAAGATATTTACATTCAATCATTAGTTAATATAAACAATATTAAAAATTATAAAATAATGCTTAACATGAATGATATTTAAATAAATACCATAATATTTTTCTTTTATTTAACAAAAGATATACAGATTATTTAAAAAAATAGATTTTTTATTTTAAATTTTATCATATAAAAAAAGTACTTTTATTCAATCGGGTAGATAGTAGTTGTGTTAAACAAAATAATTAAGAACATACTGTAAAATAGTTATTGGTTGCGAGTTAAATAATAATATGTAAAATATTCAAAAAATAGATAGAAAACATTTCAATTAAAAAATTCTAACTATTAAAATGCTCTGAGATAAAAATATTAAGATTATTTTGATTAAAATCAAAATCTTTTTATTTTTCTTTTAAGAAACATTTTATTTATTTTGCAAACAAAAAATAAAAACATTTTTTTTTTAAATACAAATTTTGATAAATGCTAATAAAAGAGTTCCATAATTATTAAATATTTGTTGTATTTTATTTAAATGGCATCTCAGTAAATTGAAAATAAAATAAACATTTAATTTAATAGTGAGAGTTAATAAAATAACTAAATTTTATTATCAATTTCATTCTTAATATTCTAAGTATATTTCATGAAATTAGATTGCTTGATCATCGTTTCTTAAGTTGTCAGGCTCAGTAATACGTAAAACTTTAAATTTGCTAAATGGCTAAAATAAAAACTCTTCTTCACTGTATTCTGAAATTTTAGAAATATACTTAGGTCTATACGGATTTTCAAGGCTAATATTTGCTTTTATGTGGAAAATTACCTTATAAAAATTAGACATGTCTTTAGGCAATAATCTAAAATCTTCTTCATCATGATTTTTAAATTCCTCATAAATAGATTATTTTATCTCATTTTAACTTTTTGATTCTTCTTTTTCTTATCCTTCTTAATTATTTTAAAATCCAATTTAGTCTTCATTTCTAGGTTCTACTTAGGATTCATCTTTTAATTCCTCTTCTTCATTTTCTTGGTTAACAAATTGTTAATTTATATTTTAATTTGTTTATGTGTTTTGAACAGAATTTTAATTTTAGAGCAAGAAAGGTCTAAATTTTTTTATCAACTAATATACTTCTTTGCTTATTTTGCTTGTTTGTTATCCTTATTGATATTGATATAAAATTGTATTATCCAGCAAAAATTTTCTTGAGTTATAAATTATTTCATAAACTTCGTATTCCATGTTTTCAAAGCCACTCTCAGTTTGTGTTTAGGTTTATATCTGCTATGGTGCTTCTTAATCTTGAGAGCTACTCACTATTTATGTTTAATTTTATATCTATTATGATGCTACTTAGTCTTGAGAGCTACTCGCAATTTTAGTTTAATTTTATATCAGCTTTGGTGTTACTAAGGATTCAGAACTACTCAGAATTTGTGTTTATATCTACTATGGGGCAACAAGATATTGAGCTACTTATTTATCTAGCGTTGTAGAAATAAATGAGGGGAAAAAAATGAAGGTTTTTTCATTTTTAGATTCTTTGAGAACAAATTAATAGGAAATTTATTAATAAAAGCTTTTAGAAATGACAGAACCTCTGTATAATTTGAGTTGTCTAAAATTATTTTCGTCATCATATTTAGTGAGAGCTGCAGAAAATAGTTTATAAACAGGTTTCATGCAGTCATAAATAAGAGGATTTAAAGTGCAAAGAGTAAAATTAACTAATTTATATATATCTCCTTCTTTTGAAAACAAATGAATTAAGTTATTTACTATGTTTTATTTTTAAATAATTTAAGATTTTTGAGTGATAGTATTTTATTTGCAGCATTACTTGATTTTATGTAAAAAATTTTTAACCAAACTCTCATCTTTGAATTTGTCAAGAGGTGAATCTGAATTTACATTTTTCAACAAATCAATCAATCTCTTTAATTTTTCATCTTCTATATTAAGCTTTTTATATTATTTATTCAAATCAAAGTATTCAGACTTAGTAAAAATATTTATTAGCTTAGTGTCCTATTCGCTACTTAAATAATTTTATTGATTTTCTTGCAGCTCAAAAGGAATGTGAGAATAATTATAAATTAAATTTAGCATTTGCTAAACTAATTATTTATACTTGTGTTCAAGCGCCATCAAGCTAGGATATTATGATTAAAGTGTAGCGAGACTTAAATTTTGTTGATTAATTGTTTACTCGCTAGTGTAAATTAAAATGTATCTGCAATTAATCTAACAATTGGTTATTAGTTAATCTACGTACTTTACATTTTGAAAGTTTTTCTGAGTAGCAAATCTTCCGCTCATCATAATCAGAGTATTTTTACTTCCATATTTCTATAATTTTAAATAGAAATCAGACTCATTAAAACACTAAAAGATGTTCTCCTCCTTGAAATTATAAAATTCAACTAACTAGTTAATCAAATATTTATTATCTTAATTATTGTTATAATCACCCCATATTATAGTTGTGTTTAATAACCTCTTAGCTTTAACTTTTTGCTCTGGAAGTGGACGTTGAGTATTATTACCCATTTGAGTTCTACAATATTTTAATAATTCTTTCAATTGTAAGAATAATTAAATCATTCAATTAACGAAGCAATCAACTAAATGAATTAATAAATACAAATCACATTATGAGACTAGGATTAGTAAAAGAATTATTTTAGAATCACTTTATTTAAAGGTAAATAGTAGGTAAATATCATTTAATTTCATATAAATTGTTTATCCTACAGAATGATTGATTGCTTGCTTGCTTGCTTACTTACTTACTTGAATAAGGAGAACAAATTCTTTTAAAATTTCGCATTCATTATTTTTATATCCATTAATCTCTTTTTAGTCAATTTAAAATTTAAACAATTCAAAATATAAAAAAATTATTTTTTTTTGAAAAATTAATTTTGTTTTATCTTTTATTTACATTTACTTCTCAAAAACAATTCAATTTATCTCATTTTTATGCAAGAGAAAATTGATTAAAGATTCTTTAATTTGCACTTTAAAGAATAAAATTATAATTTTGCAAAGAGCTTTTGGCTTTTGTAAAAATAAAAAATAAATGGTTTTGAAATAAATGCTTCTTAAAATAGTAATTTAATATTTTTACAAATTAATCCGCAAATTATTAATTTTAAATGAAATCAGATTTTAAGTTGAGAAAATTAATAAATTAATTTAATACTTTAGTATAAATAAATGCAAGAAAGATTTATGCGAATAGTAATTTAAAATATTTATGTTTAAAATGTACTTCATTATATCTAATTTAATTATTATTTTAATGTTTAATATATTTTCTTTCATAATTATTATTGTTGTTATTGCTATTGTTATTGTTGTTGTTGTTAAATTTGCTAGTTTAGTTATAAATTGGTTAGCCTTTTGAGCTATCTTCTAGCTCTAGTGATTAACTACTATTAGAGCATCTCACTATCATAGATTTTTAATGATAAACTTGTTAGCTTAACCATATTTTTAAATCCTTTTCCTAATCCAAAGTCTTCTTCTTAGCCTTTGATATTGTATGAACCAAGTGAAAAATCTAAAATTCTTAAAGATTTTAAAGAATGGATTGAATGAGCTAAATCCGAAGCACCCTCATGAGTTATCAGATTATTGAATCCTATATTTATTTGAAGGCATTGAAGCATATTTACATTTTTTATTCCTTCAGCTATTGCTTTTGAACCTTCTAGACCAATTTTATTATAATCGCCTATAGTTAGTTATAGGGTTTTAAGGCTTTTTAATAATCCAATACAATTTCCCATTTCGATAGCACTCTCGGAACCAATATTATTATATCCAATTAAAAATTTTAACTTGGTTAGTTATGTCAAATTCTTAATGCCTTGTATTAAAGATATAGCCCCTTCTTTTTGGATCTGACTGTATCCTATTTGTATAGATAGTTCTTATAGACTGGTCAAGTATTTCAAACTCTATCCAAGGCTATAAGCTCCTTCGATGCCAATATTATTTTGAATTCCAATTGAGAAAGAGAGGTTTTTTAAGTTGTAAAGATTTTAAAATGCCAAACCTATTCCCTAAGCTCCTTTTGAACCTATAAAATTTTAAGTGCCAATTTAGAAGGAGAGACTAGTTAAATTGTTTAAGTTTTTAATACTCTCACCTAATTCTTATGCTCCATCTTCACCAATATAAGTATTGTTTCCTATTTCAAATTTCAACGTTGTTAAATTTATTAAAGACCTAAGCTATTAGCTGAGTATTTTTGTGTCATCCTTGTTGAGACGACTTACTATTGAGCACTCTTACTTTTTACTTTACTCAAAGAAAAATTTTTAAAGCTTCTCTAAATTAAAAGTAGAACTACAAAATAATTCGCTATTAATTTATTTATCGCAAAGCATGATAGTTCTAAATATATAAAGATTATTTGAATATATATATCTAAATTTATTGATATATTTCTTATTTTTTAGATTTTTAATTTTTATAACAAAATTCCACTTGATTTTTTGATAGTTTTAATGTTAAAAATATAAGGAATTACTATTATTGTTCTATTTATATTCAAAACAAACTCACTTTTAGCTAATTAATTTAATTTATCCCCAATTTATCTATTATTGCATCAGAAATTTATATCTTTGCAATTAATTTCATATTTATTTTGTTGGAAACTTCATGTAAATTTATGAGAAATCACCTCAAAATATTGAAAGTTTTTTGATGTATTTTAAAAATATTCTCAAAAAGCGAACAAAAAAAAAATAAAAGTTAAAACAATTCTTTTGGATTTTTAGCCTAAATTATAAATTTTATATAAACTCAAAAATAGAATTTGTTTATGGCTATCTTATATATTTATTTTTCATAAAATAGATAGATTTTGCAAGGTTTCTAAAAATAATCTAAAACAAATTTATATTTTCATCGATTAATCATATTACAAACATGCAACCACCTTTTTATTTGTAAGCAAGCAAAATTAATAATTTTTATCATGAATAATAAATAATTTATTTATTAATCTAAAATATTTGTAATTCAATCTTATTTGTAAAGATTTTTTTATTAGTCAAAGAATATCTTGAAAAGATTTTATTTTTTTTATTTTTAAAAAGAAAAATAAAATGCTAAATTTTATGACTTATCTAATAATTCGCAAATCATTTGCTTTTATTTTATAATATCGAGTCAACATTATAAAAATATAATTACGTAGTTTTTTGTATCGTCATAAAAAATAAAAACTTTATTAATTAATTTTAGAATTTCTTTTAGAAGCTTTTAATTTTTACTGAAAATCCACATGTGTCGAATTCAGCCTCTTAGATTCTTAAATTTCCTGTTTGTTTACAATATCAAAAAAAATAACTATCCTTAACAATTTTAAAGCCAAATGATATGAAACACACACTTTTATTTTTCTAAAAACTCATTTTATTTATCGCAATAAGCTAACATGCTTTTAAGTAAATTAGCTTTTAAAAAACTCTTCCAAGTAAATTTTTTAATTATTTAGTAAAATGAAAAATATTTTTAAATTTTATAAAATTTATCTATCAAATCTTCTCTTAAAAATTAATAAAAAAAGAATTTAAATATATTTAAAATTAAAAAAAACCCATGTGTCTTCATTTTGCTTTAAAATTATTCGTAATTTATTTATGAGTATTATTAAAAATAAATAAATTCATCAATATTATATCATTAAAACTATTTGTGTTATTAAGCAATTCATGAGTTTTTTAAATAAATGAGAATCTTCATATTACTTACAAAGGTTTTATAACAATTTAAACTTTTTTGCAAATTAAATTTGTATTTTAAAAATTTTTAAGACTTTTTAATCATAACAAGAAAGCAATAAATTTTCTAAAGTCTAAAAATATCTTTTCATCTAAAAATTTAAATATTTTTTAAGATAGAAAAATAATTTTTGATAATAATGATAAAGTCAACTATCAAAATAAAACTTTTTACAATGATTTTATTCTTAAAAATGAGAACATAATCTAAATAAACTTAAAGTTATTTACATGAATTAACTAATTTTATAATGATATAAACAAATAAATTAGACATAAAAAGCATTTTATTAGGAATAATTATACATTTTAACTTGAAACAATTTGCTTAAAAATTTATCCTAATAATTTCAAGTAGCTTAATTAATTTGATGCTCTTCTCAGATGTAATCTTAGAGAATATGAAAATCCTCAAGTTCATTTATTAGCATTTCGCATTTAGGACATTTCGATACAAGAGTTTTTACATCAATATCTTCTCCTTTTACTATTTATGAGTTAGCATAGTGAGATAGTTCTATAAAATCAAATACTGTTTCACTACAAACTACTTCGTGGGTTGAGGTTCCACCTTAAAGCCAAGGAAAATCATTTATTTCTATTAAGTATGGGTTCATCTCATCATCAAACATGTAATCTGTTCCAAATATTTAGAAAAGACCCTCCTTTCTTCCTATTAATTCCTTTGAGCCTAAGAAAATGTAAGTGAGCATTTCCTTCATCTTTTTGTAAATCTTCTCCTAAATAGAAGTTAATCTGACTTTATGTTCTTCCCTCATTACTTTTTCAAATTTCTCCATGCTCCAATGGGAGTCATCTTTATCAATTTAATACAATGGGTGCTTCTTCTAGATATGGGTGTTGACTAAATGAGTCATCAAGTCTTAATCATTTTTATCATATTAATTGTAGGTTAACCTCACATAGCCATGCCTAAAAAAGACAATATATGGATCTGCGCTTGCTATTATTACATAACTTCTCAAATCAAATTTTCTTTTATGTAAAAGGAGAGGGTTTTAGATGTATTGTTAAATTATCATTTTTTCTTCTTTAATTTTTCTATTTTTTTTATTTTTATTTGATGTTATCAATGTCCTATTTGTTTTCAAAGAATCAATGTATTAATCAACTTCTTCATTGTAATTTTTTTATTTGATAATATCTAATATTGCTTTGAATTGATCATAAAGAAGGTGATTTTATTTTACAACTTTGTTTTCCAAGAGTTTAATCCAGTGTGTCTTCCAAAACATCAGTAATCCATTTCTCTCAAACCTATTTCTAAAATGACTGATTGACTTTAAGTGCAAAATCTGATTTATTATTTTTTCACTATCATTATATATTTATATTCCTTTCCCTCCAATCATATCTATAGGCTTTGAAATCCACATATAATCTGTCCTATTATAAAAGAACTAAGACTCTTCTTCATTTACATAAGAGGCTGAAAGATTTATTTCAAAAGTTTCTGGAATTTATTTCAAACCTTTGTAATTTTTTATAATATTGCTATCATCGAAATTTTTAATGAGAAATGCAAATGTATTTTTTAAATCAATAACCCACGAATTAGGCAAATAAGAAATCTAAGTAACATTTTTCTTAAAGTAAACTTCTCTATTTATATATCTTCTAAAAACTATGTCACTCTATTTTAACGATAAATCCTTTTATTGTTTACTCTATGTTAGATTTCTACAGTGAGGAGGTAGAACTTCATATTTATCTGTATGTAATGCATAATATGTATGATGAAATACAAATTCCCTATTGCACCAAATGTGGATTCTTTTCACTCTGTAATCGTAGTCATACTTAAATAGCTTGAAATCTCTATCTTTTGCACAATAAATTGTATTCATATTAATTAAATGCAGCTTTTCTTAGTCAAAATCTTTATCGTATTGCGTTTTTGTGTATTCCATTATTGGAAGAATGTTTTTCAAAAAGGGTTTTATTTGTTTTTTATATTCTACAAAGCCAATTTACAAAGTCAAAATAACGTTTTTATTTTTTCCAGTTGATTTCTACTCTTCTAAAATCATAATCTTGCTTATATATTTCTAAATTGCAATTATTCTTTCTATTAGCTTAAATCCTTAATCATACTCTTTCACAAGCTTAAACTCTTAAATTTCTTTCACATTTATATCAGTGAATAATTAGCCATTTGCATATTTACAACTTACAAAATACTTTTAATCGCTTTCCCCCAAATTGATTTCTTCATCAACATATTTTTGAATCATGATGACTTAATTCTTTTCTTCGCTATGCTTAATTAATCTATTGATACTCTCCTCGTTTTTGTTGATCTTAATATATTATATATTTCCAAATTATATTGACTTTTAAATATAAATTCCATTATAATCAAGCCTGCTGTTGTTGAAAAAATCTTAATTGAAGACCGGCTCATGATACCCACTTATGTTAATATTCCTCATTGAGGTAGGAATGTAGAAATAAGTGCGGGGAAGAAAGTGCCTATGCTAAATTCTATCTTTGCTTTAAAAATAGTCATCTTATAATTTATTATACAAACTCAGCCAATCTTTGATTTCAAAAGACCCACTTTGCTACTACTCTATATAGTCCAAAAAAAACAATTTAAAAAAGTTGGATTAAATATAAAATGTAGGATAATTATACCTTATGACAATGATATTTTAAATTATAAAACTGCTAAACTTAAAACTATAAAACTAAATAATTTTTACTTCATACTAAAAACATACTTTTATATCTAATTAAAAATTAAAAAATTAGCAAGTAATTAATTAATTGATTGCTGTTTTTCGTTTTAATTTGTGATTTTTTTTAGATATTCATTCTTTATAAATTAAAAAGATATTTTTTATTTGTTAATTATTTTTATTTCTAATTAAAAAAAAAGCTCCGAGACCGGGAATTGAACCCGGGTCTCCTGCGTGACAGGCAGGAATACTAACCACTATACTATCTCGGATTTCATGAAAATTATATAAAATTTGTTATATTTTTATATAACTTATTTGAAATCTAAACCAATATTTTGAAAAAATCATCAATATTTAATTTAATTCAGTTATTAAATGAAATGAATATTTTGTTCCACAAAAAAATATGTTTTTTGAATTTTAATTTAAAGTGAAAAAAATTGTAGAATTTAAAAAAAAAACCTAATTATAATAAAAGTTTAATAGTAAAAAATAATTAATAAAATAAGCATAAAATAAATTTGTCAAATAAAACAATTTAATTACAATCTATGAGAGCGTAAAATAAAACAAAATGTGTAAAAGTATGTTTTTGATAAAAGATATTTAAGAATGATAATAACTTAAATAAGCATATTAAATTTGATAATTGTGCAAGATTCTATTCAAATAATTTTATTTATATCTGGTTTTTCTATTTTAAACCATTATTAAGATAAGAAAAGAAGTTATTAAAAAGAAAAAGTAGATATAATAAAATTGTTTTTCTCAATTTTTATTTTAAGCAAACAAAATAAAATAAATACTTTAACAATAAAAATGTTTTTATTTATAAACTAATATAGCATAATTAATTTAGACTTATAGAAAATATTTCAAAAAATTTAATAGATAAGCTAATATTTAGTAAATGAAAACATAAATTTATTTTTTTAAAATAAATTTTAGTATTTTAAACAATTTTTAATTATTAAACAATTTTATTTTTATAAATTGCATTTTATTAATTAAGTAAGATTAACATTTTTATAAGAAAAAAAGTTTTTTTATTATCAACCAATCAATCAATGATTTTTAAGCAATCTATTAAAGAATCCTCCTTGAATATTTCTCAATTCTGTTACATTTCCACACTCAACTATTCTTCCTTTTTCTAAAACAACTACTCTATCAAAGAGCTCAATATTTTCTAATCTGTGAGTAATTACCAGCAAAGTTCTATTCTCTGCAAATTTAAATATTTGTCTATGTAGTTCTGCATCTGTTTTAGGATCCATATTAGAAGTGGCTTCATCTAAACAAACTATATCTGTTTCTCTCAGAATTATTCTTAAAAAGTTCACTACTTGCTTTTCTCCATTCGAAAGATTTTATCCTCCATCCTCTATTTCAAAATCTAAATTATCATCAGTTTAATTATTTATATTCTGCTCTTTTGAGTTAATTTAAATGACATTCTAATCTGCATTATTATATTATTAACGATCAGAGATATTATCATCATTATTAACTCCATGCGAATTGTCTCTAATTCTTAGATTTGTTTCATTTATTTTCTTTTGAATAATTTCTCTCGGAATTTAACTCTCTGGATCTAAATTATCCTTAAGAGTAGCATTATACAAAAACCCAAATTATGGAATGATAGACATTTTAGATCTCAATTATTTCAAAGAATATTATTTAATATTCTTTCCATCAACATTAATACTCCCAAATTATATAGGATACATGTTGAAAAGCGTATTTAAAATTGAAGTTTTTCCCGATCCAGTTCTTCCACAAAAAGCTATTTTCTCTCCTTTCTTTATCTTAAGACAAATATCTTTAAGCGCAAATTGCACATCTTTAGATTCTGTTGTTAAATTTTTTTCAGGATTGACTTCATCGTAAGTAATATAAACATTTTTAAATTCAATAGCAATATCATTGTTATCTTAATTACATTGCTCTTCATCAATTGCTTTTTTATCTTCTTCCATTTCAATAAAGTTAGGATTTTCTTATTCGTTATTGAAATACTATCTAATACGTTCAACTGAAACCATATTTTGCTCTATTGCACAAAAATAGCGAATTAGATCAGAAAATCTTGTAGAAAGAAGCATTGAATATGTAAGAGCCATGGAAATAGTATAATAGTTGAAATCAAAGTTTCCAATAATCATAACCATACTAGTGACAGATACACAAATAAATAAGAAGTTACTAATTAGCAACAATCTGATTGACATCCAAATTTATATAGCTGAAGCAATTAAATATGTGTTAACACTATCATTTAATCTTTCCATATACTCCTTTAAAATAAATCTCTCTCTGTCAAAAGATCTTATTAATATTAATCCTTTACAAGCTTCGCCTAAACTTGTCAATAATTTACCAGAATTTACTGAGTTCAATCTCTTTATTTCTCTATTTGAGAGCCTAAAGATTCTCTAAACCCAATATATCAGACCAATAGAGATTAAAACAAATACGACTAGCCATGGGAACTAAATCATGACTCCGATAGGATAGCTTTTTAATCAAAATAAATTTAATAAATAAGCATTTTTTATAAAACAACAAATTTTGAATATTATTTAATTTAACTTGAGAAAGTTATAATGGTTAAAATTTTGTAAAATTGTTGATTATATTAGTAATTAAATAAATTTAAGAATACCCGCTTGTGTAAGCCATTTATTCTAAGAAGACATGACAAGTCCAAGGTAAATAATCGTCAATACATAAGATATCATCAGATAATCTGTTAACTATTCTTCCTACAGGGTTTTTATCAAAGAATGTCATCTTACTATAAATGAGACTTTTGTTCAAATTATTGAAGAGTCTTTTACCACTAAGAAGTGCACATGTACAGTAAAATGCAGCTCTGGTGGTTGTGGTAGCTAAGTTCAAAGCAATAAAAAATAAAAATGTATTTGAGAAAGAATTGAAAAGGCTGTTTATGTCTTCAAAAAAAGCACTGCTTGGAGATACATAATCTCTTAGCCAAAAATCCATGATCATTTAAGTGCCTTCCATCAAAAAATTTGTTATGATTAAAAGAATTAGAAAAAATACTCCCATGGATTTAAAGTACGTGAGAAAGGTATCTAATTTAATATTTCCTTTTTCTCTTTTTTCTTCTTCCAATTTCTTTGCTTCTTCATCATCGTCTTCTTCCTCAGCTTTTTTCTGATTTTTTTATTATTATAAAATTCAATAATTGTTTTTTAATTTAAATTAATCTAAAATTACATCTTGGTGCTTGCTACTTTGCTTTTTTTTCAAGTTTAAATCATCTTCTTCTTTGCTCTTATTTAAATCGTTGTTTTGTTAATCGTTGCCTCCAGCTTATTATTGGTCTTCTATTTGTTCATCTGAGTTCAACTAAAGTTCTAATTATTGCTTCTTTTTTTTTTCTTCTTCCTCTTCCTACTCCTTGCTTATTCCGCTATTAATAAATTCTTCAATTTTATCTTACTCATAAACCAAGCTACCCTTCTACAGATAAAATATTCTATTTATGCATGATCTGTTTGAAAATATGCTGAAATGACTTGTAACTAGAAGGACGGTTTTTTTAAATTTCTTAATTAAAGCATCAACTATTACAGATTAGTATACTTTATCAGCAACGTGAGCATCTAAGCTGCTGAAAATATCATCGAATAGATAGATATCACAATTTTAATAAAGAGCTCTGCATATAGCTATTCTTTATCTTTATCCTCCACTTAAATTTCCACCTCCAGGACCTACAATTTTCTCATCTTTCTTTGAAAAAGTATTAAAATCTACTTTCAAATCGCAAGATTCAACACATTCATTATACCAAACAGGATCATATTATTTTCCAAATAGAATATTTTCTTTAATTGTCTTATTTTACAGCCAATGATTTTATGAAACATACCCTGTCCTACCATTAACAATAATTTTCTTCTCAAAATTCGTTAACTTTTCTTAAATAGCAGAACCCTCAATATTTGAAGCGATTAAAGACTCTTAATTATCGATAGGCTAGGAGTCTAACTCATTTAAAATAGCTTATAGAAGGGCTGATTTACCAGAACCTAATTAGTTTTTTTTAAATATAAGCTAGCTGAATCAATTAAATAAAATTTTAAAAAATAAATAAAAAATATTATCTTATCAAAAAAGATTATTCATTTAATTTTAAAAATAAATATTTTTTTATTCATTCTTTTTATAAATTGTGTCAAATAATAATTTTTAACTACTTTAACATTATTGATATTTTTTTTGAGTGAAATATATAAAATAATTTAAATTATATTTTTTAAATAAATTAATCCATGCAATTAAATAAATGGTTATTAATATTAATGAATTAATGTAGGTGGGAAGATTAATTAAATGAAGTGATAAAATAAAAGATAGTTTTTTGAAAGATAAGTATTTGATAATTTTTGAAGGATTATAAAAATAAACATTTTTCAAAAATTTTTAATATATTTTAATTAAAATTTGCTTTTAAATAATTAAAAATATAAATTATTTAATTTTTAATTTACCTATCTTTCCTATAATAATAGCAAGATCTCCTTTATTTACAATAAAATCAAATATTTTTAATTCAAACATGTTTTTTTCACTAACTTCTTGGCTGTTTTCATATTAGTTATCTAATAGTGGTTCTTATATATTTTCTTCTGAGTTCTTACTCTTATTTTAGTTTATTTTTGGGTCTTCTTTTTTCTTCAAATTTTGAGGTCTCTTTTTAACTGGCCATATGAATTTCATCCTTCTCATAGAGATGGCTATTTAATTTACAGAAGTTTGTACTTGGCTATTAGCGAAGCTTTCAAAGAAACTCTCTTAATTGGCATTACTTGAGGAGTTTTTGTTTAACTCTAAGTCCAGATTGACAACTATTTATTTTTATTTTCAAATTAAATTAATAAAATATATCAATTTATTAAAAAAAATACCGTTGTTATGGTTTATTTCTTTCTCATTTAAAAATTTTTGTATTCTTCTGTAAGAAACTCTTGACTTTACTAAATAACCAATACTCCATGGCAAAGATCCGATAGGACCAGTTAATATACCAAACAATGCAATAATTGTAAAGACATTTGAGTCAGCTAAATTATTGCCGTCATTCACATAGCTGACTAAAAAGAAAAACAATAAGAAATAGCTGATGCAATTCCAAAATATGCTTAACACTCCATCAAGACATCTTGTAGTAATGATATAACTGAATTCTTTTGAACGAATTTTTTCAATCTTTTATTTAAATATTTCTTCCCAACCCAAATATTTGATGCTTTTCATTCCTTCAATCACATCTTTGCTAATTGAAACTCTTGCATCCTTCTTTTTGTATTGCCTCCTAAAGAAAAACTTTTATTTTAGATAAATAAATATAAGTTAATTTAGATATGTTTATCAATTTAATCTAAGCTATTAATTACTTGCATAAAGTAAACAACTATTATATTAAAAACAAAAGCAGCAAGTAGAATGTATAGTCCATTATATATAGAGTTACCAATTCTGTAGTATATAAGCAATAACACAATACCAATAGTGATCATATCGACGAAACTCTCTGTAATAGCCCATATAATTTGTTGCTATTAATCTATGTCTACTGTCATTATGTTGTTCGCATCAGGGTTCTCTTCATATTCATTACTCTTTCCTGAATCTTTATCCTTTTTTCCATCTATGCTTGAACTAGCAGATATCACTTGCGTTCTCAAAGCCTTTGTGAAAACTAGATACTGTAAGGTTGCATAAGTATTAGCTTTCCACTAAACTTAATACCATGATTATCTAGTGTTGAATATGTTTTTTAATACATATGCTAGAGATATTGCTGCTAATAAAAGACACAAATCTCTTTTCTAGTCAGAGGAGCCATTATAATTTTTCAATTTATCTGTGATTATATCCAATATAAAAATGCACCCACAGCTCAGCAGAGATTGCATAACAGAGTAGAATAAACAAATAAAAAAAATCTTGCTTGTCATCAAAATATAAATAGATCTTAAGTTGAAATTGTTTGGATCACTAAAATCTTTGGGATGACGCTTTTTGTAGGCTTCTAATTTCTCTATGATGAATCTAACTTGGGTTGATTTAGTAATAAAATCTTTAATATCTTCATTTTATATTTGTTTTTCTTCCTTTTAAAAATCGTTTGCCCTCTTAAATAGCTTAGTTAATGCACTGAATAATATATTATGCTCTCTTGCTTTTATTTCAGAATTAGGTAGAACTTCTTTACAATAAATGTCTCTTTCCTTCTTAGTTGGTTAGAGAAAGATTATTTAATTTTATGACTCTTGCTCTAATTAGTGCTAGTCTATATTTGACTCATTCTATAATTGCGATTTTAATTTTACATCGACTTTTTTACTAGAGCTCATTTATTAAAAAGCTAATATTAATTGAAAGATTTTTAATAAATTTAAATATTCTGTAAAAAAGGATATGTATTTATTTAAAAAGATTACCTAAAAAGCTTTATGAAAAGTATAAAATAGCAAACATTAAATTTTTCTGATAAGAGATGAACATAATTTTTAAAATAATGTTTAAGTTTAAAATACACTTGCAAGGATAGAATCCATTTTTGTGATAAGTTTACTTGTTTTTAAAAATGTATGTATTTAATTTAGAACATTTATAAATATTTGCTAATTTTGCTTTTGTTATATTCAGCAAGCAAGTTATTCTTCTCTTATAAAATTTCAAATCACTTTTGATGATATTAAAAAATTGGATATAAAAATAAATCAAAAAGTTGCTCTCTAATCAAACAATTTAGAAAAAAATTTTCTGATAAGGGTCACTCATAAGTTAAAAAACAAAATGGAATATTGATTTAAATATATTTGATTAAAAACTTTAAACCATACCTTAATTTATTATCACTTATTTAAATATGTATTATCAATAATAAAAATTTAAAATAGTTGAAACACACTTAACTTCAAAAAACAAACTTAATTAAAAATTAACTTAACATACAGGTTAGACGGTAGTAAAAATATACATCCCAAATATCGAAAGAGTATTACAATAAAATACTATATAAAAGAAACATACAAAAAATGACAAATTACACAATAAAGTGACTAGCTAAGGTTTATATTATATATAATTCTAGTATTTATATTTTTTTGTCAAAGAGGTTAATTATTTTGAATACTCGAAATTTAAATTGTTAAACTGCTTTAATTTTATTTTAAAAGCTATTATTAATAAGTATATTTTTCCAATATTTATTATTGCTTAACTATAATAAAATCAAATAAATATGCAATAATTTATAGAATAGCATATAGTGGCTGTAGGAGCATAAGGGCAAATATATTCATTACTAAAGTTAAACTGGTGTAGGTGATGACTTCAACATAATTACTAGAGTCGGACTTTGAAGAAAAAAAACTTATTATAAAGTATTAAATATAGAGTGTTAGCCAAAAGAAGTAATTTACTATGAAATAAATATTTGTCAGTTTTGAGATAAACGGTCTCAAAATTATCGTAGTTATTAATTAAATTAAAGATAAAATTATAGATATTAAACAAGTAATCATCCAATATGAACTTAGTTGAATAAAATAAGTTGGCAGAATGACAGTTTCTAATACAAGATTGATTAAAAGATAATTCCTTCTATATTTACATTCATAAATTGTACCACTCTAAATTACTTTTCTGTTCATAACATAAAAATTCCTGTCTTTACAATTATAAGATTCTCTATTTAGATAATAGATCAGATACTATACTATCTTAAAGCAAATGAATATCAAAAGAATGACAAGGCATAACTAAATTTCTTTTTATTATAAACCTTCTATTATGAAATATTTTATTTATGTGTTTATAGCAACCATGAAAATTAAAATGCAAAGCTGAAAATATTATATTATTAATAAACAGAATAGATTATTGTACAATTTCTCTGAAATAATTTGGATATTTTTATTTTCTACTTTTTCTATTAAAAAATAAAATAGAGTAAAAACAATCAGACATCCAAAAAATAAAATTAATCCAGATCCACAATTATAAATCATATCATAAGGTATATCAACAGAATAAAATCTAGTATCATAGTATTAAATTAGACTCTCATTTTGTGGTTATTTTAGTACATTTAAAAAAGAAAGCTGTTTAGATGGAAACTAATCTATTATTTTTAAATTAAATTTATAAATTTAATTGTAAAATAATCTTTTTTGTCAGTTTTATAATCAGGAAAATCTCTTTATACATTTATATCATAAAATAACTTTTATTTAAAAAATGTATTTAAATGTATTTTTAGACTATTTATATTAGAATATATTTTTTTTTTGAAAGAAAAATAATGACTGTAACAAAAGAAATATGGGGGTTATTTGTTAATTATCCTTACTAAATTTAATAAAAGGATTAATATAATTATAAATTTTAAACAAGTCAAATATTTTTTATTATTGAGCGGACCCCTATTTTATGATAAAAAAATTGTTGAAGGAATTTTTCAAAAATCAGTTATTTTTTTCTATCTTTATTGATGATGAATTATGGTTATTTTATTTACCTTTGATATTTTTTAATGGCATGAAAACAAAAATGGGCATATTAGAATCTATCAAACCAAGAAAACCTAGCTTTGAAATAACTATTCCTTAAACCATAATCGAAAAACCTTATTAATTTAATAAGCTAGAAACGACAGTCTAAGCATAGGAACTGTAAGTAGAAGAACTCGATATCGTTTTTGAAGATTAATTTATACCTCCAATTAAACTTTAGCTTATTAATGTTTAGTTTTTTTAAACTAAATAAACTTATTAGCACAAAGAGTTAAATTATATGAATCCTTCATAACAGCTTGTACATTCTTTTTTGCTACTTCCACTGCAAGTTTAACATGATGAATGACAAGGAATACATTTTTCTTTGCTTTTAATAAATAATAAAATAATAAGTAAACGTAAATTTTATTTGCAAAATATTAAATAAAAATATTTAAATCATTATATTTTATAAATAAAGTATTAATATATTTATTTTTACCTTATAAAGAAAGCAATACTTGTATCACAAATGCCACATGATCCATCTGGAAATATATGGTAACCTTCTTAACATAACTAACAACTTGAGGAGTTTAAACAAATTTTACAATTTGGTTAGCATTAATCACATTTGTAAATGTTTTCAAAATATTTATAGAATCCATTTTAGGTATTACACACTTTGCAAGACCCATCTGGAAATAATGAGTAGCCTATAGAACATTCCTAGCAATTAGTAGAATCTTTACATACTGAGCAGTTAGATTAGCACTAACCACATCTATCAACATTCAAAAAATATTTATAAAATCCATTTTATGTATCACATATTTAGCAAGACCTATCTGGAAATAAAGAATAACCTTTAGAACATACCTAACAATTAGTAGTATCTTTGCAAACTGAGCAATTAGATGAGCATTAACCGCATCTGTCAACTTTCAAAAAATATTTATAAAACCCATTTTATGTATCACATGTTTTGCATGACCCGTCTGCATATAGATAATAACCTGTTTAACACTGTTGACAATTATTAGAGTCTTAACAAACTTAACAATTAGTTTAACACTTTCCACATCTATCGACGTCTTAGCGATATTTATAATATCCATTTGATGTATCACAAGTTTTGCATGATCCATCTGAAAATAGATAAAAACCTGTTGAACATTTTTAACAGCTTGTAGAATTTTAACAAACTTCACAATTTGATGAACATTAAAAGCATTTATTACCACTTAAATAGTATTTACTATTACATATGCATTAACCATTAACAATAGTTGCATTAGGATCACATTTGCACTATTTATTAATAGTATCAACTTAGGCAGAGCTCGGACAAGAATTATTGCATGTTTTATCAAACTGGAGAAAATTACCTTAAATACAAACTTAACAAGTTTAACCATCTATGCATTCACTGCACTTAGAAATACAGCATTAACTGGGATCTTACTTAGAACAATACTAGCAATTGGCAGAGCAATAAAGGGAGTTTATATTTAAAAGGTAGTAGTTAGAGCCCTTCATTAAATAAATAGTTGATCCCTATTTTATTTATCATCAATAACAAATTAAGTAACATAGTTTAATATAAAATAAAAATTTACTTTTTGAAAATTGGAGATGAAGAAACTATTCGGAACTTAATAATAAGTTGAAGGTGATTAGAAAATCAATTTAACATTAATATTATCAAGCAAAGAATTATAAGTAACCGAATAAAGGTTCCTTTAGATGTATACATTATTCTATTTAAATATATTCGTAAAGCTTAATTTCAAAAAATAAAAATTATCTACTTACTTCATATTAAAATAAGTCTTAAGGATTAGTAATTGTTAGTAAAGTATCTCCTGAAGGGGTATTTTGAATAACATTTAGTGTTAGCGCATCAAAAAAGGTATATTATTAATTATTATAATTATATCCAAAAAGTAAATTTTTCTATTTTATAAATAAAATCAATCAAATTAATTTAATATAAAAAGTAAATAATATACTCCATTAGAACTAAAGACCTTAGATATAATAGCATTGTTAGTATCACTTATACCAAGGTCATATATTTATGAACATTTAAATGTTACTTAACTCATTTTTGCTTTACAAAGTGATTTATTTAATAAGAAAATATCAAAGTTTAACTATTTTAAAAAAATATTTTTTAGTTATTAATTTTATAAATTTAAATAATAATTAATCTATTTTATAATTAAAAATAATTCTTTAACAATATCGAATTTTTAATATTTCAGCTTCTTCAATTTTTTTTATTTATTTGGATAAATTATATAAAAATTAAAATATTTCAAATTATTAAATTGAAAATATTTAAAAAATTTTTTTATTTAGTTTTTTGATCATTTTAAATTAGAATTTAAATCAAATTTGTGAAAAGCAAGCTGACTAATATTTAATAGATGATTTAATGTTTAGTTATATTAGCTATTTTGCTAATAGAACCAAATGTGAGAAATATTATTCTTTAATTACTTAATTAATTACAAAATTCTGTTAATTACTGTTTATAACTAAGTTAATTAACATCAATTTTTATTTCTTTTTCTAGTTATTTCTTACTTTTAATTAATTGAAATTAATTTTGATAATTTCCCTAAAAAATATGCATTTGACTGCTAATAACAAAAATCCATAGAATGAGTCGTACCAAATATCATTAATTTTATATAGAAGAGAAAACGTAAGTAACATATTTTTAATTTTTCAACTAAAAGAAAATTAATTACATCATATAAAATTAGGTCTTTAAGTCCAGAAGGAAAGTCCGTATATAAAATATCTTTATATACTAAGTAATTTTAATTTATTGTTACAAAATATTATCTAAAAGAATAAGTGCCTTTACTAATACAATCATTCGATGTTTGTAAATCTTAAAGAGAAGTTCCTTTAACAAGTTTACAAGAATCTGAAACACTATTTATGTAATAATAATACTAGCCCTATTCATTTTAGACAGAAAATTAATTACTTTACCTTTTTCATTTCTAAAAATTAATTTTACATATCTTCTAACAAATGGATCTTCGCAGTTTTAGCTATTTTTAAAATTCAATCTTTACAAATACCCTTATTTGCTACTAGTCAAAATACTAAGATCGATGAGTTAATATTCTTTAGTTCCAATCTAAAAAAAATAAAGCAATTTATTATCCTTTTTTTAAAAAATAATGTTCGATATTTTTTCATAATAGATTAGTAAAGTTTTACATTTTCTAGGAAATATTAGCTTGGTTAACCAGTTGAACTTTATTATAAATCACTAAAATCATTAATTAAATAAGTGTAGACTATATTTCCACTCTCATCCAAGACGCTATACCTCCATGTGCTATCAGAAGTAGCTTTATAAATAATTGCATTAGTTTCCTAATAAAAGACGAAAAGCTATTTAATGATTCTAATTAAAAAAAAATGCTATACTGCTATCAAATAAACTTAGCTAGAAACTTAAATAGGTATTTAATCTTAGCAGTAAATTAAATTAAAAGCAAAATGAATGAGTAAGAACACTATTTGCGTCAATATTTTAATCATTCTATAATCCTAACTAATTTCAATTTATTTACTTCTTTATTTAAAGAGTTTTGATATTTTATTATTTGTTATTTTAATTAACCAATATTATTATTTGTACCACCAATTTACTTATTAAGTAAATTTAAGCAAATATAACGATAACTATTAGTCTATCTACCTATAAATCAAATCATTTCTTTTACTTAACATTTAATTTATACACAATACATTTTTTTCACGTGTTATTAAACTTTCTTTAGTAATAATACTCAATATCATGTTCTAAAAAAACAATGAATGCAGTAAGCGAGGCAGTTTATTTTGTTTAAACTAAAATAACTTATGATTAATAAATTAATTTTTATTCACATAAATTTGTATCGACTTGTTTGATGATTAAATTATTTCTAATTAATTGAAAAACTAATATTTCCATTTAAATTGTGAATACTTACATTTTTAAAAAAATTTAATTGTAAATTTGATGAATTCTAATTAATTATTCTATTTTAAAAAATATAAAATGAAAATATTTTAATAAATTAAACAAAGTTTGAATAAATTTATATTTTATATAATTAATGAAAAATAAATAAAAAGTAATTTAAAATACAATACCAATAAATATATCATCAGAGATAATCCAAAAGTTGTATAAGTAATTATTTAATAAACAAATCTATTTAATCTTAATTCATTTTTTCTTTACATAAATATCATAAATTAGCTATTGACCATTTAATGAATTTTCAATATTAATAATCAATATCATCAATCTGTAAGATTAGATAATAGGGTTAAATTTGTTTTAATTGAATCAAATATCTTTGTGTATTTTAATTTTAATTGAGAGAGTAGATTTTCTATTTATTTATAGTTATTATATCCTGAAAAATATTTTAATAGCAACAATTTTACTTTTGTAGCTTTTTTAAATTTAAATTCCTCAATTATTTGATACATTTGATAATAAAATTAATAATTAAAAAATATTTTAATTATAAAAAATAAACTATATTTCTTAAATTTATTTTTAAAAAAGTATTAGAAATAAAAATAATTTAAATTAAATAAATTATATTTCTCAAATAAATTTATTAAGAAATTAGATTTTCAATATGAATTACTATAATTTATTTAATTAACATTTAGCTATCCAAAATATCCGCATTTTAATAATTAAAGTGAATTTTAGTTTTAGTTAAATACTTTGAAATTATATTAACTAACAGGCCTCCCGACTAATTAGATTAAATTGCGAATTTATATATTCTTTTTGGTTCTGTTAAAATATATTAAATAATTCTTCCTTTCAAAAAAAAGAAGAAATAAATACTCTATCTATTTTTTGTTTATTTCATTATATTATAATTATGTTGTTAAGTAGAATAAATTAGAAGAAGAGATAAAAAATAAGTCAATTATTGGTAAAAAATAAACATGAACAATATAGAAGACACTTAAGTTGCAACAAGCAACCATAAATTGCTTTTGAAAGCTTCTGATTTGTATTATGAATCAAAAATAGATGAGAGTATGGACATCTTAAATTAAATTTAGACAATAGAAATTTTAGATAACTCTGATTAGGCACTTTATAAAAGATATTTATTGCTAAATCTAATGGCTTAAGGCAATTTATAACAAGCAAGAACCTTAAGAGATAAAATATTAGATGAATATTATGAAATATTTTCCATAAAAAAAAAGGATGATAATTAAAGAAAAGTAGACATTTAAGATATCTTGTTATTTATATGTATACTTTCTAATCATGAGAGATTTCTATTTAATGTCTTTTAAAGGGAAACCACTGAATAGCTACTATACGATCTTTAACTTACCTTAAAATAGCAAAATTCCAATTTATCGTTGCTCGAAAATATTTTATGCTAATTGTCTGCAAGTTTATACTATTCTATAGAAGATTTTGATGAATAAAAATTAAATCATGATAATCTAATTGAATCAATTTCTGGTAGATTATTAGAAGATTGTTTATATTATGTACTTTCTTCATTTATGAGGTATAATCCTTTTAGGAAGGAATTTGTATCAGAAGTTTTTGAGAAATGTGCTCATAAGCTTTATTAAATAAATCCATAACACCCTTTAATTTGTTACAGTTTAGCAATTTATTACTATAATAATAACTACGATATAGCTTTCGACTACTTTTAACAAGCGCTTGAACACTACAATAAAAATCCTGTTTGCAATTCTATTTTTTTAAAGTTTTTGACTTAATACTAAAAGCAATAAGAATTCGAGTATTATTATCCATAAATTAGCTCTATTAATCTTAATAATTATAGAGTTGCTTTGGCTCATGCAGAGTTTTTAGCAACAAATTATTAATAATAGGATGCAATTGAAGTTATTCTTAACTCACTGAGATTGGCTAGTGATAAGACCATAATTTAATATGATTACAATTACTTTCATATTGAAGTCTAAAAATTTCTTAGCTAAGATTAATTAAGGTATTTATATGAATCTGCTATAAAATATGGGTATGATAATTATAGCTTTTATGAAAAATTATAAAATATTTACATGGAGATAGATGAGCATGAAAAGTTACTAGAAATATCTTTTTAATATATCAAATAACAATAATAGAGAGAAAAAAATGTAGAATAACAAATTTATTACAAGATGGAAAGTGTTTATGAATTATAAAATAATTTAAAATCATATGTAGAACTTTAACTGAGTAAAGAAGAAGATTTTTATAGAGAATTTAAATTTTTTAATTTTACATTTGATTATTAAGTTATAGAATAATTATTTTAAAACTATTCAAGAGAGCTTATTGAAGTAATTATCAAGATAGTGGAATATGAAAGAGAGGACCTTGATATTTCTGAAGGATAAATAGATTAAAAATAATTATAAAAGCTACTTTTTATAACCTATTTTAAATACTAAATAGAGATTAATAATTTACTTCTTAGGTAAATAACATTTAAGAGATAATTAAAAGATATTGCTCTTTTTTAGTAATAATATTTATTGTTAGATTTTTATTTTTGAGTTTTTATGCTTATTAATTTAATTAAATCTATTTAATAAAAAGAAAATCTTAGATTGTTTATTTTTTAGTAAATTGTGAAATAATTTATTTATTTTTTTATAAATTAATTTTTATTACTTTAAAAATCTTTAAAGCATATTGTTATTTTCAGAATTTCATTAAGTAAATATAAAACATTTAGTACTGTGGAAACGTACTTTTAATAAGAAGGGGGAAAAAATATTTTTAATTTTTTTCATATTTATTTAAATTAATTAAAATCCAGGAATTAAATTCTTAATTCTCCACATCCATAAGAATTTAATACCTGGAATTGCTATATATATTTCAATTTAAATATCTATAAATTTATTTATTTTTTAAATTATATTTGATTTTTTTTTTTTAACATTTAAAGCTTATTAAAATTAAAAAAATGAGGGTAAATTCAAGTCTTTTCTTTCTTCATTTGATCTTATCGTAATTTATTTGATTAATTTTATATTTATATTAATTTATCTTTTTTGAATAAATTTAATTAAATTAAAGTTAAATATAAGAAATTAGACCAAAAATTAAAAAATTGCTCCTTGTCTCGCTTAGCTTGCTTCATTTCCCTTTGAATTATTATATTTAAGAAAACAAGGAGAGAAAAAAACGAACTAACTCGTCATTTTGTTTTTTACTCGTCCCATTTCCTCATCACTGGTTTTTATTATGTAAAATTCTAATAATGAATAAAATAAAATTAAAAATTTCATAAATTATTGACTTAGTATTTTATCTTTTTAATAAAAATATACCTCAACTAATTAATTAAGGTTTATGCTACAACTGCTTTATTAGAAAATAAAGTAAAATATTAATAATAACTCCAGGACTTGACACTTACTCCTTATACTAGTTTTATAATATTTGTGTGTATATTTTTATTATTTTAAAATATTTATTTAACTAAAACAACTTTGAATAATTTTTCTGATCTTAATGTTGTGATATTTATGGAAAATGTCATTAAAATTTGATAGAAATAATATTTAGAATTTTTATAAACTTTGGTAATTTAATTTGATTTTTTTTTCTCCTTAAATTTATTTCATAATTAATTTTACTTTAATACAAAATAAAATACACTTAAACTAAACCTTTTGAATTTTTTCATTTGTAATTATAGTTTGATTAAAATATTTTTTGAAATTACTCCCTTTATAAAATAAAATCCTTTAAAAAAATTAGCATTTAATGAATTATTTTTTTCTTTTTAAGTTTTATTTTAACATTAATTGTTAATTAAATTAATAATTAAATTTTCTAATATTGAATTTTTATTTTGTTTCTAAATTCTATTTTATATAAAAACTACATTATTACTAATATATATCTTCATTTATGCTAAAATAAATCATATAAAAACATTTTATAAGATATCTTAAATTTTTAATAGGCTAAATAGTTTTAAAAATAAAGCATTCTTTGGATATTTATTTTTAAAAAATAATATTTGATTAAATATTATTGACATTAGGGTAGAAACAACTAGAAAATCTATACCAAAAAGAGTAAAAAATTACACTATTTTTCCATTAGAGTAGCTCGCAGACTAACCACTAATAACTGCGAGTATAACATAATAGTAGAGAGCTAATAAGCCAATCATTAAGAAAGTTGATATTATTCTTCCTACTTTCCTAAACTTATATAATGATTCTAATATTAGCACACTAACAATGATAAGTGTAGAGTTTATTACCGAAACAAAAACCATCTGTGCTTGATTATATTATTAATCAAAAATTGTTGAAATACTTAATGAGTGAATTATTCTTAGGTAAAAAATACTAAACCTCAAAGGTCTAGAAAGCTATTTATCATGGGTTAAAAAAATGTTAAAAAATTTATGAAAAAGTAAAACTCTCCAAAACAATGATTTTTAAAGAATCTGTTTTTATTTTTCTTCAGAAATTGCAATTTTTTCTTCATCATTAACTTAATTTTAATTTTGAGAAGTTTCTTTTGAAGTTATTTCTTGTATTTGGTTCTGATTGTTATCATCAACTTACTCTTTTTTTAAATTTATAAAGAGCAATTTACTTATTTTTCTGTCTGAATAAAATTAAGATTTCTTATCATCATTTTATTCCTCATTTTCTTTAAGTTTTAAACCATCTACTTGCTATTATTTATTTTGAAAGCTTTAAATGTTTATCTCATGATTTTAATCATATTTTTAGGATGAATTCTTAGTTTTAATGTCCTCAACCATTCTATGATCATCAACATTTTTTAGGCTAGTTTAAGATATTTTATGAATCGATAGAGTTTAGCTTTTGTTGTCATTCTTCTCTTATTATTCTTTTAATTTAAAGCTATCAGTAATTTTTAGATTAGTTTAAAATATTCCATTGTTGGTTAAAATTTAATTATGCAATAAATCTCCTTCAGTTTAAAGTTACTATGCTTATGGTTATTAGGAATTAACATTATTTAATTGAGGAGTCTGAACTACTGATGCTAATGTTTTATAACTATTACCTGGAATTTTGCTATCCATAGTTTTACCAAAGTAGCATAAACCAAGCTAAAGTAGAGTTGCAAAACTTAAAATCCAAAAAATAACATACTCATAGAAGGTATCAAAATGAAGTATATTCTAGAGTCCATCAGAATTGAATGCTGTTTACAAATTTTTATTGTCTAGAACACTTTTTAAATCTTCAGCAATCGTTGTTGGTTTTTGATCTTTACAGACGCAATCATATTTTCCATTTTACGAATATTTAAATGTTGTGCAACTACTTGATGACCAAATTGATTTTTATTACTAAATGCATGTAAGATTGTATTTAGATGGCTTTATATTTGAGAAGGACATTTGTATGTATTTATCTTAGCTTAAATATGAGTTGTTAGAGCTACTTTGTATTACAGGTTTTATAACTGTATTATTAGATATTTAGAAATCAGATGTTGCATTCACTTAAAAGGCTTTGACGTAATTTTAAAATTCATCTGTTTTGTAAAAAGGATTTTGTGTATAGTTAGTGATTACAACACTATAAATACTAGAGTCATTTGATACAGTTTAAGACTATCCATAGTAGTACTTCTAAAGATTTTTTTATGTAACTTACTCGCAACTTAATGAAATTAAATTACCTTTTAATTGAAATTAACCTTGATTTGGGAGAGTTATATTGTTTATCAAATTTCCAATTTAATCTGATATATTCATTTAAGTACTCAGTAAGTCTTAAGGTTAATTATTCACATCAATATTTAGTGTTGTTGAATTTAACATTTTAAAAGAGTCTACTAAATTTTATTAGGCAATATCGTTATTATTTAATAGCTTATTATCACTATTAATTGTAAATTAAGACTATTTATTAAGTACTAAATTAATTTAATTGAGAATACTAGAACTTTGTTATTACTATTAAGTCGCTATAGAAGACTATATCATCGCAATCACTTTATTTGAGTAAGTAGATAAAAAAGATGTATTTGGAAGCTTATTTGCAATATTAATTATTTCCTATATCAGTGTAATCTTTGATTGATTTATAGATGGAAGATTGTAAAGGGTATTGTTTTTAGATATTTCTTCTCCAATTATACATAAATTGATAATAGCATTTCTTGTTGTTTTGGAAGAGCTGGTTATAATTGCTTTATTTATTAAATTTATCAGTGCTTACTCATCTTACTAGTAAGGATCTATATTAAGTTGAATAGTAGAGTTAAATACTGCTAAATTTGAATCCATAGCCTATCCGATCATTAGTGGCTTTCCTGATGGCAATATTGTTGCAAATGATTAAGAAGTACTAGAGTCTTAAATTTATCTTCTTAAAATGTTTTAAGGTACCTCAATTTCTTGTTAATAATCACTTAATTGATTATAGTAAAAGAATTAGTATAATAGAGGATTATTTTAAGTAGTACATCCAGTAAACTAAATTATGAATAGAGTTTATAAGGCTAATCCAGTTTAAGGGGTGACACTAAAAATACAATTTTAAGGAGGTATATTTATTTTAAAGTTTATTATTTATAAACTTGGCATAACATTTTATGGACTATAAACTGAAAATCTAACTTAGATAATTGGATTATCTATTTGATAATCAGAAAAGTAATCCCACAATCTTAATTTTACTTTGAAATAGTCAAATTTAATTAGTCCTACAACAACGTTGTTATAAAGTACAGTGCCTGCATATGTGAGAAGGTTTATTGATATATCTGTGTTATATATAAGCGAAACTGAAATATTATCATTAATATTTACTTTTTCTTATTATAATGGATCATCGAATACAGTTAATAGAGGAGGAATGTCTAGCTCTGCAAACATTAGTATTATTGATTGATTAGCTTATCTTTAATCTTTTTGCCCCATAAAAAAGAATTTCAGAGATTAATAGGGATTAAAGGTTCTTTCTTTAATTATAAGCTTAAGAGTATCTAATTGTGGAGGAAAGGGTCTTTTTAAATAATCATAGCATTTGTTATCACCATTACTTGAAGCTTAATTTTAGCAAGTCCAACTTAGTTATATTCCTTAAGGAGAATTAGGATCTTAAATTTCGTAATCTCTAGCTAAACCTATTAAAGTTATTTTAGACTTATAATCTACTAGTCTATCGTCTGAACCCCCAGAAATCTAAATTAAGAGTTTAGTTTATTCAGGAGTAATTAAATATGTTTATGAGGAACTGATAGCATTATTACTGTGTAAAACCATATTTACCTTATTTTTTATGAGTTTTAAAATAAAAAAAATAAATTAAAAATCTTACTTAAAGATCTAATGCAGTGTTTTAAGGAATAGAGTAAGGTTAGATGTCTACTTCAATTTATTCTCCATTAAATTCATTTTGGATTTAGTTGAGTTAAGGTAATACTTAAGAAACAATTTAGATATCTAAAGGTTCTTAAGTAATTTGAGGTCCTGATTAGTCACAAATTTGTATAAAAAACGAAAAGAAAATTTTCAAATTCATATATCTTTTTTAAAATAAAATAAATAAATTTTTTTTGTTTTGGAATAATTTTTTAATGAGAAATTAAATTAAATTTAAATCATATTAATCATATTTTATTTAAAAATACCTATATATAGGTGGATAGTTGCTTTAAAGGCTTTATACAATAAGTTGTTTAGTCTTTTAGTTCAATGTTTTAAATGTAAGAGTACTATTTTAGTTCACTTTTAGTATGTAGAATAGGTGAACAGTAATAGAAATATCAGGAGGCAATACATATTTGTTTATCACTAAACTTTAACTTTATTGTTAGTTAGTTGTCTAAAATATGGTATTTATAGCTTAAAGAGTAGAGTCGCTCAAACCTTAAAGTGGATCAAAGCTCCATTACAAATAAAAGAAACTTCTTTTGGCATCATTTAAAACAGATTTAACTCCAAAAGAAATGTCATTACATGAATTTTCTATATCATTAAATTGAACTTATACAGATGGTTGCGTTGTTAGATTTTATACTACTGATACCAAATAGAAAGTATCTATATATTTTGTGTATCCTTAGAATTACAGAAAATTGCTTTTAAATCCTAATGTGTAGTTAGCCATAATAATTGCATCATCGCCTATTTATTATTTTATGAATAAATCAAAAAATTTTAAATTTAAATTAATATTTTACTCAATGAAACAACTATTTAGGTTTAACTTATTTCACAGCTAGAATTAGAACCAAGCAACAGATATGTAGCAGAATCAAATATTTGGTCACATGTAAGATTATTTATATTTACTAAATTAGACCCAAATTCAAGTGTTAAAATTGGAGATTTGCTATCAAAGATTGCTTAAACAACAGCATAATTATCATAACTACACTGATAGAAGATATTCCTTTAGTCTTATGGATTTCTACAAATACATTAGCTTCCACTAATTTGCATTGTTTCATAGCAATTTATGCAATTACTTATTTGACTTGCTTAACATAATTTACATGTAGTGCCACAGCTATGACAACCTTCAGAAGAATATAATGTGCATTGCTAACACATGTTCTATTTTATCTAGTAATTATTTGGGCATATTTGATAACATTAAAATTCTGTTGCTGAATCAGAAGTTAAAAATTAATAATAGCTGCTTTAACAAGCAGAACAGTTATTTGAATTACCAATACATTTACTGCATGAAACATCGCATTATTAGCATTCTTACTATTACTACTGTAAGAAGTAACCATCTGGACAAGTTTAGTAGCATTTATAATTTGTATCAGAAGGTTAAATTTTAAGTGGATAAAAAGTATTCTTGCAAGCAGTACAACTACTACCCTTGCAAAAATGTTGGAAACCAATTCGTCAAATCTTATTGAAGAGTTTAAATAAATTTTTGAGTTGATATCCTGATACAACTTTATGTCTACTTTCTATTGATATGTGAATTATCAAACAAATCGAAGGTTAACACAATAAACAATTGAAGATATATGATAAATTTTTTAACAAAATATTACAAAATTTGCTTTTTATTGATTTTACATTGAAAATTAATTAAATCAATATTTATTTAAAGAAATTTCTTTGGTTAATCTATGTTTATTATGTTTTTTCTCTATTGAATAATAAGCACAATTTATTAGAATTATGTAACTCAGAATAGAATAACGAGAATTTAAAAAATGTTTTAATTGAAATATGGAATACTATTGACTAAAATGTCATAAATTAAACAATAAGCCACACAAAAAAGTGTATGAAACAAATCATATAGAATAAAGGAGATTATTTAAAGCAATATTTATGAATAATTGTATCTTATTTATAAATCTTTTGACAAATCAATGAAATTTTTAGTTTTTGTAATTTTTCCTACTTTTTTTTTCAAGTAATTTCATATTTATTAACTCTATTTCTTTTCATTTACTAAAAAAAGTTGTTTATTCAGAAACTAGAAATTGAGCTTTATAATAATATAGTAAAGAAATTTCTCAGATCTGTTTGGACAAAAAGTTCTTTTTCAGTTTCCAACATTTTTAAAATAATAGTAGTAGAAGTACCACTGCAGGAACTACATGAAATGTCACATTGTTTATATTACTAATTGTTATCCAAATAATAACCATCTGGAGATGTCTAATAGCATTAAAAATTCGTTGCTGAATCTGAAGTTTTAAGTGGAAAATAAGTATTTGAGCAATTTGTACAGCTTACAGAAGTCCCATTACAAGTTTAACAGGAGACATCTCATTTTTAACATTATTATTGTAGTAGGAAATAACCATCGGGACATGTTAAATAACATTAAAAGTTAGTTGCTGAAGGTGTAGTTTTAAGTGGGTAATAATTATTTGCGCATACAGTACAACTTAAAGAGCTGTCACTGCAAGTGTAGCAAGATGCATCACATTTTAAACATTATTAAAAGTAAAAATAATAACCATTTGGACATGTTTAGTAGCATTAAAAATTTGTTGCAGTGGGTGAATCTTTAAGTGGATAGTAAGTGCTTGAACAAGTAGTACAGTTTGTAGAAGAACCAGTACAAATACTGCAAGAAGCATCACATTATAGACATTAGTTTTGTAGAAAGTAAGATCCATTAGGGCATATTTAGTAGCATTAAAAGTTAGTTGCTGAAGGAGAAGCTTTATAGGGGTAATAACTATTTGAACATGCAGTACAACTCAAAGAGTTGCCTGTACAAGTACTGCAAGAATCATCGCATTTCAGACAATCTTATGAAAATTAATAGTAGCCATCTGGGCATGTCGAATAGCATTAAAAATTAGTGTCTGAAGGCAAAGTTTTCAATGTGTAATAATTATTTGAGCAGGAAGTACAACTTGTAGAAGTTCCACTACAAGTACTACAAGAGGGATCGCATAACTAACAGACCTATTCAGTAGAATTTTAATCAACTTAAGCAAATTTATTGAGACTACAAGTCAAGAAACAGTATTTTTGTTTCTAATCCAAATTATAATTTTAAATGCAAGAAGAGCACTTACCAGAATTATCACATGTCAAACAACCAATTGGACACTAAATATTTAAATTTAAAATTTAATTTAATGAAATATTAAAGTTCATAGATTTAAGTTAATTTTTAAATGCTTCCAGTTTATTTTTCTGATTTAATTAGAAGAAGAAGAAAAACTAAAATATTAAAAATATTTACTTAAAAATAAACTAATATCTCTATATCACCCATTTTGTTTTAGGCATTACCAGGAGATAAATATGTTTGAATACAGAATTAACTAGTAACATTATTCAAATTAACAAAATAATACTAAGTAGTTCTAAAAAAATTGTTAATATTGCAATATTATTGTTCATTTAGTGAGCTAGCTGGTTTTCCTAACTCACTTAGATAATAGTTTGGTAAATCAAAAGCCTAAATTGAGAACTAAAAGTTAACACCTGGATGTTAATAATAAAATTAGCCATAGGTAATTTAAAAATATGAAATAGGCTGCTTTCCATAAAATATGATACGAGCATCATTTTAACTTCTGTCTAAATTATTCGGATTTATTAAGAAGTTTGAATTACATTCTTATTGTTAAAGACTTTAGTTGTAAAAAAAGTGGTCATATCTGTCAACTTAAGTGACAATAAATTCAGAGGAAAGTGATGTATTTGAATCGAAAACGCATTGATATCCTATATATTGTTTATTTGTTAGCAAAATAAGTAAAAATATATTTTATTCTTATCTATACCTTAATAGGCTTTTGGAGTTACTAATTTTTAAAGTAATTTGGAGCAATTTTAAGCTTCAGAATGAAGAAGAGTAATCACAAACCAAAAAATAATTTTACAAAATGATGCTTTCATTATTTAATTATGAAAAAATTGGTTTAAAAATAATTTTCTTTGTCTCTAAAGTTAAAATTCTGTTAAAGAACTACTTTCTTTTTTAACTATTTATTATGTTAAATTTCAATTTAACTAAACATTATTAAAAGTGAAATAAGATCATAAAGGTGATGAATTAATAAATAAACAAAACTAATAAATAAACAAACAAACAAACTAATAGTCTTCAAGTTTTTAATTTAAAAAATTGGATGTTAAAATCAGAAATTAACTAATTCAAAATAATTAAATATTAAAGCAGTAACTTAAAAAAGATAAAAGCTAATTTAGGTATAATTTTATTTACGTACTAAATTTTATTCGTAATATTGATGGTATTGTGACTTTGTTAAAAAATAATTAAAGTATTAATCTAAATTTTGGGAGAATAAATCGCTCAAGCACATTTCTAATAATTAATTTAACGCTTAGTTTTTCAAAAAAATTAATTAATACTACTTACAATTCATCTAACTAACTAAGATCAGCCTATTACTTAATTTGATTTACTTCTAAGCAGTCCCTATTCTCAAAATGCGCGATTAAGAATCAAAATTTAGATTTAGTTACAAATTACACTTGCAAATATTGCTTTGTGTCTTTCGCTTTAAAATTAATTAAAACAATATTTTATATTGATTATGAATAAAAAATGATCGATTTTTAAATAATATTTTTGATTTATATAGAGAAATTCTTAGTTTAGTAAAACTGGTTATAAAAATAAAATATTAATCAACAGTAAATACACAAAGAAGTAATAAAATAGTTAGTAACTAATATTTTAACAACTATTTTCTTCTTAAAAAATCATTATTAATTCTAAGTAATATAAAAAATATTTGTAAATAATCTAGAGATTTATTGTTTTTTCAAGCTTCCTAACATTTTTTTTCTGGTTTTTTAAATAAGACATGGTATTGTATTGATAGCTTTATTTTATGATTTTTAATAACTTCTAAAATAACTTGTTCTTAAATGAGCTTTCTCTAAATAATAGAAGACATTTATATACTTTTTGATGTAAATAAGAAAGATCTTCTATTTAAAAAGAAATTCAACATTAAATTTTACTAAAAAATATTGATTTGCTACAATAAAATGCTCTTATATAGGTTTATTAGCCACAAAGTTATTAAATATGATTGTTAGTAATAAAATTGTTGGCATGCTAAAATATTTACTAAAATTTAAATAAATAAAATTAGAATTTTTATATAAAGTTTTTATATGAAAAATAAATAGCCTAATCTCTCAAATTTAAGATTTACAGATGTGAAAAAATAATCTATTGGGAATTTATTCTTTTCAAATATTAGCAACCATTTATTTTATGATTCCTAATTTAGTTTTTTTTAAAAAATATGGTATTTAATAATTTTACCAAAATAATAAATCCAAATACTATTCCATAAGTAATCACTGAACTAATTTAAATTCAAGCACAAAAAAGAATATAAAAAAATAGAAAACTTAAATATAATCAATAAAAATCAAAAGGTTCTTGAATATTAATCCAAATAAAAGACTAATCTTTTAATTATTACTAATTTGTTTATGATAGAATAAATTGGCAATGACTTTGCCCAACGAAATATATATTTGAATTATCAATATGAACAGAAATAATTTCTAAATTATTAATCTTGAATATTCCTATGTAGCAAATAATTAAAAGTAATCCAAGCTAATAAACTTAATAAAGTGGTTGAATAATCAAAACATGATTAATAATAAATCATATAAAAATAAGAAAACGATAAGTAAATAATAGTGGTAATAAATTAATTGCAAATAAGCTGACTTTAATTTCTTATGACTTATTTTTTCTTTCTTACACTTCTAATTTATTGATCTAATTTCCTATTAAAAAATTTATATCACATAATTAAAAAAACCCTATCAGGTTTTTATAAAACCTTACAGTCACAAAACACAAGGATAAAAACGATTCAATCTATGAGAAAGATATAAAGTAGAAAATTTTAGTATATTTTGGCTATTAACATTAAAAATACAAACTAGATTGAGCGTTTTTTGAAAGATTTATCTTTTTGAAACTATTAAAGAATGAACTAAAATATTTTAAACTATCTTAATGCAATATTAAAACAATTAAATTTATATTGCTCTCATATTTATAAGCGAGTTATATATTATTGATTTTCAAATACGTTTTTACAATATTTAAATTAAATTAGTTCAAATTTTTTTATCATATTTATTTATTATAAAATATTTTATTTTGTTTAGATATTTACTGAATCAATCAATATGATCTACTCTTTTACTTAAATTTGTAAATATTTATAAATACATATTAAATATATATTTTTTGAAAAATAGAGTTTAAAAGGAGAAATTAAGTGTCCATAATATCTTTAAAAGTATAAACTAGTCAATATATTTTAGAAAAAAACATTTTTTGATATGACTTTGTAATACGAATACATATTTTATAAGTCTTTATATAATATTCATAGAATTTAATCGTTATAAATATGATATTTGAAGCAATTCATACATTATATTTCATAGTTGGGGTATTTTTACTAATATTTAAATTAGATTAGATAATTTTTTTTTCACCATATTTATTAATATAAAATATTTTTTTGTCTTTAATATATGGTTTCATAATTAGTTAGTACAGTTTATTTCCTTAATTTAATTTTATAAAATATGTTTCTTTGTTTTAATTTTTTTCAAAATATATTAGGCGCTATTAATAATTTTTGTTAAAATATTTACTATCTATCTATTCTCCAATTTTATCATAAAATTTTATTAATTTAAATGGGGAAAAAATAATTTATTTATTAATAAACGAATTAAAGAAATATATTACTATTTATATTTAATAAACAAAAATATAAAAATAAGAATTAAAGAATATCGTTTCGTTTTTATAATATTAATATATCATTTTATAATTAGTTTCCTTACTAAAGTTCTATTTTTAGATTATTTTTTAAACTTAAATGAAAAAGGGTTATTAATTTTTTAGATAGTCAAATTATTTTAATTTGATAAGCTTTCATGTCTAAATATTTATTAGTATAATTATAACTCTAATAATTCAAACCTTTCATTCTACTTCTTCTGCTTCAATTTTACTTACACTACATCATAAATTTTAGTTAATATTAAAAGTACTGTATAAATTGGCTGTAGGAGCAATACAACTTAAATATTTATAGATATTATTAAACTTAGCTAAGAGATAGTGTATTCGTAATCAGTATAATCAGGCTTTGAGCAATAAAAATTTACAATAAAGAACTCTATATAAAGAGTAAACCAGAAAAAATAATTTACCATAAAGTAAATATTAGTTAGCTTAGATATAAATGGTCTCAACATAACTACCATAATTAGTTAAATAAAAGAAAGGTTAATTGATATTATGCTTATAGTCATCCATGAAGAGCTTAATTAAATAAAATAGGTAGGCAAGATAAAAGTTTCCAAAAAAAAGTTGATCAATAGGTAGTATCTTCTATATTTACATTCATAAATTGTTTCATTCTGAATTTTTTCTCTATTAATAATTTAGAATGTTCTATTTTTTTTATCTTCGATTTTTATATTTAAGAAGTAAATCAGATATTTAAATATTAAAATAGATATCAAAATTAAAATTAGGATTAGGCACTATTAAATTTTTTTATTTTCTATACTGTTACTCACAAAATATTTTAATTATGCGTTGATTGAAACTATGAATATTAGAATGCATAGCTAAAAATGTTAAACTAAAAATGAGCTAATTAAATAATCGTATATTTTAACTGATATATTTTGAATACTTTTATTTTATACTCTTTCTATTAGAATATAAAATAAAATAAAAACTAAGAGGTTAATCATAAACAGTATTACTCCTGAGCCACTATTATATACAATTTCATCTGGTAAATCAGCTGAATAGAATTTAGAATCATAAAATTAAATCTATTCTTAATTTAAATAACTTTTAAATAGATTTAAAAATGAAAACTTTTAAGATGGTAACTAACCTATTATTTTGTAATTAACAAAAAAATTTTTATTTAATTATGAGAAATTACTATTAAATTATTTGATTTTTACTTTTTAAATCCTTTGATGGGATGAAAACTAAAGCAGGTAAGTTAATATCGACTAATATAAGAAAGCTAAGTTTTTAAATAGAAATTCCTTGAGTTACAATAGAAAAACTTTATGTATTTAAAACTCCAGAAACTAATGTTTAAGTATATGAGCTATAACTAGATATTTCAGAGCTAGTTTTTGAAGATTAATTTATCTAATTAATTTAATCTTGGCTCAAAATAGGATCTTTATATTCTAAATAAATCTATTCACATTTAGAGTTAATTAAAATAAATCCTTCTAAGCAAACAGTAATTTAGTCTTTACTATTTCCTTCATCTGCTTAACATGTGATTAGACATGAGTTACACTCTTAACTGTTTTTAAAATATAATTTATTAATTTATCAAGCCAAATAACAATAATGAAAAAGAAAGAACTAACTTCAAATGAAATTAAAATAAATAAATTTTAATTATACCTTGAGTTAAATCCATTTATTTAGCATAAATTACATTATTCATCTGAAAATAGCTTATAACCAGGTGAACACTGTTAACATTTAGAAGAATTTTCACAAACATAACAATTAGATGAGCACTAGCCGCATCTATTCCCATCTAATTAATAGTTATATAATCCATTTATATTTTCACATAAACCACATGAACCGTCTGGAAATAAATAATAACCATTTTAGCACTTCTAACAGATAGTAGCATCTTAACAAATTTAACAATTTGATTAGCATTTCCCACATTTTTTTCCATTAATTTTATCGATGTAAAATCCATTTTAAACTCCACATAAATTACATGATCCATCTGAAAATAAGAAATAACCTGGTAAGCATAGCTAACAAATATTAGAATCTTAGCAAACTTAACAATTAGATTTGCATTTAACACATCTATTTCCATTCAATTCATATCTATAAAACCCATTTTAAGTGTTACACTAATCGCATGATCCATCTGGATATAAGTAATAATCTTTCAAACACTTTAAACATTTAGAAGAGTTTTGACAAATTTAGCAATTAGATTAGCATGAACCACATCTATTTCCATCTTAATAATATTTGTAAAATCCGTTTTATTTATCACATAAATTGCATGAACCATCAGCAAATAAATAATAACCTACTTAGCATTACTAACAACTGTTAGAGTTTTGGCATAATTTACAATTTTATTAGCATTAATCACATTTATCACCATTCAATTAATTTTTATAAAAACCATTCCATATTTCGCAGGTATTGCATAATCCATCTGGAAATAAATAAAAACCACTTGAGCATTATAAGCACTTAGTAGAGTCTATACAAATTGAGCAATAAGATGGACAATTACCACACTTATCTCCATTTAAAGAATATTTATAAAACCCATTTTTTATATCACATGTATTGCATGATCCATCCAAAAATAAATAAAAATCTTTTGAACACTGTTAGCATTTAGTTGAATCTTAACAAACTTAACAATTAGATGAGCATTTACCACACTTATCTACATTTAAAGAATATTTGTAAAATCCATTTTATATATCGCATTAATTGCATGACCCATCCGAAAATAAGTAAAAACCGCTTGAGCACTGTTAGCATTTAGTTGAGTCTTAACAAACTTAACAATTAGATGAGCACTTACCACACTTATCTCCGTTTAAAGAATATTTATAATATCCATTTTATATATCACACTAACTACATGACCCATCTGGAAATAAATAATAGCCAGATGAACATAGCAAGCAATTAGTAGAACTTTCACAAGTATCGCAATTAGATTAACATTAAATACACTTATTTGCATTCATGTAATATTTATTTTTACATATACACTTGCTTTAAGTAAAAGTAGCATTTGGATCACAAATACATTGCTAATTATTATTGTCAACTTAAGCGAAATCAGGACAAGTATTTACACATTTATTATCAAGTTAAAGGAAGTAGCCTGAAATACAAGTTTAACATATTTATTTTTCTGAGCATTTTACACAATTAGAAGGGCAGCATTATCTTGGATCTTAAGCAGAGCAATAAGGACACTAAGATGGACAATAAAGAGTATTTATATCTAAAAGATAGAAATTAGTGTCTCTCTTTAAAAATATTAAATTTCCCTATTTTAGTAAAAATAGAAATTTTAAAGAATTCTAAAAAGTAAATTTAAAAATTAACTTGCTAAAAGTTGTAATAATGTTATTAAATGTTAGGCAGCTAGTAATGATTGGAAGTCAGAAAAGAAGTAACTAATTTAACATTCACACTTGCAGATTGTGAATCATAAGTTACTCTATAAAAATAGTTTTGGATATATACATTATTCTAATTATTAAATTTTTTAATTTTAATATTTGGTCATTTTAAAATAATAAATAGACTTACTATATACTAAATAATATCCAAAGGATTATCGGTATTTAATAATTTATCTCCTGTTACTGGAATTGTGCTTAATGTAAATGCATCGAAAAATACAAATTAACTTTTTTTATGGTCATATGTAAAAATTAAACTTATCTAATTAATTTTTTGTAATGTTTAATTAATAAAACAATTTTTTTAAAAATAAAAATTGTTAATTACTCCATCTGTATCAAAAACTTAAGAAATAATAGCTTAATTTGCACTATTTATACCTAAATCTAATAATTTTGTACACTCAAATGTATCCTAGCTCAGAATTGCTTTGCAAAATTTATTATCTATCAGAAATAAATCGAATTTATACTTTTTTAAAAGAATAATATTTAATTAATTTTTGATTATTTTTATTTTTCAAATTTAAAATGATATTATATTTCATGTATGTTAATTTTATTGTAAAAGAATCATTTAAATAACAAAAAAATTAATTTTAAAAATTAAAATACTTGAAAAAAAATTAAGGAATGAATTGATAAATAAATAATTTTCTACATTAAACAATAATAATGTTTGTAGGTCTTTGGTTTGAGGTTTAAAGTTAGTATAAACATTATTTTTATAGACAATATAGTTGTTATCAATCACCAAATATGCTTAGTGCATAAAGTAATCTTTAGCATAAATTAAATCTTTAGAATTTTTTAGTTTTTGAAATGAGTCTCCTCGAATAAATTTATGTGGTGCATAACTGCTAGTACAGTAGCAATAGTAAAGCGAGCCCTAATTATATATGTAAAAATATTTAAATATTGATTTATATTTTTCTAAAAAATTTATTTGATTTTACATAATTTGTGACAAAGGGTTAATTACATTATTAACTAGTTCCAAAAGAGAGTTTCTAAAGATACCCTTGCTAATTACTAGTAAGAAGATTTAAATCAATTTCATAGTAAAAATATTCGAGCTTGATAAAAAAGATAAGCTTCTATTAACTCTTTTTAATTAAAATGTGAGTTAAATCTATCCTATCTGAAAAAATTGAGTGTTTATATTTTATAGTAAGTAGGAACCATAACTAAAACCAGCACCTGAGACAGGTGATGAATCAATCAAACCATTTATTATATAGCTCGTGACTATATTTCTATTTTAATCCAAAGTACTATATCTCCATTAACTATTTTCTGAAGTTTTATAAATAATTGCGCTTTTTTCCTAAAAACATGTATGTAAATGTTTATTTCCTATTTTATTTATTGTAAATTAATAAGGATTACTTAAATGAAGTAAACTGAATTCGTAATCTAAATCGGCAAATCAATACAAGATATTAAACTTAATAATAAGTTAATTAAAACAAAATAAAGATATGAGAGAGTTATCATTTGGATATCTGTCTTATTTTAACTAATCCAGCTTTTAAGTGTAATTGCTTGTTATTTCTTTTTATGTTCTATTATTTAACTATTTTTTAATTTTCTATTTTTTAACATAAAAAGTATCTTATATATCAACCATAGATAAATAAATAAGCTGATTAACTTTTTAATAATTGTTAATTACTTTTAATCAAATTAATTGAACATGTTTGACTAGAATTATTAAAAATAAATACCACATTATATCTAGTACATATTATTTATATCTATCATTAAATCATAGATACACCATAAGCTATCCTAAGTGAAAACCTATGTTTACAATCTTACATTAAAAAAAAATTAAATTTTTTCTAGTAAAAATGTATGATTTTTTTATAAAAAAAATGTTTATTTATAAAAATATAAGGTAATATTAATTTTAACTCCACACAATCTTATTTATATTTAGCTATTTTAGAAATTTTATTCTTCTAATTTAGCTTGTTGAAAAGTAATATTTATTGGTAAAAGTATATGATGAGGAATGATCACAAATTTAAATTTAATATTTTTTTTAAATTCTTTTTATATTTGTACAATATATTTTTCCATATTAATAACTTGTTTTTTAGACTGCAAATTTATCCTAGTTTTATTTTGAATGCAAAAGCTATTAATAATTTAATTCTGTTGATTGCATTCAATAAAATACATTTTATTGTTTTTCCTTCAATTTATCTTTTTAAAATCAAATAATTATACTAAAATTAATAGAAACCCATAAATTAATTATAAGAGCAAAATACTAAAATTAGACTAGAAAAACTAATAGCACTTTATTAATTCTAATAATATCTAATAATGAGACTTTGAACAATAGGAGCTTATAATTAAGTTTTCAGTAAATAGAGTAAGCCATAAAAAATGGTTTATAATAAAAAAAGCATTTTTAAGCTTAGAAATAAATGGTCTGTAAATAATAGCAATACTTAATTAGATTAAAAAAGTAAGATTTGATAAATTTTTTGGTTCTAAATTTTATCTCTATTAATAATGTAAAAAATCTTTATTTAGCTATTTTTGAGTGGTCTATTTAGATACTAGAACAGATATAAGAATGTTTAAAAGAAAATTACAATCAATAGAATAGAAAGACATAAGTTCATTTCTTTACTTTCAATATTTTTGTTTATGAAATATTTTATTTATACATTGATACCAACTACAAAAATTAAGATGCAAAGCTAGAAGTATTATATTACAAATGAACTTATGAGATTATCATATAATTTAGTAGATACATTTTAAATAAATTTATTTTATACTTTTTCTATTAATAAATAAAATAGAACAAATTAATCTTTGTTTAAAACTGAATTCTTTAATACTAGATAAACTTATTAACATTATTTCTTTATTAAAAAAAATCCATCATAGCAACTTGTACATTATTATTAACTACTTCCTTCACAAGTTAAACGCAATAAATTGTAAGTTATTCAGTTATTGTTACTTTTTTCAAAAAAATATTTTTAAAAATTATTTATTCATTTATGCTAAAAATATTAGTTTAATAAAAATTAGTACTAATTAAGAATTTAAGCGAAGTATTTTTTTAATTTTTACTTGATATAAAACCCTTTCTGAATATCACACCCGTTTGGATACAAATAGAAAAATCATGAGCATTACTAACATTTTGATGAGTTTATTTTAAAAAACATCACAATTAGATTTTAATACTAATTACCATTTAAATAATAAGTATTATTGCGTTTACACCTTTTATTTATAAAATTAGCGTTTGTGTCACATATAAACTTTTCAAATTAATAGAAATAAGACAAGTTTTAATACATATTTGATCTTTTTATACCATATATTCAGGACTACAAGTAAAACAAGTTTATTCGTCATTACATTCAAAGCAATTTGAACTATAGGATTAATTATTATTTTAAATAGGACAATGTTAATAACCAGCTCGGCAATAAAGTAATAAAGAGAAATAAATATTTAAAATCAATTTTTTACAATTTTAAAAAAAAACAAATAAAATTATTTTTTTTTTAGTTTTAAAAGCAAAGATATTTTAATATCAATATATGAAAATTTATGTATTAAAATTTTTAAGATATAACATAATATAGTAAAGATGAAGTTATTAATTTAATATTAAGATTTGCTGACTATGAATTTTTAGTAACTGCATAAAGATTAGAAATAATTTCATAATTTTCTACTATATTAATATTCTATCTTTAATTTTTTGTAATTTAAAATATAATATTCTACTATGTGATATAAATTAATAAATAAATGAATAAAAAATATTTATCTATTTAATGTCTTGAAATCAACTAATTTTATATTAATTTATAAATAATTATCACTTTCAAAAGTTATTTTTGGAATATAAAAAATTATAAAATATTTAGAAAAATCATTATGTATATAATCTTTATCTATTTATTTACTTGAAAGAAAAAATTATGGATGTGATTTTTAGAGATTAAAATTAGTTTTAAAAAAATATTTTTTATTCAAAATAAATATGATAATAATAATAAAGTTTTTAATAAAGTTAATAATAAAATTTTTCATAAAGTTAATAATAAATAAATTTAAAATAAAAATTTAAATAGAGTAAAATTAATTTAATGAATGATTTATAAAACAATTAAAAAATATATTACTTTTTAAATTTTACTAAAAAAATACAAAAACAAGAATTAAATAATATCATTTAGCTTATAAATAAAAACCTCTTGAGCACTATTTGCATTTAGTTGAATCTGAACAAACTTAGCAATTAGATGAGCACTTACCACACTTATCTCCATTTAGATAATATTTGTAAAATCCTTTTTATATGTCACAGTAATTGCATGACCCATCCGGAAATAAGTAAAAACCACTTGAACACTATTAGCATTTAGTCGAGTCAGAACAAATTTAGCAATTAGATGAGCACTTACCACACTTATCTCCATTCAAAGAATATTTGTAAAATCCATTTTGTACGTCACAGTAATTGCATGACCCATCTGGAAATAAATAAAAACCACTTGAACACTGTTAGCATTTAGTCGAGTCTGAACAAATTTAGCAATTAGATGAGCACTTACCACACTTATCTCCATTCAAAGAATATTTGTAAAATCCATTTTGTACGTCACAGTAATTGCATGATCCATCTGGAAATAAATAAAAACCACTTGAGCACTGTTAGCATTTAGTTGAGTCTTAACAAATTTAGCAATTAGATGAGCACTTACCACACTTATCACCATTTAAAGAATATTTATAATATCCTTTTTATATGTCACAGTAATTGCATGACCCATCCGGAAATAAGTAAAAACCACTTGAACACTATTAGCATTTAGTCGAGTCCGAACAAATTTAGCAATTAGATGAGCACTTATCACACTTATCTCCATTCAAAGAATATTTGTAAAATCCATTTTGTATGTCACATTAATTGCATGACCCATCAGGAAATAAATAAAAACCACTTGAGCACTGTTAGCATTTAGTTGAGTCTTAACAAATTTAGCAATTAGATGGACACTTACCACACTTATCTCCATTTAAAGAATATTTATATTATCCATTTTATATGTCACAATAATTGCATGACCCGTCCTGAAATAAGTAAAAACTGCTTGAGCACGTCTAGCATTTAGTTGAGTCTGAACAAACTTAACAATTAGATGAGCACTTACCACACTTATCTCCATTTAGATAATATTTGTAAAATCCTTTTTATATGTCACAGTAATAGCATAACCCATCCGGAAATAAGTAAAAACCACTTGAACACTGTTAGCATTTAGTCGAGTCTGAACAAATTTAGCAATTAGATGAGCACTTACCACACTTATCACCATTTAAAGAATATTTATAATATCCATTTTAAATGTCGCAATAATTGCATGACCCATCTGGAAATAAGAAAAAACCACTTGAACACTGTTGGCATTTGGTTGAGTCCGAACAAATTTAGCAATTAGATGAGCACTTATCACACTTATCTCCATTCAAAGAATATTTGTAAAATCCATTTTGTACGTCACAGTAATTGCATGATCCATCTGGAAATAAATAAAAACCACTTGAGCACTGTTAGCATTTAGTTGAGTCTTAACAAATTTAGCAATTAGATGGACACTTACCACACTTATCTCCATTTAAAGAATATTTATAATATCCATTTTATATATCACACTAACTACATGATCCATCTGGAAATTAATAATAGCCTGATGAGCATAACAAGCAACTTGCAGAATTATCACAAGTATCACAATTAGACTAACATTAAATACACTTATTCGCATTCATGTAATATTTATTTTTGCATATACACTTGCTTTAGGTAAAAGTAGCATTTGAATCACATATGCATTGCTAATTATTATTGTCAACTTAAGCGAAATTAGGACAAGTCTTTTCACATGTATTATCAAGTTAAAGGAAGTAGCCTGAAATACAAGTTTAACATATTTATTTTTCTGAGCATTTAACACAATTAGAAGGGCAGCATTATCTTGGATCTTAAGCAGAACAATAAGGGCACTAAGATGGACAATAAAGAGTATTAATATCTAAAAGATAGAAATTAGAGCCTCTTTTTAATAAAATTAAATTTCCCTATTTTAGTAAAATTAGAAATTTTAAAGAATTTAAAGGATATATTTAAAAATTAACTTGTTAAAAATTGTAATAATATCTTTAAATGTTAGGTAGCTAGTAATAATTAGAAGTCAGAGAAGAAGTAATTAATTTAATATTCACGCTTGTAGATTAAGAATCATAGGTTACTCTATAAAAATTGTTTAGGATATATATATTATTCTATTTATTAAATTTTTTAATTTTAATATTTGATCATTTTAAAAAAAAATATTCTTACTAAATATTAGATAATATCCAAAGGATTATTAGTATTTAATAGTTAATCTCCTGTTGCTGGAATTGTATTTAATGTTGATGCATCGAAAAATACAAATTAACCTTTGTTATGGTCATATGTAAAAATTAAACTTATCTAATAAATTTTTTGAAGATTTTAATTAATCAAACAACTTCTAAAAAAAGAAAAATTTTTATTTACTCCATTTGTATCAAAAACTTAAGAAATAATAGCATCATTTGAACTATTTACACCTAAATCTAATAATTTTGTACATTCAAATGTATCCTGGCTCAAAATTGCTTTGCAAAACTTATTATCTAACAGAAATAAGTCAAACTTTTACTTAAAAAAAAATAATATTTAATAAAATATTTATTATTTTATTTCTACATTAAATAAAAATAAAGTTTGTAGCTTTTAGGTTGGAGGTTTAATTTAAGTATAAACAGTATTTTTATAGACAATATAGTTATTATCAATCACCATATATGTTTAATACATAAAGTAAGCTGTAGTATTAAGTATATCTTTGGAATTTTATAGTTTTTGAAATGAGTCTCCTACTATAAATTAATATGGTACAAAAGAGCTTGAACATTAGCAATAGTAAAGTGAGCCCTAATAATATATATATAAAATCTAAATATTGCTTCATAATTTTAAAAAAATTTATTTGATTTTACATAATTTAAGACAAAGGGATAATTACATTATTAACTAGTTTAAAAAGAAATTTTTTAGAGATACCCTTGCTAATTAGTTGTAAGTAGATTCAAATCAATTTGATAGTAAACTAATTGCCTCTTTATAAAAAAGATAAGCCACTGTTAATTCTTTTAATTAAAATGTTAGTAAATTTATTCTATCTGAAAAAAATTGAGAGTTTACATTTTATAACAAGTAGAAGCCAAAGCTAATATCAAATTAGCTCATATAGACAGGAGATGAATCAGCCAAACCATTTATCATATAACTTGCAATTATATTTCCATTTTAATCTAAAGTACTATATCTCCATAAATTATCATCTGTTGTCTTATAAACAATTGCGCTTTTTTCCTATAAACATGAAAATATTTATTTCCATCTTGATTTATTATTAATTCATATAATAGATTTACTTAAATGAAGTAAAGTTAATAAGTTATCTAAATAGGCAAATTAATGCATGATATTAGACTTAATAATGAGTTAATTAAAACAAATTGAAAATATGAAAATCTAGTTTTCATAAGGATGTCTGTCAGAGTTTAAATGTAATTGCTTTCTCCTTCTGTATGTCTTTTTATCTATTATTTTACTATTTTTAAATTTTGTTTTGACAATTTATTTTTACTTTATTTTTTTGAATCTTACTGCTTATAACAGATTAATAAATATCTTATAAAGTATTCATATTAAATAAATAATCTGCTTAATTTTTTGATATTTTGTAATTATTCTTACTCAAATTAATTGATATATTTGATTAATATTTAAAATACAATAACCACATATTATCAGGTAAATATTATTTACATAACAAATCTAAGATACACAAAAAGTTCTCCTAAATCAAAACTTAACTTTTTATCTTACACTTTAAAAATACCAAATATAATAAATTAAATTATGGTTAAATGGCAGCCAAAATACTTTTTTTTCTTTTTTAAATCAGAATTTATCTAACATATATACCTTTGCTTTAAAACCTAGCCTAGCAGAATAATTTTTAAGCAAAAATTCTATTTTTGCTTTAAGATTAAATTTACTTATTTTTTTTTAAATTTGTTATCATAGGTAGATCTTCAATTTTTAGTATTATTTTAAAACAATTTTATATTATTAATAAAAGAGAAATTTTTATTAACTACTCTAAATAAAGATATTTCTTAGATAAAAGAATTTTTAAACAAAATAAAAATTTTTCCTCTTGTTTAAGAGCGCTAAGGGCATTAAAAATAGAACACTTATATATACTCAACAAAAATCAAAAGTCTTATGAAAATAAATCTAAATAAAAAACTAATCTTTTAAACATTACTAGTTTGACTATGATAGATTAGATAGAAAATGAAGATACCCAACGAAATATTTATTTGAATTATCAATATTTTCAAAATGATTAGATTTGAACATTCTTAATTAGCGAAAATTGTATATTTATTCAATCTGATAAATATAATAAAGTGGTTAAATAAGGAAAACATAGATAAAATAAGAAAAATAAATAAGTTGTAATAAATTAATTGCAAATACCTAGATTTAATTTGTCCCAGATTATTTTTTGTTTCTTACACTTCTAATTTAAAATTCAAATTTTTTGATAACAAAATATAACAAACCCTTTGAGGTTTTTAATAACCTTACAGTCACAATTAGTAAGAATAAAAACTATTTAATAAAGATGTTTAGTAGAAAATCTTAGTATTTTTTAGCTAGTAACTTTAAAAATAGAAATTATGTGGATAAATCTTTTATATGTCTTTATATAATATTCAAAGAATTTAATGGTTATTAATTTGATATTTTTGTAGCAATTTAAATATTTATAGTATTGGAAAAATAATGGTTACAAATATTTAAATAAGATAAGCTCAGTTTTATTTTTGTAATTCTTATTAAAAAAAGTATTTTTTTGATGTATTAATTAAGTCGTATCTTTATTTCCTTAAATTTAGTTTTATTAAATTTATTTCTTTCTTTTAGATTATTCAGATATCATTGTCATATAATCTTATAAATTTTAAGTAATATTTAAAATTTTTATTAAAATATTTACTCAATATTCTCAAATTTTATCATTTATTTTATTTTAATAAAAAATACTTTTTCATTGTAAAAAAATAAGTTTTTTAACTAAAATTAAATGATAATTTAATTGTAGAAAATATATATTTAACCTTATATTGAAAGAAAAATACTGACTTCTATAAAAGAGTATAGATTAGTAATCAATAAAAAATTAATAGTTAAATATCTATATACTAATTGATATTTGTAGAGAATATGGAAAATTTGTGATTAGTAAATTTGATTTTTTTTTCTCCTTAAATTTATTACATATTAATTTTACTTTAATCTAAAATAAAATACATTTTTACTAAACCTTTTGAGTCTAAAATTTTCATTTGTAATAATGTAATGATCATTTAAATATTCTTTAAAATTACTCTCTTTATAAAATAAAATCTATTATATATATTAGCATTTGATGACTTATTTATATCCTTCTTAGCTTTTATTTTATCAGTAATTAATGTTAAGTAAATTAATAAATAAATTTTTCTATGATTGAATTTTTTTGTTTATTTTGCTTCTAAATTATATTTTATTCACTATTTTAAATAATATTTATCAAGATTGATTATTATTAATATAAACTATATGCAAAAATAAATCACATAAAATAATTTTATAAGATATCTTAAATTTTGAATAGGTTAAATAGTTTTATAAATAAAGCCTTCTTTGGATATTTATTTTTAAAAAATAATATTTAATTAAAAATTATAGACACAACGATAGAAACAACTAAGAAATCTATACCAAAAAGAATAAAAAATGACACTATTTTGCTATTAGAGTAGCTCACAGACTAGCAATTAATAACCCCGAGAATAATATAATAGTAGAGAACTAATAAACAAAGCATTATGAAAGTTGATATTATTCTTCCTACTTTCCTAAACTTATATAAAGATTATAATATTAACACACCAACAATTATTATTGTAGAGTTTATTATTGAAACAAAAACCATCTGTGCTTGATTATATCATTAATAAAAAATTGTTGAAATACTTAATGAGTGAATTATTCTTAGATAAAAAATACTAAATCTCAAAGGTCTAGAAAGCTATTTATTATGAGTCAAAAAAATGTTAAAAAATTAATGAAAAAATAAAACTCTCCAAAATAATGATTTTTGAAGAATTTTTTTTTATTTTTCAACTAAAATTGAGACTCTTTCTTCATCATTATTTTAATTTTAACTCTAATAAATTTCTTTTGAAGTTATTTCTCCTATTTGGTTTTGATTGCTCTTATCACTTTAAACTGGCTCTTTTTAAAAATTTACTTAGAGTAAAAAACTTATTGTTTTGTCATTTTAAAATTAAGATTTTTTTTCATCATTATATTCCTCAATGTCTTAAAGTATTTAATTATCGACTTGCTATTATTTATTTTGAATGTTTTTAATGTTTATCTGATGATTTTAATCATATTTTTATGATGAATTCTTAGTTTTGATATCCTCACCCATTCTTTGATCTTCAACATTTTTTAGGCTAGTTTAAGATATTTTATGAATCGATAGAGTTTAGCTTTTGTTTACTTGCTTCTCTTATTATTCTTTTAATTTAAAGCTATCAGTAATTTTTAGATTAGTTTAAAATATTCTAATGTTAGATTACATTTAATTATGCAGTTAATCTTCTTCAGTTTAAAGTTTCTATGCTTTCGGTTATTAGGAATTAATATTATTTATTTGATGAGTTGAAATTACTGCCGCTAAGGTTTTATTACTATTAACTGGAATTTTGCTATCCATAGTTTTACCAAAGTAGCATAGACCAAGGGATAGTAGAGTTGCAAAACTTAAAATCCAAAAAATAACATACTCATAAAAGATATCAAAATGAAGTATATACTATAGTCCGTTTGTAAAAACACATTTACTGCATGAAAAGTCGCATTATAGGCATTCTTATTATTATTGCTGTAAGAAGTAACCATCTGGACATATTTAGTAGCATTTATAATTTATATCAGATGGTTAAATTTTAAGCGGAAAATAAGTATTATTGCAAGCAATACAACTAGTAGAAGTACCACTGCAAGAGCTACATGAAACATCACATTATTTACATTAGTGATTGTTATACAAATAGTATCCATCTGGACATGTCTAATAGCATTAAAAATTAGTTGATGAAGGCATAGTCATAACTTGGTAATAGTTATTTGCACATGAAGTACAACTTAAAGAGCTATCACTACAAGTGTCGCAAGATGCATCGCATTTTAAACATTATTAAAACTATAAATAATAACCATTTGGACATTTTTAGTAGCATTAAAAATTTGTTGCAGTGGGTTCAATTTTAAGTGGATAATATGTGTTTGAACAAGCAGTACAGTTGGTAGAAGAACCAGTACAAATATTGCAAGAAGCATCACATTATAGGCATTAATTTTAAAGAAAGTAAGATCCACTAGGGCATACTTAGTAGCATTAAAAGTTAGTAGCTGAAGGAGTAGCTTTATAGGGGTAATAACTATTTGAACATGCTGTACAACTCAAAGAGTTGCCTGTACAAGTGTTGCAAGAATTATCGCATTTCAGACAATCTTATGAAAACTAATAGTAGCCATCAGGGCATGTAGAGTAACATAAAAAATTAGTGTCAGAAGGTGACGTTTTAAATGTGTAGTAATTATTTGAGCAGGAAGTACAACTTTTAGAAGTACCACTACAAGTACTACAAGAAGGATCGCATAACTAACAGACCTATTAACTAGAATTTTAATCAACTTAAGCAAATTAATTGGAATTACAAGTCAATAAACATTATTTTTGTTTCTAATCCAAATTATAATTTTAAATGCAAGCAGAACACTTACCAGAATTATCACATGACGAGCAACCTATTGGACACTAAATATTTAAATTTTCAATTAAATTTAATGAAGTATTAAAGTTCAATGATTTTATACTTAAATCCCTCACATTTTTTACAGACCCATCCATTTTTTAATAAACAGGATAATTATTCTAGAATATTTTTTAATCCATTAAATATTTTCATTTTCAAATTTATTATTCTTTAAGCATAAAATGGATAGGCTTGTATAAAATGATTGTTTTAAGTATAGTTAATTTTTAAAGACTGACAGTTTATTTTTATGATTAAATTAGGGAAGAAAAAAAATTAAAATATTAAAAATATATACTTAATAATAAACTATGATCTCAATATCACCCATTTAGTTTTTGGTTGTAGGAGGAGTTAAATATGTTTGAATAGTTAATTAATTAGTAAGATTATTCACATTAACCAAATAATACTAACTAGTTCTAACAAAATTGTTAATATTGCAATATTATTGTTCATTAAGTTAGCTAGCAGGAACGTCTTTACTAGTTAGATAAGTATTTGATGCATCATAAGCTAAAAATGTGCACAAAACATTTGGCGTTGAATCATAAAATTAGCCAAAGCTAATTTAAACATATGAAATCGCCTACTATCCTGAAAATATTATAAGAGCATCATCTTAACTCCTGTCTAAATTATTCGGATTGATTAAGAAATCTTTATTGCATTAGGCTTTTTCAAGATTTTAGTTGTAATAAATATGGTCATATCTATCAACTTAAGTAGTAATAAAGTCAGAGGAATATGATGTATTTGAATCGTAAACGCATTGATATCCTATATTAATTAATTTATTAACAAAATATCTAAAAATATATTTTATACTTATCAATACCTGAATAGGTTTTTGGTGTTACTAATTTTTAAAGTAAATTGGAGCAATTTTAAGCTTTAGAATAAAAAAGAGTAACCACAAACCAAAAAATTATTTTATAAAATGATGCTTTCATTATTAAATTATGAAATAATTGGTTTAAAAATAATTTTTTTTTGTTTCTATCTTTAATTTCTGTTTAAATAAATACTTTCTTTTTTGGTTATTTGCTTTATGAAATTTAATTTTAAATAAACATTATCAAAATTTAAATAAGATTAAAGGGGTGATGAATTAATAAATAATCAAATTAATAAGCAAATTAATAGTCTTCATATTTTGAATAAAAATAGGATGTAAGTTAAAATCAGAAATTTTTTAATTCTAAAAAATTAAAAGTTAAAGCAGCAATTTAATTACATAAAACAAATTTAGTTATCTATCTTATTTTAGTAGTATTTATTTTACATAATATTTATAAAGTGGTTTTGTTAATATAATGAAAGTATTAATATAAATTTTAGTAGAGAATTACTCACATCCATTTCTAATAAATAATTTAACACATAATTTTTCAATTAGTTAACTTACAACTCATCAAACTGACTAAGTTCGAAGTATTACTGAATTTGATTTATTTCTAAATAATCCCTATCCTCAAATAATTAAAAATCAAAATTAAGATTTATTTAGTTATTACTTTTGGTATTTCTTTCACTTTTAAATTAATTAAAAGAATATTTTAAATTGATTATGAATAAAAATGACCTATTTCTAAATAATATTTTTGGTGTTTTTTGATAGGAATACTTACTTTATTTAAACTGGTTAATATAAAAATATAAAATTAATGAACAATATTAATACAAAAAAACAATAAAATAATGAGACACTTATATTTTGAAAACTATTTTCTTCATAAGAGATTAATATTTATTTGAAATAATTGTAAAAAATTTGGAGATTTAATCTTTTCAAGCTTTCTAACCTTTTTAAACATTTTTTCAAGCTATTTAAATAAGACATTGTATTCTTTAGCCTGTTGCTCTTTAAGTTTAAATCTACACAATTAATTGACAGCTTCATTTTTATGATTTTACAATAAATTAGGTAATAACTTTTATTAAATGAAGTTTCTCTAAATAATAGAAGGCATTTCTTTCTTTCTTTATTAATTTACTTTTTGAAATAAATGAGAAAGATCTTTTATTTATAAAAATAAATTCAACGAAATCTTAAATAATACCAAAACATATTAATTTGCTACAATAAAATGTTCTTAGACTTAGCTATAAAATGATTATATTTGATAGTCTGCAATAAAATTTTAGATACTTAAATAAATAGCAATAGAAAGTATTTGCTAAAATTTAAATAAATAATATATATATTTGAATTATCAATATGAACAAAAATAATTTCCAAATTATTACACTTGAATATTTTCATGTAGCTAAAAATTTATATTGAGTCAAGCTGATTAATCTAATAAAGTGGTTGAATAAGGAAAAAATAGAAAATAATGTATCATATAAAATAAGAAAACTATAAATAAATAAATAAATAAATAATAGTGGTAGTAAATTAATTACAAATAGCTGGCATTAATTTCTTACAATTTATTTCTAATTTATTCATTAATTTTTAAATTAAAAAATCTTTGTGTTAGGTTTTTAAAAACTTTATAGCCACGAAAATTAAGAATAAAAATCATTTAATCTAAAATAAAGATATTTAATAGAAAATCTTTAATATTTTTATAAAGTAAATTTAAAAATACATATTAGATTGAGAGTTTTTTGAGAATGTATCATTCAGAAATGATTAAAGAATGCATTAAAATATATCAAACTATCATAATAAGAAATTCAAATATTGAATTTAATGCTCTTTTTATTTTTAAGGGATTTATAAATGTTTGATTTTCAATACATTTTACAATATTTAAATTAAATTAGTTCAATTTTTTTAATCATATTTATTAATTAATTATAAAAAATATTATTCTTGGTTTATGAATTTACTGAAACAATTAATATGATAAATACTCACTCACTTAAATTTATTAATACTTATAAATATATATTACTTTAATTTATATATTTTTTAAAAATAGAGTTATAAAAGCAGAAAATAAGTGTACTTAATATATTAAAAATATAAACTAACTTATTTATACACTTTAGAAAAAAAATTTTTAAGACGACTTTATAAGCAGGATAAAGTAAAAGCAAATACAATAAAAGAGTTTGAAATAATTTTTTTAAATATAAGCGAGATCTTGCAAGTATTCAAAATATTTTTTAAGTAAAACTTAAAATTTTAAGACATAATAATAAATAAAAATAATATAAAATAAATCACTTTTTTTCTATTTATAGTATTAACAATAATTCCATATTGTTGAAGTCTTTTCTTTCTTCATTTGATCTTATCCTAATTTCTCGTTGTCTCGTTTAGCTTATCTGGATTCTCTTCGAATTATTATTTTTACGAAAACGAGCAGAGAAAAAAACGAGCTAAATCCTCGTTGTCTCGTTTCCTCATCACTGATTATTATGTTAATTTTTAATAATGAATAAAATAAAATTAAAAATTTCATAAATTATTGACTTAGTATTTTATCTTTTTAATAAAAAATATCCCACAACTAATTAATTAATGGTTTATGCTACAACTATTTTATTAGAAAATTAAGTAAAATATTAATAAATTAACTTTATTGTCTTAAATCAGGGGCTTAAAACTTACGCCTTATACTAGTTTTATGACATTAGTGTGTATATTAATATTATGGCAGAAGGCAGAAATATTTGTTTAATTAAAATGACACTTTAAATAATTTTTCTGATCTTAATGTTGTGATATTTTTGGAAAATGAAATTAAAATTTTATAGAAATCATATTTAGAATTTTTATAAACTTTTGTTATTTAATTTGATTTTTTTTTTGCATAAATTTATTTCATAATTAAGTTTACATTAAGCCAAAATAAAATACACTTTAATTAAACCTTTTGAATCTTTTCATTTTAAATTATCGTTTGGTTAAAATATTTTTTGTAATTACTCCCTTTATATAAAAAAATTTCTTTTAAAAAAATTCATGAATTATTTTATCCTTTTTAAGTTTTATTTTAATATTAATTGTTAATTAAATTAAAATTTTTCTTTATATTTTGTTTCTATATTCTATTTTATTCGATGTTTTAAAAAATATTTATAAAAACTACATTATTACTAATATATATATATCTTCATTTATGTGAAAATAAATCATAGAAAAACAAATTATAATATATCTTAAATTTTTAATAGCTTAAATAGTTTTAAAAATAAAGCATTCTTTGGATATTTATTTTTAAAAAATAATATTTAATTAAATATTATTGAAATTAGGGTAGAAACAACTACGAAATCTATACCAAAAAGAGTAAAAAATGACACTATTTTTCCATTAGAGTAGCTCGCAGACTAACCACTAATAACTGCGAGTATAACATAATAGTAGAGAACTAATAAGCCAAGCATTAAGAAAGTTGATATTATTCTTCCTACTTTCCTAAATTTATATAATGATTCTAATATTAGCACACTAACAATGATAAGTGTAGAGTTTATTATCGAAACAAAAACCATCTGTGCTTGATTATATTATTAATCAAAAATTGTTGAAATACTTAACGAGTGAATTATTCTTAGATAAAAAATACTAAACCTCAAAGGTCTAGAAAGCTATTTATCATGGATTAAAAAAATGTTAAAAAATTTATGAAAAAGTAAAACTCTCCAAAATAATGATTTTTGAAGAATTTTTTTTGATTTTTCATCAAAAATTGCAATTTTTTCTTCATCATTAACTAAATTTTAATTTTTAAAAATTTCTTTTGAAGTTATTTCTTGTATTTGGTTTTGATTATTATCATCACTTTAAACTGGCTCTTTTTTTAAATTTATAAAGAGCAATTTACTTATTTTTTTGTCTGATTAAAATTAATATTTCTTATTATCATTTTATTCCTCATAGTCTTTAAGTTTTAAATTATCTACTTCCTATTATTTATTTTGATTGCTTTAAATCTTTATCTCATGATTTTAATCATATTTTTAGGATGAATTCTTAGTTTTGATATCCTCAACCATTCTGTGATCATCTACATTTTTTAGGCTTGTTTAAGATATTTTATGAATAGATAGAGTTTAGCTTTTGTTGTCATGTTTTTCTTATTATTCTTTTAACTTAGAGCTATCAGTAATTTTTAGATTAGATTAAAATATTCCATTGTTGGTTAAAATTTAATTATTCTATAAATCTCCTTCATTTTAAAGTTATTATGCCTATGGTTATTAGGAATTAACATTATTTAATTGAGGAGTCTAAACTACAGACGCTAATGTTTAATAACTATTACCTGGAATTTTGCTATCCATAGTTTTACCAAAGTAGCATAGACCAAGCTATAGTAGAGTTGCAAAACTTAAAATCCAAAAAATAACATACTCATAGAAGGTATCAAAATGAAGTATATTCTAGAGTCCATCAGAATTGAATGCTGTTTACAAATTTTTATTGTCTAAAACACTTGTTAGGTCTTCAGCAATCGTTGTTGGTTTTTGATCTTTACATATGCAATCATATTTTCCATTCTACGAATATTTAAGTGTTGTGCAACTGCTTGATGACCAAATTTATTTTTATTACTAAATGCATGTAAGATTGTATTTAGATGGCTTTATATTTGAGAAAGACATTTGTATGTATTTATCTTAGCTTGAATTTGAGTTGTTGGAGCTACTTTGTATTACAGGTTTTATAACTGTATTATTAGATATTTAGAAATTAGATGTTGCATTCACTTACAAGGCTTTGACGTAATTTTAAAATTCATCTGTCTTATAAAAAGGATTTTGTGTATAGTTAGTGATCACAACACTGTAAATGCTAGAGTCATTTGATGCAGTTTAAGATTACCCATAGTAGTACTTCTAAAGATTCTTTTATGTAACTTGCTCACAACTTAATGAAATTAAATTACCATTTAGTTAAAATTAGCCTTGATTTGGGAGAGTTATATTGTTTATCAAATTTCCAATTTGATCTGATATATTCATTTAAGTATTCAGTAAATCTTAAGGCTAATTATTCACATCAATATTTAATGTTGTTGAATTTAGCATTTTAAAAGAGTCTACTAAATTTTATTAGGCAATGTCGTTATTATTTAGTAGTTTATTATTAGTATTAATTGTAAATTAAGACTATTTATTAAGTACTAAATTAATTTAATTGAGAATACTAGAGCTTTGTTATTACTATTAAGTCGCTATAGAAGACTGTATCATTGCAATCACTTTATTTGAATAAGTAGATAAAAAAGATGTATTTGGAAGCTTATTTGCAATATTGATTATCTCCTATATCAATGCAATCTTTGATTGATTGATAGATGAAAGATTATAAAGGGTATTATTTTTAGATATCTCTTCTCCAATTATACATAAATTTATAATAGCATTTCTTGTTGTTTTCAAAGAGCTGGTTACAATTGCTTTATTTATTAAATTTATCAGTGTTTACTCATCTTACTAGTAAGAATCGATATTCAGTTGAATAGTAGAGTTAAATATTGCTAAATTTGAATCCATAGCTTATCCAATCATTAATAGCTTTCCTGATGGCAATATTGTTGCTATTGATTAAGTGGTACTAGAGTCTTAAATTTATCTTCTTAAAATGTTTTAAGGTACTTCAATTTCATTTTAATAATCACTTAATTAGTTATAGTAAAAGAATTAGTATAATAAAGGATTATTTTAAGTAGTGCATCCAGTAAATTAAATTGTGAATAAAGTTTATAAGGCTAATCCGGTTTAAGGAGTGACACTAAAAATACAATTTTAAGGAGGTATATTTATGTTAAAGTTTATTATTGCTAAACTTGGCATAATATTTTATGGGCTATAAACTGAAAATCTTACTTAGATAATTGGATTATCTATTTGATAATCAGAAAAGTAATCCCATAATCTTAATTTTACTTTGAGATAATCAAATTTAATTAATCCTACAACAACATTATTATAAAGTACAGTGCCTGCATATGTGAGAAGGTTTGTTGATATATTTGTGTTATATATAAGCTAAACTGAAATATTATCATTAATATTTACTTATTATAGTTATAATGGATCATCAAATACAGTTATTAGAGGAGGAATGTCTAGCTCTGCAATCATTAGCATTATTGATTGATTAGCTTATCTTTAATCTTTTTGCCCCATAAAAGAGAATTTCAAGAGTTAATAAGGATTAAAGGTTCTTTCTTTAATTATAAGATTAAGAGTATCTAATTGTGGAGTAAAAGGTTTTTTTAAATAGTCATAGCATTTGTTATCGCCGTTATTTGAAGCTTAATTTTAGCAAGTCCAACTTAATTATATTCCTTAAGGAGAATTAGGATCTTAAATTTCGTAATCTCTAGCTTAACCTATTAAAGTTATATTAGACTTATAATCTACTAGTCTATCATCTGAACCCCCAGAAATCTAAATAAAGAGTTTAGTTTATTCAGGAGTAATTAAATATTTTTATGAGGAACTGAGAGCATTATTACTGTGTAATACAATATTTACCTTATTTTTTATGAAATTTAAAATAAAAAAAATAAATAATAATTATTACTTATAAATCTAATGCAGTGTTTTAAGGGATAGAGTAAGGTTAGATGTCTACTTCAATTTATTCTCCATTAAATTCATTTTGGATTTAGTTGAGTTAAGGTAATACTTAAGAAACAATTTAGATATCTAAAGGTTCTTAAGTAATTTGAGTTCCTGATTAGTCACAAATTTGTATAAAAAACGAAAAGAAAATTTTCAAATTCATATATCTTTTTTAAAGTAAAAAAAATAAATTTAATATATTTTGAAATCATTTCTTAATGAGAATTTAAATAAAATTTAAATAATATTAATAATTTTTTATTTAAAAATACCTATATATAGGTGGATAGTTGCTCTAAAGGCTTTAGACAATAAGTTGTTTAGTCTTTTAGTTCAATGTTTTAAATGTAAGAGTACTATTTTAGTTCACTTTTAGTATGTAGAATAGGTGAACAGTAATAGAAATATCAGGAGGTAATACATATTTGTTTATCACTAAACTTTAACTTTATAGTTAGTTAGTTTTCTAAAATATGGTATTTATAGCTTAAAGAGTAGAGTCACTCAAACCTTAAAGTGGATCAAAGCTCCATTACAAATAAAAGAAACTTCTTTTGGCATCATTTAAAACAGATTTAACTCCAAAAGAAATGTCATTACATGAATTTTCTATATCATTAAATTGAACTTATACAGATGGTTGCGTTGTTAAATTTTATACTACTGATACCAAATAGAAAGTATCTATATATTTTGTGTATCCTTAGAATTACAGAAAATTACTTTTAAATCCTAATGTGTAGTTAGCCATAATGATTGCATCATTACCTATTTATTATTTTATGAATAAATCAAAAAAATTTTAATTTATATTAGTATTTTACTCAAGGAAACAACTATTTTGGTTTAACTTATTTCACAGCTAGAATTAGAACCCAGCAACAGATATGTAGCAGAATCAAATATTTGGTCACATGTAAGATTATTTATATTTACTAAATTAGACCCAAATTCAAGTGTTAAAATTGGAGATATGCTATCAAAGATTGCTTAAACAACAGCATAATTATCATAACTACACTGATAGAAGATATTCCTTTAGTCTTATGGATTTCTACAAATGCATTAGCTTCCACTAATTTGCATTGTTTCATAGCAATTTACGCAATTACTTATTTGGTTTGCTTAGCATAATTTACAAGTAGTGCCACAACTATGACACCCTTCAGAAGAATATAATGTGCATTGTTAACACATATTCTATTTTAACTAGTAATTATTTGGACATATTTGATAACATTAAAATTCTGTTGCTGAATTAGTAGTTAAAAATTAGTAATAGCTGCTTTAACAAGCAGTACAGTTATTTGAATTACCAATACATTTACTGCATGAAACATCACATTATTAGCACTCTTACTATTACTACTGTAAGAAGTAACCATCTGGGCAAGTTTAGTAGCATTTATAATTTGTATCAGAAGGTTAAATTTTAAGTGGATAAAAAGTATTCTTGCAAGCAGTACAACTAGTAGAAGTACCACTGCAGGAACTACATGAAATGTCACATTTTTTATATTACTAATTGCTATCCAAATAATATCCATCTGGAGTTATCTAATAGCAATGAAAATTCGTAGCTGAATCTGAAGTTTTAAGTGGATAATAAGTATTTGAGCAATTTGTACAGCTTATAGAAGTCCCATTACAAGTTTAACAGGAGACATCACATTTTTAACATTATTATTATAGTAGGAAATAACCATCGGGACATGTTTAATAACATTAAAAGTTAGTTGCTGAAGGTGTAGTTTTAAGTGGATAATAATTATTTGCGCATTTTGTACAACTTAAAGAGCTGTCACTGCAAGTGTTGCAAGATGCATCACATTTTAAGCATTATTAAAATTATAGATAATAACCATTTGGACATGTTTAGTAACATTAAAAATTTGTTGCAGTGGGTGAATCTTTAAGTGGATAGTAAGTGTTTGAACAAGTAGTACAGTTTGTAGAAGAGCCAATACAAATACTACAAGAAGCATCACATTATAAACATTAGTTTTGTAGAAAGTAAGATCCATTAGGGCATATTTAGTAGCATTAAAAGTTAGTTGCTGAAAGAGTAGCTTTATAGGGGTAATAACTATTTGAACATGCAGTACAACTCAAAGAATTGCCTGTACAAGTACTGCAAGAAACATCACATTTCAGACAATCTTATGAAAATTAATAGTAGCCATCTGGGCATATAGAGTAACATAAAAAATTAGTGTCTGAAGGCAAATTTTTTAATGTATAGTAATTATTTGAGCAGGAAGTACAACTTGTAGAAGTACCACTACAAGTACTACAAGAAGGATCGCATGACTAACAGACCTACAAAGTAGAATTTTAATCGACTTAAATAAATTAATTGGAATTACAAGTCAATAAACATTATTTTTGTTTCTAATCCAAATTATAATTTTAAATGCAAGCAGAACAATTACCAGAATTATCACATGACGAGCAACCTATTGGACACTAAATATTTAAATTTTAAATTAAATTTAATGAAGTATTAAAGTTCATAGATTTTATACTTAAATCCCTCACATTTTTACAAGCCCAACCATTTTTTAATTAACAGAATAATTCTAGAATATTTATTAATTCATTAAATATAAATATTCATTTTTTAATTTATTATTCTTTTAGCATAAAATGGATAGGCTTGTAAAAAATTGGGTTTTTAAGTATAATTAATTTTTTAAAGCTTATAGTTTATTTTTATGATTAAATTATGGAAGAAAAAAAAACTAAAATTTTAAAAATATTTACTTAATAATAAACTATGATCTCAATATCTCCCATTTAGTTTTTGGTTGAAGGAGGATATAAATATGTTTGCATAGTTAATTAATTACTTTAGTTATTCACATTAACCTAATAATACTAACTAGTTCTAACAAAATTGTTAATATTGCAAAATTATTGTTCATTAAGTTAGCTAGCAGGAACACCTTAATTAGTTAGATAAGTATGTGATGCAGTAAAAGCCAAAAATGTGCACAAAACATTTGGCGTTGAATCATAAAATTAACCAAACCTAATTTAAACATATGAAATCGCCTACTATCCTGAAAATATGATAAGAGCATCATTTTAACTATTGTCTAAATTATTCGGATTTATTAAGAAATTTTTATCGCATTAGGCTTTTTAAAGATTTTAGTTGTAATAAATATGATCATATCTATCAACTTAAGTGGTAATAAAAGCAGAGGAATATGATGTATTTGAATCGTAAACGCATTGATATCCTATATTAATTAATTTATTAACAAAATAACTAAAAATATATTTATACTTATCAATACCTGAATAGGTTTTTGGGGTTACTAATTTTTAAAGTAAATTGGAGCAATTTTAAGCTTTAGAATATAGAATAGTAACCACAAACCAAAAAATTATTTTATAAAATGATCCTTTCATTACTAAATTATGAAATTATTGGTTTAAAAATAATTTTCTTTGTTTCTAGATTTAATATTCTGTTTAAGTAAATAGTTTCTTTTTTGGTTATTTGTTTTATGAAATTTAATTTTAAATAAACATTATCAAAATTTAAATAAGATTAAAGGGGTGATGAATTAATAAATGATCAAATAAAGAAGCAAATTAACAGTCTTCATATATTCAATAAAGAATTGGATGTAAATTAAAATCAGAAATTTATTAATTCTAAAAAATTAAATGCTAAAGCAGCAAATTAATTACATAAAACAAATTTAGGTATCAAACTGACTAAGTTCGAAGTATTACTTAATTTGATTTATTTCTAAATAGCCCCCATCCTAAAATAATTAAAAATCAAAAATTTAGATTTATTTAGTGACTAATTAATACTATTTAATATTACTGTTGGTTTTTCTTTCACTTTTAAATTAATTAAAAGAATATTTTATATTGATTATAAATGAAAATGACCTATTGCTAAATAACATTTTTGGTGTTTATAGAGAGGAATACTTACTTTATTTAAAATGGTTAATATAAAAACACAAAATTAATGAACAATATTTATACAAAAAAACAATAAAATAATGAGATACTTATATTTTAAAAACTATACTCTTCATAAAAGATAAAAATTATCCTAAATAATTTAAAAATAATTGTAAAAAATTTGGAGATTTAATCTTTTCAAGCTTTCTAACCTTTTTAAACATTTTTTCAAGCTATTTAAATAAGACATTGTAATCTTTAGCCTGTTACTCTTTAAGTTTAAATCTATAAAATTAATTGACAGCTTCATTTTTATGATTTTACAATAAATTAGGTAATAGCTTTTATGAAATGAAGTTTCTCTAAATAATAGAAGGCATTTCTTTCTTTCTTTATTAATTTTCTTTTGATATAAATGAGAAAGATCTTTTATTTTCTAAAAATAAATTCAACGAAATTTTAAATTATACTAAAACATGTTAATTAGCTACAATAAAATGTTGTTAGATATAGCTATAAAATGATTATATTTGATAGTCTGCAATAAAATTTTAGATACTTAAATAACTAGCAATAGAAATTATTTGTTAAAATTTAAATAAATAATATATATATTTGAATTATCAATATGAACAGAAATAATTTCCAAGTTATTACACTCTAAAATTTTCATGTAGCAAAAAATTTATATTGGTTATACTGGTTGAATAAGGCAAAAATAGAAAATAATATATCATATAAAATAAGAAAACTAAAAATAAATAAATAAATAAATAATTAATAGTGGTAATAAATTATTTGCAAATAACTTGCTTTAATTTCTTACAATTTATTTCTAATTTATTCATCTATTTTCAAATTAATATATCTTTTCATTAGGTTTTTAAAAATTTTACAGCCACAAATATCAAGAATAAAAATTTTTGTATTTTTATCTGTTACCTAGTTGATATTTATATTTTAAGATCAATATTAGATATTAATAATTTAAAAGAGTTATCATCAACGCTTCTAAAAGGTTGTATTAAATCAACAATCCAATTCATTAACATCTGATTAAATGATATTTTATTCGATTAGTATAATTTTGTTAACTACCCTGGGTACGCAAGTTTAAGAGGATGAAAAAAAATAATTTTTAAAAAAATTTCATTTCAAAATATTTCCTCCTTAAATCAAAATTCTCCTTAAATTCATATCCTCCTTAAACATGCGTACCTGCAAAATTTAATTTTAACTTGGTGGTTAATTAGCTCCTAAATTGAATATTTTTTTAAAGTAAAATTAGTTTAGCAGTTAAATATAAAATATAATTTTTTTAACCAGAGAATAGCTAAAAATGCTAAACTAAAAATGAGCTAATTAAATTTTCATATATTTTAACTGATATTTTTTGAATATTTTTATTTTATACTCTTTCTATTAGAATATAAAATAAAATAAAAACTAAGAGATTAATCATAAACAGTATTACTCTTGAGCCACTATTATATACTATTTCATCAGATAAATCAGCTGAATATAATTTAGAATCATAATATTAGATATATTCTTAATTTAAATAGACTTTAAACACGTTTAAAAATGAAAACTTTTGAGATAGTAACTAACATATTATTTTGTAATTAACAAAAAAAAATTTTTAATTATGAGAAATTACTATTAATAAATTATTTGATTTTTACTTTTTAAGTCTTAACTGTTTTTAAAATATAAGTTATTAATTTTGTCAAGCAAAATAACAATAATGAAAAAGAAAGAACTAACTTCAAAGGAAATTAAAATGAATAAATTTTAATTATACTTTGAGTTAAATTCATTTATTTAGCATAAATTACATTATTTATCTGGAAATAGCTTATAACCAGGTGAACACTGTTAAAATTTAGAAGAATTTTCACAAACATCACAATTAGATGAGCATTAGCCACATCTATCCCCATCTAATTAATAATTATATAATCCATTTATATTTTCACATAAACCGCATGAACCATCTTGAAATAAATAATAACCATTTTAGCACTTCTAACAGGTAGTAGAATCTTAACAAATTTAACAATTTGATTAACATTTCCCACATTTTTACCCATTAATTTTATCTATGTAAAATCCATTTTAAACTCCACATAAATTACATGATCCATCAGGAAATAAAAAATAACCTGTAAGCATCGCTAACAAATATTAGAATCTTAGCAAACTTAACAATTAGATTAGCATTTAACACATTTATTTCCATTCAATTCATATCTATAAAACCCATTTTAAGTGTCACACAAATTGCATGAGCCGTCTGGAAATTAGTAATAATCTTTCAAATATTGTAAACATTTAGAAGAGTTTTCACAAATTTAGCAATTAGATTAACATTAACCACATCTATTTCCATCTTAATAATATTTGTAAAATCCGTTTTATTTATCACATAAATTGCATGAACCATCAGCAAATAAATAATAACGGAATTTTTGAATGGAATCTTGCTATAAATATATATTGTAAAAACCAAATTTTATTAAAAAAACTACATTCATTTTAGAAAAAGGAATATTAAAAAATAGATCTGTAAAATGAATGAGTTCAAGAACCTTACCTAAAAAAGTTGTAAAAAATTTGATTTATTGAAGTACTATTCATATTTTATTTAATATTACCTACAGTTGGTAAATAAATATAGATAGATTAGAATTTGGTCTATAAGATAATATATAATTATATAGCTTTTTGAGTGATAAATAGACACAAATAATCCAAGGAATTATAAAATAATCAATAAAATAAAAAATTAAAAAAATGAAAACAAAAAAATTAAATAAATATTTTACTTTTAAAATTTAAAAAATAAAATACAAATAAGAAAAAAGAATATCATTATATTTTTATAATATTAATATTTCATTTTGCAATTTGTTTTCTGACTAAAGTTCTATTTTTAGATTATTTTTTGAACTTAAATAAAGACGGGTAATTAATTTTTTAGATAGTCAAATTATTTTAACTTAATTAGCTTTAATGCCTAGCTATTTCTTAGTATAGTTATAATTCTGATAATTCAAACATTTTATTCTACTTTTTCTGCTTCAATTTTGCTTACACTAAATCGTAAATTTTAATTAATATTAAAATTACTGCATAAACTGGCTGTAGGAGCAGTATTACTTAAATATTTATAGATATTATTAAACTTATCTAAGAGATATTGTATTCGTAATCAGTATAATCAGTCTTTTAGCAATAAAAATTTACAATAAAGAACTCAATATAAAGAGTAAACCAGAAAAAATAATTTACTATAAAATAAATATTAGTTAGCTTAGATATAAATGGCCTCAAAATTATTACCATAATTAGTTAAATTAAAGAAAGACTAATTGATATAATGCTTATAACCATCCACTAAGAACTTAATTAAATAAAATAGGTAGGCAAGATAAAGGTTTCCAAAAAAAAGTTGATCAATAGATAGTTTCTTCTATATCTACATTCATAAATTGTTTCATTCTGAATTTTTTCTCTATTAATAATTTAGAATGTTCTATTTTTTTTATCTTTAATTTTTATATTTAAGAAGTAAATCAGGTATTTAAATATTAAAATAGATATCAAAATTAAAACTAGGATTAGGCATAATTAAATTTTTTTATTTTCTATACTGTTACTCTCAAAATATTTTAATTATGCGTTGATTGCAACTATGAAAATTAGAATGCATAGCTAAAAATATTAAACTAAAAATGAGCTAATTAAATAATCGTATATTTTAACTGATATATTTTGAATACTTTTATTTTATACTCTTTCTATTAGAATATAAAATAAAATAAAAACTAAGAGATTAATCATAAACAGTATTACTCCTGAGCCACTATTATATACTATTTCATCTGGTAAATCAGCTGAATAGAATTTAGAATCATAATATTAAATCTATTCTTAATTTAAATAGCTTTTAAATACATTTAAAAATGAAAGCTTTTAAGATGGTAACTAACCTATTATTTTGTAATTAATAAAAAAATTTTTATTTAATTATGAGAAATTACTATTAAATTAATTGATTTTTACTTTTTAAGTCCTTTGATGGGATGAAAACTAAAGCAGGTAAGTTAATATCGACTAATATAAGAAAGCTGAGTTTTTAAATAGAAATTCCTTAAGTTACAATTGAAAAACTTTAGATATTTAAAACTCCAGAAACTAGTGTTTAAGTATAAGAGCTATAACTAGATATTTCAGAGCTAGTTTTTGAAGATTAATTTATCTAATTAATTTAGTCTTGGCTCAAAATAGGATCTTTATATTCTAAATAAATCTATTCACATTTAGAGTTAATTAAAATAAATCCTTCTTAGCAAACCCTAATTTAGTCTTTACTATTTCCTTCATCTGCTTAACATCTGATTACACATGAGTTACATTCTTAACTGTTTTTAAAATAGATTTATTAATTTTATAAAGCCAAATAAAAATTATGAAAAAGAAAGAGTTAACTTCAAATGAAATTAAAATGAATAAATTTTGATTATACCTTGATTTAAATCCATTAATTAAGCACAAATTGCATTATTCATCTGGAAATAGCTTATAACCAGGTGAACACTTTTAACACTTAGAAGAACTATCACAAACATCACAATTAGATGAGCATTAGCCACATCTATCCCCATCTAATTAATAGTTATAGAATCCATTTATATTTTCACATAAACCGCATGAACCGTTTGGAAATAAATAATAACCATTTTAGCACTTCTAACAAGTAGTAGCTTCTTAACAAATTTAACAATTTGATTAACATTTCCCACATTTTTACCCATTAATTTTATCTATGTAAAATCCATTTTAAACTCCACATAAATTACATGATCCATCAGGAAATAAAAAATAACCTGATAAGCATCGCTAACAAATATTAGAATCTTAGCAAACTTAACAATTAGATTAGCATTTAACACATTTATTTCCATTCAATTCATATCTATAAAACCCATTTTAAGTGTCACACAAATTGCATGAGCCGTCTGGAAATTAGTAATAATCTTTCAAACATTATAAACATTTAGAAGAGTTTTCACAAATTTAGCAATTAGATTAACATTAACCACATCTATCTCCATCCTAATAATATTTGTAAAATCCATTTTATATATTACATAAATTGCATGAACCATCAGTAAATAAATAATAACCTACTTAGCATTGCTAACAACTTTTAGAGTTTTAGCATAATTTACAATTAGATTAGCATTAACCACATTTATCATCACTCAATTAATATTTATAAAATCCATTTTATATATCGCAGGTATTGCATAATCCATCAGGAAATAAATAAAAACCACTTGAGCATTGTGAACACTTAGTAGAGTCTATACAAACTTGGCAATTAGGTGGGCAATTACCACACTTATCTCCATTTAAAGTATATTTGTAAAACCCATTTTTTGTATCACATATATTGCATGATCCATCTTAAATTAAATAAAAACCTTTTGAACACTGTTAGCATTTAGTTGAATCTTAACAAACTTAACAATTCGATGAGCATTTAGCACACTTATCTACATTTAAAAAATATTTGTAAAATCCATTTTATATATCGCATTAATTGCATGACCCATCCGAAAATAAGTAAAAACCGCTTGAGCACTGTAAGCATTTAGTTGAGTCTTAACAAATTTAACAATTAGATGAGCACTTACCACACTTATCTCCGCTTAAAGAATATTTATAATATCCATTTTATATATCACACTAACTACATGACCCATCTGGAAATTAATAATAGCCTGATGAGCATATCAAGCAATAAGTAGAACTTTCACAAGTATCACAATTAGATTAACATTAAATACACTTATTTACATTCATGTAATACTTATTTTGACATATACACTTGCTTTAAGTAAATGTGGCATTTGGATCACATATACATTGCTAATTATTGTTGTCAACTTAAGCGAAATTAGGACAAGTCTTTTCACATGTATTATCAGGTTAAAGGAAGTAGCCTGAAATACAAGTTTAACATATTTATTTTTCTGAGCATTTCATACAATTAGAAGGGCAGCATTATCTTGGATCTTAAGTTGAGCAATAAGGACACTAAGATGGGCAATAAAGAGTATTTATATCTAATAAATAGAAGTTAGTACCTTTCTTTAAAAATATTAAATTTCCCTATTTTAGTAAGAATAGAAATTTTAAAGAATTTTAAAAAGTAAATTTAAAATTTAACTTGTTAAAAATTGTAATAATGTCTTTAAATGTTAGGTAGCAAGTAATAATTAGAAGTCAGAGAAGAAGTAATTAATTTAACATTCACAGTTGTAGATTATGAATCATAAGTTACTCTATAAAAATTGTTTTGGATATATACATTATTCTATTTATTAAATTTTTTGGTTTAAATATTTAATCATTTTAAAATAAAAAATATACTTACTAAATATTAGATAATATCCAAAGGATTATTGGTATTTAATAATTTATCTCCTATTGCTGGAATTGTGTTTAATGTTGATGCATCGAAAAATACAAATTAATTTTTGTTATAGTCATAGGTAAAAATTAAACTTATCTAATTTATTTTTAGAAGATTTAAATTAATCAAACTATTTCCTTTAAAAATGAAAATTGTTAATTACTCCATCTGTATCAAAAACCTAAGAAATAATAGCTTAATTTGTACTATTTATACCTAAATCTAATAATTTTGTACATTCAAATGTATCCTAGCTCAAAATTGCCTTGCAAAACTTATTATCTATCAGAAATAAGTCAAATTTTTGCTGTTTATTTAAAAGTAATTTTTAATAAAATATTTATTATTTTATTTTTAAAATTTAAAATGAATTTAAATTTCATATTAATTTTTATTGTAAAAAAATCATTTAAATAACAAAAAAACTAATTAATAAATTAAAATTCTTAAATAAAATTAATTAATTAATAAAAAAATAATTTTTTACATTAAATAAAAATAAAGTTAGTAAAGATTTGACTGGAGGTTTAATGTTAGTATAAACAGAATTTTTGTAGACAATATAATTATTATCAATCACCAAATATGTTTGGTACATAAAGTAAGTTGTAGCATTAATTATATCTTTAGAATCTTATAGTTTTTGAAATGAGTCTCCTAATATAAATTTATGTGGTGCAGAACCGCTAGTACAGTAGCAATAATAAAGCGAGCCCTAATTATATACGTATAAAAATTTAAATATTGCTTCATATTTTTCTAAAAATTCATTTGATTTTACATAATTTGTGACAAATGGTTAATTACATTATTAACTAGTTCCAAAAGAGAGTTTCTAGAGATACCCTTGCTAATTACTTGTAAGTAAATTTAAATCAATTTGATAGTAGAACTATTGGAGCTTGATAAAAAACATAAGCTGCTGTTAATTCTATTTAATTAAAATGTGAGTAAAATTTATCCTATCTGAAAAAATTGAGTTTTTACATTTTATAGCATGTAGAAACCATAACTAAAACCAGCACCTGAGACAGGTGTTGAATCAATCAAACCATTTATTATATAGCTTGCAATTATATTTCCATTTTAATCCAAAATACTATATTTCCATAAATTATCGTCTGTAGCTTTATAAATAATTGCGCTTTTTTCCTAAAAAAATGTAAATGATGTTTATTTAATACTTGATTTATTGTTAATTAATAAGAATACTTAAATGAAGTAAACTGAATTCGTAATCTAAATAGGTAAATTAATACTAGACACTAAACTTAACAATGAACTAATTAAAAAAAATTGAAAATATTAGAGTTTAGCTATCATTGTCTTATTTTATTTAATTTTTGAATGTATAAAAAGTAATCGCTTGCTACTTCTTTTTATGTTATGTTTTTTAACTATTTTTTAATTTTCTTTTGGCAATTAATTTTCACTTTTTTTTAGAGTCTTATTGCTTATTTTTTAATAAACTTAAAGGCTAATTATAAATCTGATAAATTATTTGTCATAAATAAGTAAATAAGCTGATCAATTTTTTAATACTTTGTAATTACTCTTAACCAAATTAATTGATATGTTTGACTAGAATTATTAAAAACAAATACCACACATTATATAGTACATATTATTTATTTGTATCATAAATCGTAGATACACCATAAGCTCTCCTAAGTCAAAACCTATGTTAATAATCTCTCATTTAAAAAAAATGATATAAAATATGAAAATAAATTTAATCGATTAAAAATTAATAATATTTGAAATAATTAAATACTTTATATATGATAAAAAAAAACATATAAAAACTTTCAATAAAAATAGGCTGAATAAATTTATTTTTAACTTTTGTTTACAATGATATAAATTACAAAAACAAAAATCTTGTTAACACCATAATTTATAATAAATAAATAAATATATTTATCTTTTCTTTTTTTGAAATTTTGCAACAAAATATTCTAATCAATTATTAATAATATGATGATAAAATGAAAGTGAATTTGTTTATGAAGATAGTTAATAACTCTTGATTTAAATCAACTCTTTCTTTTACTCAATATTTAAGCAAGAATAATTATATCAAATGCATACACTTTTGCTCTAAATATAAGTTGCTCTGAATGCTGTTTAGCATAAACTGTCATCCAAGAATGAATTTTTCAGATTTCGCTTGCTCTCCTCATTAAAATGTATGAAATACTCAAGAAACAACTGTGAAAAATGATATGTAAGCATCTATTATGGAATCCTTATATTTTACTGCATGGAATTTATGCCTTAATTCTAAATTAATAAGAATCTAAATATTAAGTAAAATTTCTACTTGATCTAATTACTAATTATATAAAACTAGAGAATTATATTATAATTTAAAAGAAATTTGCTATCACTAAATATTATATGATCAATTTTCAAAGTGATTCTGTCTTTTTTCGAGCTGGATGAAATCAAATTTATAAGGAAATACAATTAAGAACCTATCAATAAAAGGTAACATAAAATAAGATTTTGTGAGCATGAATCTGGATTAATCTAATCCACTTTTTCTTAGTAAAAGCTTATGTTATTTTATAAACATTTACAGTAATTTTTTATTTAGAAAGATAAAAGGTGTTAGGAATTTTATCTCTTCATAATTTTATTTTATTTAGTTATTTTAGAAAGTTTTTTTATTCTTCTAGTTCGACTTGCTGAGTGGTGGTATTTATTTTATTAGTAAAAGTATATGATGAGCAAATTAATAATGACAAATTTAAATCAATTTTAAATTTAATATTCTTATTAATTCTTTTTTTATTTATAATCACTGAATTTATATATTCCATATTAATAATTTGTCTTTTAGACTGAAAATTTATCTTAGGTTTAGATTGAAGGCATAAGTTATTATTAATTTAATTATATTGATTACATTTCATAAAAAACATTTTATTCTTTTGACCTCAACTTACTTTTAACAAAATCATATAATTATACTAAAATTTATAGAAACCCATAAGCTGGTTATAAGAGCAATACAATGAAAACATTAAGTACTAAAATTAGACAAGCATAACTAATAGTACTTTCATAATTCTAATAATCAGACTTTGAACAATACAAGCCTACAATTAGGTATTCAGTAAAAAGAGCAAGCCATAAAAAATGACTTATAATAAAAAAAGCATTTGTAAGCTTAGAAATAAAAGGTCTATAAATAATAGCAATAATTAATTAAACTAAAGAAAGCACTATTGATATTATACATACTACCATCCATTAAGCACTAAACTGTATAAAAATAGTAGGTAGAAGAAAGGTTTCTATAAAAAAATTGATCAAAAGGTAGTTTCTTCTAAATTGGCACTCATAAATTGTTTGGTTCTAAATTTTATCTCTATTAATAATGTAAAAAGTCCTATTTTAATTATCTTTGGATTATCTATTTAGATAGTAGAGCAGATATTAAAATATTTTAAAGGAAATAACAATCAATAGAATAGAAAGACATAAGTTCATTTCTTTACTTTCAATATTGTTATTTATGAAGTATTTTATTTATGCATTGATACCAACTACAAAAATTAAGATGCAAAGCTAGAAATATTATATTACGAATGAACTTATGAGATTATCATATAATTTAGTAGATACATTTTAAATAAATCTATTTTATACTTTTTCTATTAAAAGATAAAATAGAACAAAAGTAAAGAGACTTGTAAAAAATAAAATTAATCCAGACCCACAGTTAAATAATATATTATCAGGAAAATCAGCAGAATAAAATCTGGTGTCATAGTAATCAGTTTAGCTTTCATCTAATTAGCTTTTAAATACATTCAGAAGAGAAAATTACTTCGAAGGAAGCTAATCTATTTTTGAAAATAAAAAAAACTCTTTATATTCATTTAAATAATAAAATTAAATAACTAATTTAACAAAGTATTTCGATACCTTTTTGATTTTTGATAACCATGTAAATTAGATCTGGTAAATTAATGCTAATTAAAGTAAGAAAACTGAGTTTATAATTAACTATTCCTTAAATAACAATAGCAAAACTTTGTTAATTCATTAAACCCATAGCTATATTCTAAGAATATGAGCTATATGTTTACACGCTAGAAACCGTTTTTGAAGATTAATCTATATTTTAAACTTAATCTTAGCTTAAAACTGAATTCTTTAAAGGTAGATAAACTTATTAACATTATTTCTTTAATAAAGTGAATCCATCGTAGCAACTTGTGCATTGTTATTAACTGCTTCCTTCACAAGTTAAACACGATGAGTCACAAGGAATACAATTATTGTTACTTTTTTTTAAAAAAAATATTTTTTAAAAGTATTGATTTATTAATGTTAAATATATTAGTTTAATTAAAAATAAGCATTAATTAAATCAAAATAAAATTGTTAAAAATTGAATTCAAGAGAAGTATTTTTTAATTTTTACTTGATATAAAACCCTTTCTGAATATCACACAATTGACATGATCCATTTGGATACAAATAGAAGCCTGATGAACATTACTAACAATTTTATGAGTTTTAACAAAAATCACAATTAGATTAACACTTTTAACACTAATTACCACTCAAATAATAAGAATTATTACATTTACACTCTTTATTGGTAAAAGTCGCGTTTGGATCACATATACACTTTTTATTAATGTTATCAATTTAAGCAGAAATAGGACAAGTTTTATCACATGTTTGATCTAATTACATCATATATCCAGGACTACAAGTTAAACAAGTTTATTCATCATTACATTCAATACAATTTGAACTACAACATTAATTATGATTTTAAATAGGGCAATACTAACAACCAGCTGGGCAGTAAAGAGAGTATATATTTAAAATTAATGATTTAGAATTTTGATATAAACAAATAAAATTTCCCTATTTTTTTTTAGTTTTAAATGTAAAGATTTTTTAATATGTAATTATTTAAATTTACATATTAAAAGTTTTATTCATCATATGGAATTGAAGCTAAAGTATAATCTCCAGAAGGTAAAGATGAAGTTATTAGCTTAATATTAAGTTTAGCTGACTAAGAATCATAAGTGATTGAATAAAGATTTGATTGAATATAAACATAATTCTATATTTAAATAAAATATTTTTTAAATAGAAATTTAGAATTAATTTTAATTTTATTACTTTGATTTATATAATTTGTTCAGGTTTTATATTACTTATTATGTTATCTCCATTTGCATATATAGTATTAAATGTTTCAGCCTCTAAAAAATTATAATTATTTGTCTTATAGTTAAAGCCAAATATAATATCTTTCTTATTTAATGGTAAATAGAAATATTTAATTTCAAATTAAATTTGTTTTAGGAAATAAAATAAATTACTCCATTTGAGTTGAATACTTTAGATATGATACAATCTTTGGTAGGATTTAATCCTAAATCATACTTTTTTGAGCAATCAAAAGTAGATCCAGTCATAGTTGCTTTACAGAGTTAATAATCGAATAAAAATATGTCATATTTTAACTATTTTTATGAAATAATGTATTAATCTAAAATATTTCTTAATAAAAAAACAATCTAAATATTAAAGAACATAATATAAATTAAATAAATAAATAAATAATAAATTATTTTACCTTTACTTAAAATTAAAAAAAATAAAAATAATTAATTTGTAAATTGAATTTAAAAAACATTACATCATATAATCTTATAGTCTGAATACTGGTTATAGATAAAAAGTTAGTATATTCTTTTCCTTTATACACTAGTAAAGTTTCATCGAACACTATATATGTTTTTTTAAATAACTGATTGTTGAATTTCACTTTAGAAGTAGCTGTTTCTAAATCTTACAAAGAAGACGCTTTCCAAAGGTAATTATCTACAGTGCCAGAACCATGAACAGTGCAAGTATAGTAATAAAGTGAATCCTATTTAATTATTTTGTTTCTTGATAAATAATTTATATTTTAGTTAAATTTTTTACATATTATGAAACAAAATAAAATGAGTCGCATCCTTTATTGGCATACTTATTTATTGAGAGATATTTTAAATTATTACTAGTTAGTATACTTAAGTCAATTATATAATAAGAATCACTAGGGTCACGGTAATTATAAAAGTAGAGTAGCTATTAATTCTTTTAATATTCAAAATTTTATTTAAAAATATAGTTATATACCACAATAAATTTACATTTTAAAGAAGATATTAAGCGAAACTACCAAATAAGTCACTCATTCCATCAATTATGTAAGTTTATGTAATACCTGTGTTTATATCCAAAGTACTATATCTCCATTTTTGATCTGTCAATCCTTTGTAAACAATTGCGTTAGTCTCCTAAATATAATGTAAATCAATCATTATTATTTCATATTTTTTAAATTTTAATACCTTTATAAAGTAGACTTGAGAATCAACGTAAAATGGCAAAGTGTCAGCTATACAAAAAACATTTTAAAAAAACAATCCTATGAAAATAAGTAGATATTATAATAAAATCATATTCTTTTAGGTAAACTCCTTGTTTCTATATTCACTTAAATTTACTTTCTCAAAACAAAAGTCAGACAAAATTTATTAACTTACTCTTTTTAATTTAAACTAATAGTCTCTTTAATATTTTTCTTCTTCTTCCTATCTATCAAGTTTTTCTATGTTTTTCTCTCAGTTTTTAATTTTTTGTGGTCAATTTTCTTCTTTTATTAATCGTTACTCTTATTTCAAAGTATTACTTAATTAAATTCACTCAAATTAAAAGGATGTTTTTATAAATCAATATTAATAATTCTCAATAGCCAAAGCAATTAAATACCCTCTGACAAATTTTCGATATATTCAAATGATTTCATAATTTTGTTTTTTTGTAATATAATGTAATGTAAAATATAATATTCTACTAGGGCTATAGATTTACTTATGAAAAAATGAATGGAAGATATTTATCAATTTTATGTCTTGAAATCAACTAATTTTATATTAATTTATAAACAGATATCACTTTCAAGTTATTTGTGGGATATTAATAAACAAAAAAATTTAAATGCATTTAGAAAAATAATGAGGTTTACTTATTTTAAGATATAATTTATTAAAATTTAATCTTTATTTATTTTTTAATTTGAAAAATGATGGTCGCAACTAATTTTTAATAGATTAAAATTAATTTAAAAAAATGTTTTTATTCAAAATAATTAAAATAAAATATAAACATTATTTAACAAATTATATTAATAGTTATATATAGACACTTTTGAAATCAAGAAAAGAAATAACTCTGACTCAATTAATTTTGATAGATAAGTGAATTATAATTCCTCTACTAAATAATCCTCCTTAATTTTTTCTTAATAAAAATGCTTAATTATATTTAACTATTTTTTACCTTTTTCCAACACAATTACTCTATCATCTAATTTGTCTATATTTTCCAATCTTTGAGTGATAGCTAACCGTGTCTTATTTTCACAAAATTATAAATTAGTTTGTTAAGTATTGATTTAGTTTTAGATGTACATGCTAAAAGTAGCTTCATCTAAGTAAATAATTTCTGGCTCTATTATAATAACTCTAAAAAATTAACAACTTACTTTTCTCCATTAATGATCAATCCCTAACTTTTATTTAAAAATTCAAATTTTCCTACTCTTGCATTTTTGACTCTTGCTATTAATTGCTATCATTATTCTTATTTTTCAATAACTAAATTTGCTTTTTTAATAGTTTCTTTTCTTATTCACTTCATCTATTTTTTGTCAAAAATGTTTTGTCTAATTTTAAGATTAGTCTTATCAATCAATCTTTTATTAAATTTCTTATAAAAGGATTATATTTATTTTCTGAATATAAATTGCCCCTTAAGGAAGTATTATATAAAAACCCAAATTAAGGTGAGGGAAGTTTTAGATATTTGTTTTTCACTGAATAATATTTTATATTTTTTCCTTGTATTAATATGCTATTAATTATATTGGATATAAGTTAAATAGGAAATTCAATACTGAAATTGTCCAAGAATCAGCCCTTCCAGAAACTACTACTTTTTTTCCTCTATTTATTTTTAAGCTAAAATCTTTGGCTGCAAAGTGAACATCTTATAATTGATAAATCATATTAGTTTATGATTTATTTCATCATATGCAATTACAGATTTTTAAATTCAATTACAATTTTTTCATCATCCTCATCTCTTCATTGATTTTATTTTTCTTATTTTAAATATTAATTTTCTTTTATTTCTATTTAACTACTTTCTTGCTCATTGTTGAAATGTTATATAACTCTCTCCACTGATACCATATTCGATTCTAAGCTACAAAAGAAGCGAATAAGGTCATAAAATCTGGTAGAGAGCAACATAAAATAAGTAAGAGACATAAAAACAATGTAATAATTAAAATTTTGACCAAATGCCATTCAAAAATTTAGTGGTTTGAGATCACAATTTTTTTGAATGGCTGATGTGTTTGAATATAATTTATGTAAAAATAAATAATTTTATAATAGAATTTAAATAATAAATATTTATAATTAATTAATTTACATCAATCAAATTTTTAATTTTAGTCTTTTTAAAAAATTTTTCTTCAATTTTCGAACCTGATAGAAGAAAAAATATAAAAAATGCTTAATCAAAGATTTAATTAATTTATTGATGAAGAAATTTAAATTTTTTTATCAAACATTTAATCTTGAATTAATTTTTTTTTATAAATCTATGTTAGCAATAATTTTTAAATAGTAAAAATTTACAAATGGCCTGAATGGAGCAGGATAATAATATAATATAAAAAAAACTGCAAACAAGAAACAATATATGATGCTTTTAAAGTCATACAAATAAAAGTAAAATTATTATAATTATTATTAAGAATTTTTTTAATATGTGTAAAATTAAATTCGTAGATTATAGCCATTTTGAGATTATTAGCAATATAAGTTTGGTGTAAGTAAACAATTTTATTGTTATGATGGATTAATAACCTTGGCTTTAATTATTATTGGTGTCACTAATTGAAATAATAACTATAGCTGAAGAGGACTCAATATTATTGCTGAATCTTCAATATTCTATGATTAATTTACTCTAACCAGATAAAGTGATTTATTGAGCTGGATGAAATCAAATATTTAAGGAAATACATAAAAAAAGATAGCATATAATAGGATTTTGTGAACATGGATCTGGATCTAATCTAAATGTCTTTTTTCAAGTAAAAGCTTATATTATTATATAAACATTTATAGGTATTATTTATTAAAAAAAGTTAAAAGGTGTTATAAGTTTAATCTCTTCATAATTTTATTATATTTAGCTATTTTAGAAATTTTTTTATTGTTCTAGTTTTGCTTACTTAATTGTGGTATTCATTTTATTGGTAAAAGTATATGATGGGCAAATGATGAAAAATTTAAATCAATTTTAAATTTAATATTCTTACTAATTCTTTTTTTACTTTTAATGATTGAATCTAAAAATATTTTTTTAATGATTTGTTTTTTAGACAAAAAATTTTTCTTAAATTTAGCTTGAAGGCATAAGCTATTATTAATTTAATTATATTGATTGCATTTCATAAAAAGCATTTTATTCTTTTGACCTCAATTTACTTTTAACAAAATCATATATTTATACTAAAATTTATAGAAACCCATAAGCTGGTTATAAGAGCAATATGATGAAAACATTAAGCACTAAAATTAGACTAGAATAGTTGATGGCACTTTCGTAATCCTAATAATCAGACTTTGAACAATAGCAACAGACAATTAAGTATTCAATAAATAGAGCAAGCCAAAAAAATTGGTTTATAATAAAAAAAGCATTTGTAAGCTTAGAAATAAATGGTCTGTAAATAATAGTAATAATTAGTTAAACTAAATAAAGCACGATTGATATTATACATACTACCATCCATTAAGCACTAAACTGTATAAAAAATGTAGGTAGAAGAAAAGTTTCTATAAAAAGATTGATCAAAAGGTAGTTTCTTCTTAATTGGCACTCATAAATTGTTTGGTTCTAAATTTTATCTCTATTAATAATGTAAAAAGTCCTACTTTAGTTATCTTTGGATTATCTATTTAGATAGTAGAACAGATATTAAAATATTTTAAAGGAGATAAATATCAATACAATAGAAAGACATAAGTTCATTTCTTTACTTTCAATATTGTTGTTTATGAAATATTTTATTTATGCATTGATACCAACTACAAAAATTAAGATGCAAAGCTAGAAGTATTATATTACGAATGAGCTTATGAGATTATCATATAATTTTGTAGATAAATTTTAAATAAATTTATTTTATACTTTTTCTATTAAAAGATAAAATAAAACAAAAGTAAAGAGACTTATAAAAAATAAAATTAATCCAGACCCACAGTTAAATAATATATTATCAGGCAAATCAGCAGAATAAAATTTGGTATCACAGTAATCTATCTAGTTTTCATCTAAGTAGCTTTTAAATACATTCAGAACTTAAAATTACTTTTAAGGAAGCTAATCTATTTTTGAAAATAAAAAAAATTCTTTTGATTTTTATTTATTTAAATGGTAAAAATAATTAATACCTTTTTGATTTTTGATAACCATATAAATAAGATCTGGTAAATTAATGCTAATTAAAGCAAGAAAACTGAGTTTATAATTAACTAATCCTTAAATAACAATAGCAAAACTTTGTTAATTTAATAAACTCATAGCTATATTCTAAGAATATGAGCTATATGTTTACACGCTAGAAACTGTTTTTGAAGATTAATCTATATTTTGAACTTAATCTTAGCTTAAAACTGAATTATTTAATATTAGATAGACTTATTAACATTATTTCTTTAATAAAGAAAATCCATCATAGCAACTTGTGCATTGTTATTAACTGCTTCCTTCACAAGTTAAGCACGATGAGTCGCAAGAAATACAATTATTGTTACTTTTTTTAAAATCATTTATTTAAAATTATTTATTTATATTAAATATGTTAGTTTGTTTAATTAAATCAAAATAAAATTGTTTAATATTGAATTCTAGTGAAGTATTTTTAAATTTTTACTTGATATAAAACCCTTTCTGAATATCACATAATTGACATGATCCATTTGGATATAAATAGAAGCCTGATGAACATTACTAACAATTTGATGAGTTTTAACAAATATCACAATTAGATTAACACTTTTAACACTAATTACCACTCAAATAATAAGAATTATTACATTTACACTCTTTATTAATAAAAGTTGCATTTGGATCACATATACACTTTTTATTAATGTTATCAATTTAAGCAGAAATAGGACAAGTTTTAATATCACATGTTTAATCTAATTACAATATATATCCAGTACTGCAAGTTAAACAAGTTTTTTCATCATTACATTCTATGCAATTTGAACTACAGCATTAATTATGGTTTTAAATAGGGCAATATTAACAACCAGCTGGGCAGTAAATAGATTAAATATTTACAATTTATAAAACTTTTTAATCTTAACGCAAAAAAAAAAAATTTCCCTATTTTTTAGTTTTAAAAGTAAAGATCTTTTAATATGAAAATTTGAAATTTTACATATTAAAAGTTTTATTCATCAAAATTATAATAAGTATAAGAATAATACGGAGAAGGTAAAGATGAAGTTATTAGTTTAATATTAAGATTTGCTGACTAAGAATTGTAAGTGAATGAATAAAGATAACTTTTAAAATAAAAATAGTTCTATATTTTAAAATAAATAACTTTTAAAATAGAAATTAAAAATAATTTTAATTAATTACTTTGATTTATAAAAAATATAGAGATTAAGATACGATATTTATTCTATCTCCAATAGTTGATATAGTATTAAATGTTTAAGCCTCTAAAAATTCATAATTATTTGTATTGTAGTTAAAGACAAATATTATATCTTTCTTATTTAATGGTTAATAAAAATATTTAAATGAAAATTAATTATGTTTTAGGAAATAAATATAAATTACCCCATTTGAGTTGAAAACTTTAGATATGACACAGTCATATAAATTTGCAAAACTTAAGCCTAAATCATATTTTATTTAGCATTCAAAAGTAATTCCAGTCATAGTTGCTTTACAGAGTAAAAAATCGAATAAAAATATATCATATTTTAGCTATTTTTATGAAATAATTAATATATTAATCTGAAAGATATCTTATTAAAAATAATCTAAATATTAAAGAACATACATAATATGTATTAAATAAATAATAAATTATTTATTTTACCTTTAATTAAAATTAAAAAAAATATAAATATGGTAAAGGATCATATATTAAGGCCGTTTTTAAAAGATTTTTTAATTTGGTTTAGTTAAGTTAAAGGCGGTAAGTGAGATGTATAAACTGAAATTGAGGTGACCTTAAAATATGAACCTTTGCAGTAATTAATTTGTAAATTTAATTTTAAAAATATTACATCATATAATTTTATACTCTGAATACTCTTTATAGATACAAAATTAGTATATTCTTTTCCTTTATAAGCTAGAAAAGTTTCATCGATTACCATATACTCCTTTGTATATCTCTAATAGGTGAATTTTACAGGAGAAGTAGCAGTTTCTAAGCCTTCCAAAGAAGACGCTTTCCAAATGTAACTATCTACATTAACAGCGCAACTTTAGTAATAAAGTGATTCCTATTTAGATTTCAAAAATATTTAATTTTTTTTGTTTCTTGCTAACTTATTTATATTTTAGCTAAATTTTTTACATATTTTGATACTAATTAATAAAATTTGCATCCTTTGGCACTTGTATACTTATTTATTATGGCAGTTGTTGAACCTTTACTAGTTAGTATACTTAAATCAATTATTTAATAAGTATCATCACCTTAATTATAAAAGTAGAGGTACTATTAATTCTTTTAATATTCAAAATAAATTTTATTTTAAATTGCTAATAATATACAATAAATTTACATTTTAAAGAAAATATTAAGTATAAAAACCACTTAACTCAAGCATTCCATCAATTATATAAGTTTATGTAATACCTGCTTTTATATCCAAAGTACTATATCTCCATTTATTATCTTTCGGTCCTTTGTAAACAATTGCGTTAGTCTCCTGAATATAATGTAAATCAATCATTATTTTTTCATATATTTTAATTTAATACCTTTATATAGTACACACCAGTTTCAAGTTAAAACGGCAAAGTGTCAGCTATACAATAAACAAATTTAAAAAGCAAACCTATGAAAATAAGTAGATATTATAGTAAAATCATATTCTTTTAGATAAGTTCCTTGTATTTATACTTACTTTGATTTACTTTCTCAAATCAAAATTAAGACTAAATTTATTAACTTATTTTTTTTAATTTAAATTATTAGTCTCTTTTATATTTGTTTTTCTTCTTCTTGCTAGTTATTAATTTTTTCTATGCTTGCTCTCAATTTAAAATTTTTTGTCTTAAATTTTCTTCTTTTTATAAATAATTACTCTTATTTTAAAGTATTACTTAACTAAATTCACTCTAATTAAAAGGAGATATTTATAAATTCATATTCATAATTCTCAAAAGCAGAATCAGCTAATACCTTTTGACAAATTTGCTTAAAATATATTGAAGTAATTTCATAATTTTCATACATATTAATCTTTGATTTTTTGTAATGTAATTTAATGTAAAATATAATATTCTACAATGCGATATAGATTTACTTATGAGTGAGGGAAAGATATTTATCAATTTAATATCTTGAAATCAACTAATTTTATATTATTTGAGAAATTAGTAAAAACATATTGATGAAAAATTTATATCATCTGCTCCTCCCACAAACACCTCATTTTTTTAGGCATCTTTCTATTTTACAAATTACTTATCATTAATAATATATCTTTAAATAAACGAGTAAGATAAAAAATAAATTACTTACAAAATTAACAGGAATACATACATACAAAACATTAATTTTTATTAATTTAATCCTAAAAAAAATTATTTATTTATTTATTTTTTATAGTAACTATTTTATTAATAATTCTTTGTTGCTATTATTATATAATTTATCAAATGCTTTAATTAAAATTGAGCATTGATTTATTTATTAGAATTAGTTATCCTATGTATTTTCAAAAATGAAAACTATTACGATTGGTTGTTGGTTTATTTATTTGTTTATTTATTCATTAATAGTTAAGTATATGTGGAAAGATTGATGAATGGATTGTGTTTATATATTTAACAAAATTGCAAAAATGTTAGTTAGAAAATTTATAAGTGATTTTTATTATTTTAAAGATTTCTGAAAAGAACTAATTTTAATAATTAGTTTATTATTGATATCAATCGACAGAGTTACTTAGTTATAAGTATCTTTCAAGCTTGTTTTGCCTCTCTTGATAATAATTTATATAATTTTTTAGTAAAATATTTTTATTTGTTGGTTTTAATATTTGTTATTAATATATTTAAAAATAAGTTGTTATTATTTTATTCAACAGTAATTGATTTCTTTTAATTTCTGTATGCAAAATTTGGATTAAAAAAGTGAGACTAACAAAATTGATAATTTAGAGGGTAAGACAATAAATTAAAATGTGTATACATACACACATGTTTGTTGATTTTCAATAAACAGCGGGAGAGCTTTTTTTGTTGAATGTTCCATCATATGGTCTATTCCAGATTTCTTCAATGTGGCTTTTAATAAAGACCTTTTTAGGCTATTTATTTTGAGAAGCAGAGGAGATATGGGTGTTTGTTGATAAAAAGCATGATTCCTCTGAATCAGAATTGCAATTTGAAGATTTGCAACTGGAGCTTGCACTTATACAGCAATTAGTTTTAGATTTTTAAATTTGATGTTTCTTATTGGTTTATTCGTTTATGTTGTATTAAAATTCAGTAATATCTGATTAATTAATAAATTAATTGGAGACTTAGTTGGGGTCTTCCTTCATAGAACTGCATGGAGCAGTGTGAGGAGTTGAGTTGATGCTTCCAGGCGTCCACTTTTTATTAGATTTCTACTAGTTTGATTGCAAGTTTTACTTTTGAGGAGTGTAGGGAGAAGTATTAAATTGAGGTATATTTTGAAAAGTTTAGTAGCTCTATGAGGAATCAAAAGGACTATATATGATAGGTAATTGATGAAATTAGTTCATATTTTGAGTTTGTTACTAGCAAGGAGCGAATATATTAAAGAATTGGGAATCATTTTATTCTATATTAGTGTTGTTTTAGTATTTCTTGTAGGCTAGAGCATCCCAAGAATCATTAAAAAAATCAAGCTAATTGATAATGCTTTAAGGAGCAGTTGTAGATTGTTCAAATAGATTTTATACTTTTGGCTGGACAGTAGAAGAACTAAATAATGGTGTGATAAATGAAGAATTTTATGGATATTATCCGTAGTAGTTTTAATGTTATTGCTGCTAGTGACTACTATTGTATTTGTTCGAATTAGATTAATTTATCATGCTCTAGAATTAGATTGAATGATTCTGAAACTTTCAATGATAAATGCTTGCTTATAACTTCGTTTTAACTTAAAAAATAAACTATAAAATGCTATCACTATTTGGTTCTAACTTTGGAGTTTACTCTTTTTAAATTAACCTATTTAACTATTGGCTATAAATCGCAGTTTAGTTTGCTTCTTTGTTTGTTTGTTAGTTAGTTAGCTAAAGAGTAGTGAATGAATAAGTGAGGAATATTAGCCTCTTTATTAGAGCTAAAAAATATCTATGTTTTTTTTTTTTTTAGTTAGGCTTAAATATTGATTTCTCTAAGCTAATTAGATTTTCTGCGGGATAATTGTCGCTTTATTATAAATCAAAATAAAATAGTATTCTGTGCACACACTGCATATTCCTATTAAATTTACTTTTTTCTCTAAGACTAATATTTTTAGTTTCTAATTTAAATGTCGCTTGTCTCTTTCATTCATTTATCGTTTGTCAGCTAATATGTAAATATCTCAATAACAACAAACATCTCCTACTTTCTTTCTTTCTTTATTTATTAAGTTAAATACTAATTCTCGCTTTCCAAAGTGTTTCAATTTAAACTGCACACACAAAACTTTATTTTACTATTTTAACTAAATAAGAGTGCCTGCCTACCTACCTTTCATTGTTTTATTTGCGCTCTTATTGTTTAGATTTATTTTTTATTTCTAGTTATATATTTGCTTAATTTAAATTTTTATTTCTATTATTTTCTGACTTCATAATTATTTTGAATTTCTAACTTTTCATTAATTTTATGAGAAAATTCTAACAAATATCTCAAAGCTAAAAGCTATTTTTCTTAAATATTTTGAAGTAGAAATGCATTAATTTGTAATTTTGCTTTTAAATAAAAATATTTTATTCAAATTAATTCAAAAATAGTTACAAAATTATTCTAAAATAAGAATTCCAATAAAAATTTTTTAAATTTATTGCTTGCTTATAAAAATAATTTGTATTTTGTTCTCAAACATTTAACAACTTTATTTTTTTGTTTGTTTCATTTTTTATTCGAAAGTTGATAAGTTAATTTTTTCATTTATTTACTACTTATTTTACAAAGAATATTTTAGCTTTAAGTGAATTAAAAACATTATTTATGGTATTTAGCTTATCTTAATAGTTTTAAAGATTTTTAATAAGATCTAATTTTTGTCTTCTACACTTAATTTTGAAACATAGTTTCAGCTTAAATAATCTAGATTTTATCTTTGATATTTTTAAAAACTCTCAAGAAAGTATCTTAGAATGTATTTTAAATAAATTTGTTAATTTTTGATTTTGAGGAAAATAAATAAATAAATATTGAATTTTCTAAAAATAATTAATACTTAAAATTATTTTATTTAATAATTTCTAAATAGTTTTTAAAAAAATATTTAAGAGCATATTTCTTTTAATATCTAAGAAAACAAACTTGTTTTAATAATAATTTTTATTAAAAATTTCAAATGAGTCTATATCTAGTTATACATGTTACAGCATGAATATAAAATGGTTGATAAAAATTTTAGACATTGTTTAACTTGAAAAGTTGATATTGGTAAAAAGTTGAACATTTTGCATATTTTAATGTAAACAATAAGCGTTTTACAGTAAAAGATATGGATTTGTTCTGCTAACCAAATATATAAACAATAAAAGAGTGCTCGTACTATTTTGTACTATTTTATCGAATATTTCAAATAAGATAAATTTATATTTTAAAATATAAAAATTTTTTTGTTTTTTTATCAGATAAAAAATTAAACAAATATTTTAGATTCATTTTAGAAATTGCTTAGATTTTCGAATGAGGAAGTTTGAGTTAGTTATTTACTTGTTTAGCTGAAATCTTTATAACTTAAAAAAGCAAAGAGAGAGAGAGAAGTACAAAAAGGTATTTTTTTTAATTAGGATAAAAGTTAGTAATTTGTTTATACATAGGATAAATTTATTAACTGCTGTAGATTAATTTGCTAAAATCTTCTAGTGAAGTAAGGATTTTCTTAGTATTTGCTGAAGACATGCTTACGTATGAAAGAATAATGGTTCTATATTTCATAGTGCGAAAGATAAATTAATTCCCTATTCAAGTAAATAAATATAAATAATAATAATATTCAAATGGATCTCATTTCAGATAAAATTACCTTATTTATTTAATTATGATTAAACATATATTCAATTCGTATTATAAGCAAAAAATCCCCCAATCTCTAAATTTATTAACCTATCTCTTTTTCTATCAGTCTATTTTTTTATTTTCCGATTAAGGCTCATAAAAATAATTAATTCAATGAATATATTCTAATTATTTTCAAGTTAGAATGTATTTTTTGTAATTTTTTATTTCTTAATCAGCCCCCACTTTTTACTTGTCATTTCATTAAATTTAAAAGAAAAAAAATTAATTTCTGCTTCTATCACAAGCGGTTTAAGACCTTCAGCATAAGACTTCTGTTTATAATTATTATTGTTTTAAAAAACATAAAACTTTGTAAATTCTCCTCAAAAAAAAAAAAAATCATCATCACAACTAATTCTTTTCAAAACTAAAGAATAATAAATAAATTTAAAGAAAGAAAGAAATAAACAAACAATTATTGATTAAATCTTCTATTCATAAATCAATCAATCAACCGTATTCATTACTCACATTCCCCCCACCAAACCTCGAGCAACTAACAACAACAACAATAAAAAAAACTATAACGTAAAGAAATTAATAACTGCACTTAAAGTCATATACATATGTTCCCATACGAAGTCATACTCCACGGTATAGCAGGGTCTGTCGCTGCTGTCATGTCAACCTGCTTACTCTTCCCTATCGACTAGATTAAGACCCACTTATAATTGAGGTAATTTAATTATTAATTTGTTTATTTGTTTGATATATTTTTGAATTGCTATTTCTTCTTTGCCTTTTTTCCCTTTAAGCTTGCTTGTCATTTATTACATTGAAGTTTCTTTCTTCATTTAATTATTTATTTATTGCATGTGTGATTTAGTTATATATCTTTGCATGTTTCTAAGATATTGTTTTAGACTCTAAGGTCGGATGTCTCGTTGTTGGATGTAACCTAGTTGCATGTTTGCACCAAAAACGAAACCATCTTTCAGTAGAGTTTATTCTCACATTCAAATAAATAAATTGTACTATTTCACTGTAGGACATTTCTCTTTTTCCCTTGTACATGTTTTCTTTTCCTTTCTCCTACAAAATATTTGAAATCAAATTACAAGCAGTTAAAAGCGGAATCTCATACATATTTTTATAAGGCCAATAACAGACAAACAAATAAATAATGAATAAAATAATCAATATTTTAACTTAATTTATATCAAATCTAGTGAAAAGAACAATAACGAAGAAGACACATCAATAACCACCACTATTAAAAAAATACATAAAACTAGCGGTATTCAAGGTACACTATTAGCAAGAAGAAAAAAGCTTCTTGTTTTTATATTTATAATTTATATAAAATCAGTATTTATGGCCATCATCGCATCAAGCATCGAAAGATGTTTGCTGTCATTCTTCTTTTTCTTCCCTTTTCTTTTCCCCATTTTTAAAAAATCGAAATTGAAAAATAAAATCTGAAATAAATACATATCAGAAAGACAATTCAAAATTTAGAAAAATTATTAAAATTAAATAAATAAAATTCTTAGCATCAAGAATATAACCTAGATAGAGATAGATTTTTATTTATTTTAACTCAAAACAGTATTTTTTCCTTTTAATTTATAATTACACCGTCTAAAATAATCTCTTTCAATTTTTGATAAAGAGTTAGGCCAAGTAAACAAAACAAACAAAAGCTACTTTGTCTATATTTTCAATAGTTATAGATTTATATAAAATAAATAATCTCAACTCTCTTTCACTCTTTCTTTCTCTTTCTCTTTTCCTATCAACTGCTTAACTAATATCTAGCTCAAAGAACACATGATAGCACTAGATATCAATCATTTCTACTCTCTGATTTCCTCAGAAAAATCTACCTTCATACATATATTTTTTTTATGTTTGATGTTGTAGCTATCTCTAATATAAAATTTTATCAATATGTAGCATTGTAACTAGTTATATATTTGATTTTCACATTCATTTTTATAATGAGCAAAGCTAGCTATCAATTACATAAACTTAGCAAACAAACAAGCAGCAGCAAACATAGATACAAACAAACAAGCAAATATCAGAGGTTGAATAAACCTTGCTACAGAATTTTTAAAATAATCAAATAAAATAAAAAAATCAACTCTCTTTTTAATGCTTTTCTTTCTCTTTCTCTCCCTCATTTAAACCTTTCATTTTATATGAAAATCTGTTTATTTATAACTTACTTAATTACTAAGTAATTGAGAATGAAATAACTTTCATAATAACTAACTAACTAAATAACTATTGCTTCATTAATTCTTTGCATTTAAATTAAAACTATTGTTTCTTTATACATTTTGTATAGAATTATGCAAACAAAATGCGCTATACAACAACCCCCAATTATAATGAATTTTGTACAAAGAATAAGTAACTAATTCATTTATATTCTTGCACGGAAACAACTATCTACATGATAAATAAATAAATTATGCATATTCTTTCTCTATATCCAAATTGTCTGTCTGTCTATAATTGTTGTTGCTGAGACCCTCTTTGCTGCTAAAACAAATAAATGTTAATTTTCTTTAATAACCTCTCGACAATCACTGAACAGAACTGTTAGTTAGTTCTTAGTCTTGTCTAATTTAGAATTTTAACCCCTATTTCACTGCTAACCAATAAATAAATAAATTAACTAAGCAGGGGATAAAAGAAGGCATTACTGAATGAGAATTCGAAAAAAACCAAATAATTATTGATATTAACCAATCAACCAACCTTTTCGATTGCTCATTCTTGCATGCCTGAGAGTTCATTTTTGTCGAGCCTGAGAGTTTGAAGAGGATCTGGGTCTCATTTTGCATAACTAAGTTACTAAATTAACAATCCATATTCTGTTATCAAAAACTTTAGTTCTGACAGTTTAAAAACATTTTGTTTTGTAATGCGCAATTCCCAAAAATTTCATTTTTTGTTAGCAAAAAAAGGAAATTCCTAACAAATGCAAAGGCGCTGATCACCAGCGCTGAAATAATTTAATCCTCCATCGTCTGGAGGATTGAATAACAATAGTTTGATAAAATTTTAATGCAGTTTAAGTGAAATAAACTCATTTTTTAAACATTTTTAAGAGAGATCATTTTAAATAATAATGCAAATTTTTACAGATGGCCAAAAATCTGAAATGAATTTTACTAACAAAACTACACACAATATCACATTAAAATTAACTTATTCTAATTTAAAAATAAAATAGGATTCTACAGAGGTATCATCCCAGTCATTTTTGGTAACATAGTCTCTCAATTCGTTTACTTCTTCTGGTAAACATTTCTTAATTTTTGCCCTAATACAAGCAAGCAAAGCTTAAATATTATATAGAGTTTATTTGTTTGGTAAATCTCTTACTTAAGTAATAGTCCACCAAAATACATTCATTCATTCATTTATTTACTCATTCACCCAAATAGTAGATTTAGAAAGAAACCACCAAAAAAACTCTATATAATAGAAAAGCAATTTTTATTCATGTAACTTTATACTAATTTCTTCTTAATTATGCATCAATAGGTATAATTTCTTGAAAATTGCCACTGGTACTTACTAATCCTCCATGCTTTAATACGCCAAGTGCTCCATGCTTGCTGGTTTAATTGCCTCCATTTGCACCAACCCCTTCTGGGTCCTCTAAACACGTATGCTTAAATCTAAAGGTGGTGTGATCACTGTTGCTATGCAAATGTATCAAGAAGATGGTTTAAAAGCATTCTTCAAAGGTCTCAGCACTTCCTTAATTTTAGTTACTAACCCCATCATCAACTACATGATCTACGAATCCTACAAGATCTGGGCTCAAAGTTTGTTCATTGACAGTAAGTATGATGCTCTCATTTTCTTCTTTGGTGGAGCTCTCGGTAAATTCTTTGCCACTGTTGCCACCTATCCTTACTAACTCCTTAGAACTAAAGCTCACGTACTTATAAATTCTTTCTTCTATTTCTTAATTAGAAAAAAATTAAAATTAATGCTTCATTCATGAAACCATTAAGAATTAACAAATAAATATCTTCCCACTCCCTCACTAACAAAACTATTAGTTTTTTTTCTACAAAAATTATTCCCAAATCTCCAATTTCAACTAACTAATTTCTCTTTGTTTATTAATAGATTGCCAAAGAATAAGGTTACCTTTAAATGATCAAGACCATTTACATTTAAGGTGGTATCCCAGCTTTCTTCAGAGGACTCCTCCCTAAGCTCTCTCAAACAGTCCTTGCCAATGCTTTCAACATTATGTTCTATGAACAAATCTTCAAATTATTAGAAAAGGCCATTATCATTTTACATGAAAACCAAGTCTATCATGAAAGTGCTAAAATTATTGTCCTTGCTGCTTTCTTATACATAGCTGCCAATTGGAAGATTAACCAAGAAGTAAAACCTGAAGCCAAGGAATAAAAGGAAGCAGTTAAGTCCTTTTGAAACTCTAAGATGATATAACAATCAACCAATCAATATATTACGAAATCTTGTATATCAAAACAACAACACACATATTTCATGAAAAATAACTCTCATTTAAATAAAAGCAAATTTTTTACAGTATAATTCAAAAAGCTTTACAATCAATCATATAAAAACATATAGACTAATAAATAAATAAAGGAACGAACGAATGAATAAATAAATAAAAGCATCTTAATAATTGGATCGTATAAGAAACCTAGACAAAAATTTACTCAATCATAAATAGTAATAAAATTAATAGTGTTACAGTATGAAATAAGCATTTCAAAATAAATAAAAAAACAAATACATAAATAAATGAATAAAATAACCAACTATTAACCAATTAATGAATAAATAAATTATTTATTTATTTAATTATTTACCATTTTAATTTAAACTGCAAGAATTTATTTTTCTCATTTATGAGTTAAACTCAAAAATGAATATCTCTCAAAAAAATCTTGCATATTAATATATAAAAACAAACATATATAAAAACCAATCTTGATTAGAAGACAGACCTTCATGTTTACTTTCGTAAAATTAAAAAGGTCACTCTTTTAACATTTATAAACTATTCAATTAAAAACTGCATCTAACCCTCACTAAAAATGTCTTACATCAATCAATCTATTTAAAATAAACTTGAAATATTTTGTCTTCTTTATATACAATTAATTTGTGTTGTTGTTTTATTATTAAGCCTATTTATCATTTCCAAAAAGTCATCTTTTTTATTTATTAATTTTAACATTATATTCTCCTGATTATTATCAAACTTACAAATAGCTAAAAAACTTTATTATTTAGATTAAAAAATATTAAATATATCTTGTGTGACACACTATATAATAAATTTATTATATCTATTTCATATTAATCTATTTATTATGTTTTTCTCTTAAATTATATCTTATTTTTTGCATATTAAAAACCTCTCTTTACTTTTTATAAATTAGATTTATTAGAACCTACCAGTCTATTTATCTATCTACATCATTTTAAATTTATTGCTCCCCGAATAACGTCTAATCTAATTTAAAAATAAAAAAGGTATTATAAATTAATTTATTCCTTCAACAATCAATGTAACAAGATCATGGATCTCATCATTTAAAATTTCTCCACTAAAGATATCCAAAAAAAAAATGAAAAAGTAGGAATTTAAAAAAGCAAATATTTTTAGCTTAAATTGAGCTACCAAACAAAATATTAACAAAAGTAGTATACTAAAGTTAAATTTTATCTATATCCACTCCCCAAAATAAATTTATATGTTTTAAACAGAAAACAGGAATCAATCAATATACGTAGAAAAACTTTATAATATTTAAAAGTTGAAATAACTTAAATAATCAACCAATCCTATGATATTCTTTTTTATGTCATTATTTAGGTGAATCACATTTAAAAATAATAAAATAAGCTAATAATTTCTTTGATTTTTAGTATAAAATCATAACTTATTTTTTCATTTAATATTTTTAAAAAAATAATTCTAAAATGTTTTAAAAAATTTTAATGATATTAAATATTATTTTGTTTTTTGTAAATATTATCTTAAAGTATTGTTCATAATTGATATTTTTTATTTCTTTATTATTGAATTTTTTATAATTCATTTATTTTTAAAAATAAAATTTTCACTTAAATTCCAACAAATTAAATTTATTTAATCATTTAAGCATGAAAAAAACTTCTTTGTTGTACAATTTTAATTTTTTAATTTATTTATTGATTTAGCTATTTATTTTCTAACAAAAATTTAAACTAAATAATATTCACTAAAATATTTTACTAATTAAAATAATTTATATTGAAATCTTATAAATTGTATAATTTTTAATAAAAAATAATTCAAAATATTTATTAATAAAAAATAATTTGCTTTTTATTATTGAATTTTTGTTTTTTAAATTCCATAGTCCTGAGTAAAAAACGAAATTTGAAGATTGCAGGCACAATAAGTGCTTAATTAAGTTATTTTTATGAATATATAAAACTTTTTATACATAATTTTAAATATAATATTATTATAATACTTTAATTTTATAAAAAAGTTTAATCAATTAAATATCCAGATTATGTTAATAATTTACTTAAAAAATTAATTAATTTTTATTCTAAAAATATTTTCTAATTCTGTAAATAAAAATAAAGAATAAAATAAATAAATAAATTACGTTATCAGGAGAAGAAGAAATGAATTAAATTATTTATATTTTATTTAAAATAAATATTATTAATAAATATTTAATATTTAAAGAGCAAAAAATATTAAAATTAATATAAATAAACTAATAAATTAAAAGTTACCCTTTTTTTATAGAAAATAGAAATAATTTTAAATAGAAAATGTAAAGGATTTAATTAGCTCAATAATTTCTAGTAATTATTTTAGCATACTAATTTATTTATTTATTTACCATTTTTAAAAACAACTTTAAAAAATATGTTTCAATTTTAATTAAATTTAAAGGATGTTAATAAAATAAAATGGATAATCCAAAACAAAACAAAATTTAAATATAATTTATACTATTTTATTAATCTGAACTTTCTAAAATTATATTCAAATTTCTATTTAACACTTTTGGAACCTTTATTTTTGGTAAATTTATGGATGTTACCTTATTTGTTAAAAAATAAATAAATAATCAGTATTTTCAATGGAGTATATTTTTTGAATAATTTATAAAAGAATGTTTCAAAATAGATCTACTATTAGAAGAAGATATTACAATTCTAGTTTCAAACAACTTTTGATTGAATTAAAAAAACTATTTTAATTATGAACATATTCAATATTTCAAACTATTATTTTTTTTAAATAAAAAATGGATAATTTTAACTCTAATTCAATCAACTATATTAATAAGAAATAATTTATTCATCCATTCATAAACTGTTGAATTATTTAAATTTCAGAATTTCTATTTATATTTTTAAGAATTCAAAGCACTAGCAAAAATAAAAAGCAATAAATAATTTGAATAACTCTTATTAAAACAGTCAGTTTTTTTTTTGAGTTATTAGTTTTTTGAATCAATTTTTGTTTTTTGAATTATTTAAAAATAGATAATTAAAAAAATAAATAAATAGGAGTTAAGAAAGCTAGCTAGCTTCTCGCTTAAAGAGTAGATAGAATTCAAAACATAAAAGATGTAAAGTAAAGGGCATGCAATACATAAAATAAATAAAAAATAAATTTACTAAAATAAAATAATAGCGTAAATATGCTTTGAAATGTTTTTATTTTATTTATTTATGGATTTATTCATTCATTGATTCATTATTATTTATTGGCTTTTGATTGCTTTATATAAATGGCATTTTTATGTAAAAAATTTATTTGGCAAATCAAAATAATAATCTAGTTAATTAATTTTTGTTTCTTTCATTTAGATTTCTTTTCTTATTATAATTCCATTTCTTGTTGTCTCTTTTTAAGCTTTGCGAAATCAGAATCGTCGTAGAGATTTTTATAAGCAGGCTTTGAAGAGTACTCGAAAACAATCTTGAGCATAAAAATAGTCCAATAGCAATGCATGAAGAAGAGAATGACTAATTAAACAAACATATAGTAATAGCAGTACTTGACAATATCCCTAATTATTTAAATAATAATACGTGTTAATTAATTTTCCTTTAAAAAAGTCAATAAATTTTGAATCTTTTTGCTTAGCTTACAGTATACGTAATACTTATAATATTATTCATTAATTTTTGTGTAATTGAGGCTAATTATTTGATAAAAACTGAAATCAAATAAATTTGAAAGATAATTAATTAATTCATTCATTTATTCTTTAGGGAGGGAGGGAGTTAAAAATAGGATCATACACATCAAATTTATTTGAATCAAATAAAGGCATTTTTATGCATGCAAATGCTTTGTTTATTAACTAAAAAAATTTTATTTATTTACCAAACACCCCAAGCAGGGTTGCCCATTACCTACCAGCAAGTATAGATGATGCAGCTAGGATAAACGAAGATACGAGAGACAATCCATACAATTAAAGCGCTTCCCATAATAGCGTAGAGGACATACCTGTTTTTGAACTTCATATCAGCGTAGAATCTGCCACCAGCGACGAAAATATCACCCATGTCGTGAATAATTAAAACCAAAACTGAAACATAAAGGAAGTTGTACATTCCGCTGTAGAAAATCAAACCGGCAGCCATGAAGTGATGAAGAGTGAATTCATAGAATTTAGAGTCTTCATGTCTTCTAAATAACACGAGTTCGAAGAAGGAGTATGTGTGGCAACCAAATTGAACTAAGTGATAAAATAAGACAACGTTGCTAGGAGGGAAATTAGGGTATTAAGAGAGAGCTCCACTGCAGGTACCATTACCACCAAATACGCTAGGCATGAAAATCTCATCTTTAAATGCGATCAAACTAAAAATCTAATTAATAAATAATAAAAAAATTAGATGATATTTTTAGTCTTATATTGGTGATATGAATCATATAACTAACTAACTATCAAAGTATCTCTTTATATATTTATTTATTTATTTGCAAATATTTAATTGCTAAAATTAATTAATTGATATTCTTTTTCAAATTTGACAACAATAGTTTAACCCTATTAAGATGGTGATAAATTGTTGTGGGATTATTTAATATATTTATGAAGAGCCTATATATTAATAACATTTGTTTGTTTTGTTGCTTATCTTTGATTGGAAAATGAAAGTCTATTTTTTCGCTCTATTATTGGCTGATTTTTATATGATTTTATAATTGATTTTTTTGTTTTACTGTAGTGCAAGAGTAATAAGTAGAATCTTGGATCCATTTGAGTATCTTGTTTGCACGGACTTCCTTTTAGGCGCCAACATATTTTTCATTTAGATTTCTAATGACCCAATCCTTAAGGCAGACTCTAAGTGTTTTTTTATAGCCCTTTTGATAGTTAAAAGTAGAATTCAGTATTGAAAAATGTATTTCTTGTTTAAATAATAAATAAGTTGCTATTTCTTTGTTTGTTTGTTTTAAATTGGTGGGTGCACGCACAAATTAGATAAATTAGCGACTTTCTGTTAATAATTATTGATTATAATATTCAAATTACAAATAAGAGGAAGACAACTAATATAGAAAGTATGTTATAGCTCCAGGGGATATTATAAATGTTTCTTTCTGCGCTATATTGACGGAACTAGATAACACTATTAATGAAGAATATGAAGATACTAATAATTATGTAGCAAAGGATTCTGAAAAAGTCTTCAAAATCCTTGATCACGAAAGTGTTTTTAAATAGCTTGAAAATGCCAGTAAGGGGAGCTGAATTCTTCTTCTCTTCATCTTCCTGTTCGCAAACAGAAGAAGGAGGACATGGATTTGCTTTGCTGATAGGGTCTTTCATTTATTTAGACTATTTAGAAATGAATGAAATTTATTACTTGTATTTTTCTAATATTTATTTTGCTTGTTTGTTTTTTTATATTTAAAAAATGCAAATAATGTTTGTTATTTTCTTTTTTCAAATTATTATCTTAATAAAAATTATTGAAGTTTTCTTTAGCTTTTCTTCCTCTTTTTTAATAATCAATCAATCAATCAATCAATCAAGAATCCATCCCTCAACTAGTCCTGCAAAAAAAAAAAACAAAACAAACAAACAAACTAAAATAAATGCAAGCGAGGAGTTAAGAAATCAATATTTCATCAGGTTATTTAACCAATAAATCCAATTTAAAATGATTAAAAATTTCATCCTCTTCTTCCCTTTCTCTTACAAGTAAAATTCTTAATGAAATAAATATAAAAATACTTAACTTATTGCTCAAAAACTCACCTCAGCTATTTATATCACATTTTATTCTCACAAACCACTCTTATTTACTTTAGAAGCTACATTTATTCCGCAAATTACGTATTTTTCAATTCTAATTTTTTGATAAAAAAGCTGATGAAAACAACAGGTTTATTTTCATTTTATTTCTTTTTTTGTACTTTGCCTATTGTTTTAATTAAGCTTTAAAAATAGAAAACTTTCTGATCAAAGAATATTAAATTACCGTACATTCCTCTATAACCTCAATGAATTAATAATATCATATAATATAATACAAGTAACCTTTAGATCTTATACCAAATTAACTCTAACAAATTTAAAAGCTGTATTACGTCAATAAATCAGTTCTAAAGATTAAACAAATCATCTTATTATTTATTTATTTAAACTAAATCAAATTATTCTTAGTTTTTTTCAAAACAAAACACATGATTTTACTTTTTTTTCAGCTTGCTTTATTTACACGATAAGCTTCGAGTGATCTACGAAAAGCAAAAACTTAAATTTTATAAAAATATTCAAATACTAAAATAAATTACAAATTTCATTTCAATTATACTAAGAAATAAATAAATAATTATTTAATTCTATTTGTTCAAACACAAAAATCTTATTTGATGAATTTATTTTTTAAAAATTATATTTTTATTTAAATTTTAATCAAATTTATTTATCATTTTCATGCAAAATATTCAATCGGTGTAAGCTTTTAATTATTATTTTATTTAAATATCTACGAATAGATTAATAAATTTTATTTCAATTACAATAAGGAGGCAATCAAACATATCTTTTTAGTACTTCATTAATGACTCCGTTTTAAATTCAACGCATATTAAATTATCAAAAACTGCTTTTATAATCTTTTAAAAACTTTTGTCTACAACAAAATAACTTTATTTTCAATAAAAATTTATTAACTTAAATCAATAAACCAATTGAAGGTTGTTAACTCAAAATTTTGAATTTCTTTGAACACATTCTTTTGTGTTTAATTTTTCAAAAAATTATACAACAAAATTTAAGCTAATTAGCTTTAAAACAATGACTTTGCCAGCTATTTCACTAAACTGATTGGTTGATAAAAGGTGAAAATGATAATTTTATACTGAAATATGGTTGTATTTGGAGTGTATAGTGTGTAATTGTTTATTTGTTTGTTTGTTTATGTGTATGTCAATCATAATATAATTTATTTTTTAAACAAATAGTGTTTTTATCTTATTTTTAATGTAAATCAAGCTGACGCAAATTAGGTCAATCCAAACTCTTCCAATTTGGAAAATTTCTTATTTTTTATTTAAAAATGAAAGAAATTTTTAAAAAAGATGATAAAAAAAGTAGAAAAAGTTAAACAAGATTGAATTAATTAATTATTCATACTTGAAATTTGAATGACAAAAAATAATTCCATAAAATAGAAAAAAAAACTCAACACAAAAGGCTAAAAATAAAAGCACCTAATAAATATGAAAAATATAAAACAGATGAGTTGTTGTAAACAGATCCTTCAATTAAAACTTGCTAATCTTAAGTAGAATCTAGCAAATAAGACTGAATTCCATTCTTAGACAAATAAAAATTTGATTTCTATATTTAGGGCAATAGTCGAGAATATGATTGATAGTTTACAGTGTGATTGTAATAGCCATTTGTATTTATTTCTTAAATCTAATCTTAAATATTGTTAGGCACAAAAGCATTAATAGCACAATTTTGTTAGCTTAAATCAACACTAAGAAAATATAAGTTACTACAGCTCGACTCACAGTCTTAGCCTTAACATGCATAATTCAAATTATCTGTGAGCATTTTATCATACAAACTTTTTGTTTAGTTACACTGTTCACTTTAATCTGATAACTGATCAAATAAAGTATCTACTATACTTGGAAATTGATTTCTTAGGTTTTCCATGCATTTCATTGACGAAACCAAATCATTATAGTAAGAATTAAAGCTATTTTAATCTAAATAAGCATCTGAGTTGCCTGCAAAATAATTTTGTATATTGTCCAACCCAGCACAAATTGAACACACTTAACCTCTATAAAATCTAATAGTTGTTTAGATTACTTGGATTTAGCATTATTTATATTAGCTCTTAAATATTTCGATCTCTTTAATACCAGTATCGCTTTTGTCAAGATCGTTTGGTTGATCACTGTTCTTAGCTCCACACAGATTGATTGAAAAACCAATATTCGATAGAATTTATCCATAAAATGAATTATATTTTTCCATTTCTGTGTATTTTGAAAAAGCTAGCTATTTCAACAAACCAACTAATTCAGCATCGCAGCAAGTTTGTTAACCAGCATATTAAGAGCAAATATCAAGATTATCAGAAGTTTTTGATGCAGATAAAGTTTTGAATAGAGTGAGTTTCTAGCTTAATTGCTAAAATAAATTTTGATTATATTTTTATTACTGCAGAATGATAAACTACAAACCATCCAAAGCAGGGTGGTTAATGCATTGTAAATTTTGCAAAATCTGACAAAATATGCTCATAAAATTTAATTAAATTAATACTAAAAAAACTAATTTCATTTTCATCCAAATCTTCTGCTTTTCAAAAAAGTCTTTTGATTGCTTATTTATTTAACAAACTCTTAAACTCTTCTTGAACGTCTCAAAAATTAATTTAAAAAAAAAATCCTTATAACTAGATTTAATTTTGATAATATCCACTAATTTTTTATTTAAATAGTTCTTCTTATTTTCAAATTCAATCATAAAATATTTTAAATCATTATTTATTTGACCAAACAATAACTTAATAAATATTTTTAATGTATTTATTTTTAAAACAAACATTTGCATTTTCATTATTTCAAAATTAAATATTGAATCTATCAAAATATTTAGTAAACTTATCATTCATTCATTTAACTAATTAAAATAATTTTTTTTTAATTTTAATTTACTAAAATATTCAATTAAAAAAAATATTATTTTATTGTTTAAATTTAACAAATTTTAGATTTATTATGCCATTTTGTTAGTAAGTAGTTTGTTAGTTAATTAGTTAGTTAGTTAGTTAGTTAGTTAGCTAGTTAAAAAGAAAAGCAAAAATTTTGTTTTTTATTAATAGATTTTTATCGATTTTGCAAATATTCACTTAAAAAACTTAAAAAGCAAACATAAATTTGAATTTTTAAATAAAGAAAAATTTACTAATTTAAAATAATAAAAACTTTGAATAATAATTATAAGAAAATACATATGAAAGCACATTTTATAACCTAAATTTTTATCTCGAAAAACTACAAATCGATATAGCATATTTAGGTAAAGAACATCTTTATATAAAGTATTTATAAAACAAAAATATGTTTAAAATTAAATCAAAGAAATTAAATGAGGTTATTTATAATAGTATGATAAATACAGTTTTTAAGCAAAAATATATTCATATAAATAAATTACTTTCTAGAAAATTCTTGTATAATTTTAAATAATATCTATCATATTTTTAGTTGTTTAAGATTGCATTTATTTATTTGTTTGATTGCATTCTTATCTTTTAAATTTTAATTTGTGATAAAATTTAGTGCCTTTAAATGATAGTTTTTGACTTTAAAAACAAGTATTTGAAGAGATTGGATAAATAAATAAATTAAATGAGTAATTACTTAATTAATTAATTGATTGATTAATAATAAATACATGTTTGGTTGGCAAAGTATAAAGATATTAATTAAATTAATTAAAAAACTTTTCAAAAAGCTATAAAATTAATCATTTTTAGATAATATATAAGGATGAGTCAGTTTTTGTAGAAATTTACTTAAGGGCTGAAGATGGGCAGCAATCTATTTTAACATAGATTATCTCAACAAAGAATGTTCTTGACCAACTAATTTTGGCGTTAGAGTATGGTATTGGATTGAATTATTCTAAAATGAAAGGTTTTCGCAATTTTATTTTATAAATTAACTAGATTAAAACCAATAATAGCAAAGCAGTGAAATAACATAAGTTGTTAATAATTAAGAGTAAAACTTCCAAAGAGATCAATAAAGAAAAGGTTTTAATTACTGGATTGCAGGTTTGGTTCCTCTTTTCTTGTTCTTAGAAGACTAGAGAAGGAAAAAGGAATAAATTAATTGCTTTTGGGGAAAAAACAACTTGAAAAAAAACAGAATTACTGGTAGAATAGCCTCAACTGAATATAATGCAAACGATCCTATTGAAGATAGACATGTGTGCAAGCAGTTAAAGAACATTGATGCTTATGTTTGTGCAGTTTTTGATGGCCATGGTGGCTGGTCTCTTTCAGAATATGCTAGCAAGTTGCTTATTGATGAAATTGATTTGCAACTTGATTAGCTTAAAAAGAAAGAGTACAAAAATGAAGAATAATACATATCAGAAGCTATAACTAAGGCCTACGAGTATATTGAAATATCTTTCTACGAGTTAGCAATTCAAGGAAGTATGCATGCATTCATTTATATTATTTTTACATTCTTATTTTCTCAAAAAGAGACCAGATAACATTTTAAAAGAATTTATTTAAATATTTGGTTTTTTTAACAATAAATAAATAAAACAATAAATTTTTATTCAAACAAAACTCTACTGAAAATCTATTAAAAAATTTATTAAAAAAAGAAAGAAAATTAAAAGAAAATAAAGTAATTTTGTTTAATTTATTGCTTTTTTAAAAATAGAAATTGCCAGACCTTTCAATGTAGGAAGTTGCGCTTTAGTGACTTTAATAAAGGATGACAAAGTTTATGCTGCAAACATTGGTGATTGCAAGGGAGTTATTATTAGTGAAAATGGTAAGGAATTTTAAGCTAGAAAAATTAACCATAAGCAAAATGCAAACTCAAAGAAGGAGTAAGATAGGTTAAAAAAAACCTTCCCTTCTGATTAGGATATAGTCATATGTAAAAGAAATAATTAATCTGCATGTTATGTTAAGGGAAGATTGATGCCTACAAGAGCATTTGGAGACTATCATTTAAAAATCAAAGACCACTTTAAGGGTAAAGGATAATTTAATGGACCATACATTACTGCAAAGCCAGAAATCCAGGTCCATTAATTAAAAAAAGAAGATAAATATATTGTAATGGCCTCTGATGGCTTGTGGGATGAAATGAATAAAGCCACTATTGCTAAAATCGCTTACGAAAATAAAAACGACAAATCAAAAATAGTTTCTTCGTTACTTAGCAGTGCTCTTTAGCACGCTGCAGATGAAAAAAAATTAACCCTCAAACAATTAGGTGATATTCCAGCTGGAGAGCGTAGAAGTTTGCATGATGACATCACTATTGTATGTGTTGAGTTAGATAAATAATCTAATTGATTAAATATTTATTATTGTTTAACTTACTTGAATCTATTTCTCAACTTCTTTAAATTTGTTTAAATTTAATAATTTACTTATTTATTTACTTCTAGTTTTATCAAATTAAAATATTTCCTCTAAAATTCAAATTATTAATAAATATTTTATTCAATAATGAATATTCTTATTTTTTTGGATTCACTTTCCATACTTTATAAAAATGAAAATCCACTTCAAATTTATATCTTTAATGTGAGTTTATCATTTTTATCCTGGATTGGAAAAATAATATATATACAAAGTTTCAGCAAGATAACGCACCTGCACATAGACCCAAATTCAAATTGATTTAAGAATCACACTTATATTGGATTTAAATTTAAATCAGTAAGCTTAATGGAAGTATTAAACATTTTCCAATAAATAAATAAATAAATAAATAAATAAATAATGAAATTTATCATTTGATAAAAATTTGTTTATTTACTTTTTGAGTATTTTATTTGTTTAGAAATAATATTTTAAATATTTAACCAAGCACATATTAATACAAGATATTTGCTAATTAATTAATTTATTTAATAAATTTATTTCTATGAATTAAAGCTTTTATTTTTTTTTGTTTTGAATTTCGTTTAAATGTAAGTTTATCATTTTTATCCTGGATTGGAAAAATAATATATATACAAAGTTTCAGCAAGATAACGCACCTGCACATAGACCCAAATTCAAATTGATTTAAGAATCACACTTATATTGGATTTAAATTTAAATCAGTAAGCTTAATGGAAGTATTAAACATTTTCCAATAAATAAATAATGAAATTTATCATTTGATAAAAATTTGTTTATTTGCTTTTTGAGTATTTTATTTGTTTAGAAATAATATTTTAAATATTTAACCAAGCACATATTAATACAAGATATTTGCTAATTAATTAATTTATTTAATAAATTTATTTCTAAGAATTAAAGCTTTTATTTTTTTTTGTTTTGAATTTCGTTATATCTTTCAATGATATTATTTATATTTTCTTATTTGATTATATTTTATTGAAAATTATTGATTTAATATAAATTATAAATTAATATTACTTTTATCTCACATTTTTTGTTTTGAATTTAAATTTTAATTAGTTAGCTTTGTTGAAAAATTAAATCAATATTTTGGATTAATGAGAAATTTTTATTTATTGACATGCTGAGAAATATTTTAAGAATAAATATTTAACCAAGCTTGAATTAATACAAGAAACTTATGTATTTGTTTATAAATTAATTAATTTATTTTTTTCTATCTCATTGCAATCAAAGCTTTTATTTTGGAGTAATAAATTTTGTAATGTCTTCTTGAGATATATTGTATTATTTAAGCACTTCAAGAGTATGCTATCCTCTAGATGGTGGAGCTGAAGCATCAGATGCTATATTAATATTAAATAATTCAGTTAAATATTTTTCTGCCATAATATACCTAAATTTTAATAATTTGAGAGAATAGGGCTAGGGGCATATTAGAAAGCATGTGGTTTATCTGATTCCTTAAATATAAATTTTTATACTTTCTGATTATTCTACATCTCGTTCATATCTAAAACAGGAGAAACACAACAATCTAAAGGTTCAAATATTTGCATCCATTCATCTCTTGTTTTGTTTAGAATTATTTTTTGGAATTCATCAGTTAAATGCTCGTATTCATCGACATCGTATTAGTTTTTGGCTAAGACATCTTAATGCTCAACATTTAAACCCTTCAAAAAGTTTCTATAAAACTAATTTTCTATACAACCAACTGCTAAATATTTTCCATCTTTGCACTAATTTGATTTATTTATTTATTTAATTAATTAATAATAACAAAATATTTATTGAATATTTCAAAGTAATATTTCTACTTTAGTAAAAACCTACTTTTTGAATAAAAATCAAAAATGTTTATTTACTTTGTATGTTTAATAGTAATGAGCACCTCCATCGAGAAGATTTTTACCTCTAGGGTTATTCCATACACCTAATTTTTTCATATTATGAAGGAAACTACTCATATAACCAACGCAGTCTGTCAAGCTAACATCAACTACTTATCCCTATTAACATACACACATGAATGAATTAATCTAAAACGATTCTATTATTTTATATTTATTTAAATACTTTTCCTGTTCTTTCTCTTTCATATAAAGCAAGTAGAATACCAATAACGCCAAAACCACCACCGCCTGCAAAATCAGCTAAAACATTATTTGGAGGCTCTGGATTTCTGTTTTCTTTGCTAAAAGTGCCTAATATTCCACTATAAGATAAATAATTTATGTCATGACCAGCCTTTTGTTTAAAAATAAAACAATTGAGCTATACATTCTAGCCTAATTATCAAAAAATGTTTATTTCTTTATCAATATCTTTTAGCTTTAGTCATTTATATTTTGTAATTTCTTACATAATCTCTCAATGGTCCAGTTTAGCCAAAACCACTCACTCTTGCAAAAATGAGTCTATCGTTTTTAATATCGTTTGGTCCCAATCCAATATGCTCTAATTTTCCAGGTCTAAAGCAATCAATGACTACATCTGTCTTCTCCATCATCTTCCTAATTACTGAAACCTGAAAAGGGTCTTTAAAATCTGCTGCTAATGATTTCTTTCCTCTATTCAAATAAGTGTTTTTAGTGTCTATGCCAATAGGATTAACATTTTTCTTCCTATTTATAATTGTGACATCAGCTCCAAAATCAGCTAAAATCATCCCTGCAAATACAGTTGGGGCAAGTCCCTCGAATTCCAACACTTTAATTCCTTTTAATGGTCCCTTCATACTTTATCCAAATATAAAATTTTTGTAATAATTAAATTAATTTATTAATTAATTAAATAATTAATCAATTATTCATACTTTAAATTAATAACGTCATTCAACATAAGAATTCATCAAAAAAGCTAACAAAAACACTAAAAATACAAAATATCTATTTAAAATAATAATTGAAGGATTTAATAGAATTTTTAATAAAGCTGCAAACAGGTTTTAAATTTATTAAATAATAAATAATAAATCGATTATTTAATCAAAATTATCAATGAAAATAAGAAGAAAGAAAAACATTTATTTATTGAATTAGCAAATTATTTATTTTTTAAATTCAAAGAAATACAAAAATTATAAAACGTTTTAATTAAATCAAGTAATTTACTTATTTTTTTATTCTTTTTAATTTATTATTTATTTATTTATTGAGTTATTTTTTATTTATTGCCAATCAAAAATTAAGTCCATAATATGTTTTTAAATTATAAATTGTGTTTGATTTTTTTTCAAGAAGAATTAAATAATCAATCCTTCTTTAATTTTTTCTAAACTTTATCTGTGATAAGAGAGTCCATACCAAAGTAATCGTTTTATTCCTTTTCAAATTCTACAGGTCTACTTCTGTTTCCTGCAGCTTTGTTGGCTCCATCAAAAGTTCTAGCTGGTGCTTTTACTACTCTAGTAATACTATAAAATTTATGATTAAAATATGCTAACAAAGTAGTAATGATAAAAAATTTTACTCAGCAGGTTTATCGTCGTCTTCATCATCATCTAAGTTAATTTCATTATTATTTCTATAAATATTTGCATTGCTTCTGTCTGCAAACAATGGCTTATCATAGAGTTTATTTTCATCATCGCTTCCGAATCCCTTTTTATCATTAAAAATAGAAATTTATATTTTTTATAACAAAAATATTTTTGTGAAATTACTGCATCCAATCCAGAATTTTAATTGAAAAGACGTTAATCAAACATAACTTCCTTGGACTAGGTAGGTTGAGCTTGACCAAGAGCTACTTTTTCAGAGATATCTCTTTCCTAATCTCTAACTTACTTAGCCTTTTTATTTCCTGCATTTTCAAGACGAAGTTGTCTTTCAAGTTCTCTCTTTTCAATGTATCTCATTTGCTCTCTTCTCTTAATTTCCTCAATATTCTTCAAATCTTCCTTTGAAACCTTTTCTCTAACCTCAGTGTCATTGTTGGTTCTCTACTCAAGAGAAGCTGCTGAATCTTCGAGTAATTTATTTGACTTTTCTCTTGCTTCTTAAGCTTACTTTCTAAACTCTTCTTCTTACTTTTTAAGCTCTGTCTATGCCATGGTTCTAATCAACTTATTTCTTTCTTCTAATTCCTTTCTTGCTTCTCTTTCTGCAACATACAAAGAGTTATTTAACATAGCAAATTTATCATTAATTGTGTGCTATTAAATAAATATAAAAAAATAGTTAATAATTCCTATTATTTATTTAAAGTAAATTCAAAATATGTTCAAAATGCTTTTGATTTATCTTTAAATTTCTCAGAAAATAAAATTTTATTGTTTTTGCTTTGATTTTATGAAAATATTTTAAAAATTATATTTATACCTGTTATTGAGTTCTTCCATCTGCTTTCAATCTCATTTCGAGAGGAATAGTGTAACCTTTGGCGTTCTTCCAATTGGAAATGCATGGTGGTATTTTCCAGTTTAATTGATCTTCTTAGGTTAACTTACGAGGAGGAGAGTGCATAATGGTAGTAGGAGGAGAAGGAGGACCTTAGGCAACCTTTTTATGTTTAAACTAAGCTGGAGCTAATGGGTCGACTTAGCGCTCATGCATCCTAAATTAATAAAAATCAAAAGGAATAAAATTTAAAAATAGATTTTAAGAGCAAAGTTACTTGATAATTCTTTAAGATGCACCTGCATTAGTTCCAATAGCTTGATTATGAGGTGTATATGAAATATATTAAACATCATTTTTCTTGTTTATGCTATTAACTACTTTATTCTATTTTATAAAATAAACAAAAATCATAAGCTAATTATCCAATTTTAGCAACATAAAAACTTTAATCTAAAATGGTAGAAAGCATATTAAAAAGCTTACATTAGTAGAGAATGTCTTTTGGGTACCTTAGGTCTGCAATTACTATTATGTGTGATTTGTAATTTGTTAAGCTACTTCTTGGGAAGGCTTAGCTAATTCGTCTTCATCTAAATATCTATTACGGAAATTATGTTGATAATCTTTTCCCTATTTGTATGGTTGAATCATTTTCTATTCTTTTAAATGTTGATTTTATGTTTATCGCTATTGATTTTGACTTAAAGGTTATCTTGTCTGTTTATTTTATTCAAAATGGTTTATCCTTTTTGGAATTACTTATCTATCTATCTATTTATTTATATATTGGCTATATTATTTTTGTTTAACAAATTTTACAAAAATTTCGAATAATATTAAAAATTTGATATATTCTTTATGAATTTGGTAATGAACTTAATTTTATAATCTCAAACCTCAGAACTTAAAAAAAGCATCTCGCAAATTTATTCTATTCATTCATTCATTAATTAATTAACTCATACAAGCAGAAAAAATACATTTATTTAGCTAGCAAGCAAAAAGCAAGAGCTCATTGATTCATTCACTGATTAACTTTGAGACTAATTGAATAATAGAAACTATTACATTTTTATATAATCTTGTAGAAAAAATAAATGAATTAATTTAAAACTAGAAATCTTTAAGATTTTAACTTTAATAATTTAATACTCTTTTTTATATAATTAAATAAAATAATAAATTCAATCTTAAGATATGTTTCTAATTTTGGTATTTAATTATAAAAATTTTTAAATTATTTTAACCAAATTAAAAATTATTTTGGAAAAAATACAATGAAAAAAGAAAATAATTTAATTTATTTCAACCTATTTTATTTTTATTGAGAAAGAAATATCCACTTTAATTAATTATTTTTTAAATATTTAAGAGACATTCTTTTCAAATAATATTTTTATTTTAAATCATTTTTTTTTAATTATCAATTGAAAGAAAACAATTTAACAAAAGTGATGAAGAAAATTATTTTCTAAATTTATTATGGTTAATCTTTTAATCATTTTATTTTGTTATATTGAATAATTATAAAATTAATGTTATCAATTATGTATTTAAATTGAAAAAATGTTTTATCAAGTTAAAACTTTAATTTTAAAAATTTAAGACTTTATTTATTTTTGAATGTCTTAAAAATTCTTATGGCTAAACTTAATTAAAAGCTTTTTATTTATTTTAATGAAAAAATAATTTTATTTGAATGTAATTTGTCTTCTTTGTTCGTAAACTAAAGAAATAATAATTTAAAAAGAATTAAAATGCTTTTAAAAATGTATTTTGATTTTTGAATATGATTGCTATTGAGCATATAATACAAATTAACTAAATAAATCCATATATCAAGAAATGAAGCGAGATTTAATATAAATACTTGATTGCTTGGATGCATGGGTGATAGTAATTAGTAAAGGATTTGAGAGAGAGTAAATATAAATACATACAGACGAGCTTTGATATTTGATTATGACTAAATAAATGAGATAGCGAATATATATAATATATATAAATGAATGAATGAAATATGCATGTAAAATAAAGGAGAGAGGACAAGGAAGATGATGAAGAGGACTAACAACAGCTATGATGGCAAATGAAAGAAAATGAGCAGAAAGGCAGACCAAAAAAATAGAGAGGTAAATAAAGAGAGAAGAAAAAAATCTAAATTAAAGAAGTAAAGAGAAAGAAGAAAATTAAGAAAAGATAAATAAAAGAAGCATTGTAAAGATAGAAACCAAATTAATAATTAAAAATTAAAGAAAGAAAAATCAAAGGATTAAAAATAATCAAAGAATACAATCAAAATGGTTAAGTAAGAAGAAAAGTCCATCGACACTACCGTCAATCTCCACAAGCAATGCCACAAGATCTCTTTCAAGAAGAAGGCCCCTAGAGCTATTAGAGAAATTGTTGCCATCGCCAAGAAGACCATGGGTACCGATGACGTTAGAATCGACACTGAACTCAATAAATTCATTTGGAGCAATGGTATCAGAAATATTCCCAGAAGAGTCAGAGTTAGACTCTGCAAGAGAAAAAATGAAGAAGAAGGTGCTCAATCCTAATTCTACACCCTTGTCCAACACTTACAAGTCGATTCTTACCACGGTCTTTTGACTGAAAAGACTAAGGCTGAATGATTTAAAAAGCTTTCTAATTTTCATATTAAAATTATGGCACAATTATATCGCCTAGAATATTATAAATTTATTAGCATAATATAATAGCAATGTCATATATTTTAATCGGTGTAAAAATCTTATAGTCGGAATATATATATTTAAACAGTATTGCATAGAATCCATCATCGCTCTTTTGCAAGCTTTCTAATTAATTACTTTTTAATACATTTCATAATCAATCGCATCGCATCACAGGCATCATCAAATTTACAGCTATTTATTATTATTATTATTACTTACTAAGTTAAATAGTTAGATAAATAAATAGATAGATACAAAGATAGAATGATAGATAGTTAGTGGGTTAGTTATTTAGTTAGAATTTAGTTAATTAGTTAGTAAGTAAGTCAATTAATGAGTAGTGAGTTATTTAGCTAATTAGTTTGCCAAAACATCCAAGCTGTAATAGCTAAATCTATTTATATTATTAAATAGATTTATCGAATCTTAGTTGCTTACTTATCAAAAATAAAAATGGATGGATGGATACACATAACAATCAATCAATTAATAAATTGAAATATTAATATTCAAATGGAAAAACTTACTTATTTACAAGCAACTAATTAAGCTTTCAATCAAAAATAACAAAAAAACAAACAAACAAACAACAAACAAACTCATCAACAATTTTATGCATATCTTTATTTCTTAGTCCATCATAATATATTATTTACATATATTTCTACTTCTATTTAAATCCACCTCATTTACTTACTTACTTGCTTACTAATTTTCAAAAAACTAACTCATCTAATCTCAACGAATCTAATCTATCTAATATCATCTAATTTTTAATATCAATCATTTAAGAATATGAAATAGCATAAACAAACCATTAAACAAAATTTTAAATGTCTGCCTGTTTTTAATAATTTTTCCTATTTTTAGCTATTTTTCAGTTTCAATAAATATTCTATTTTATCACACTGAATAAGCCAACAAACAAACAAACTATGAATTTAATTTTTCAATTGATAAAGTAGCGATTGATTTAGTATTTAATAATTTTAATTTTGACAACAAATAACGTTTTAAATAAGTATATTTTATTTATTATTTTCCAAAATCAACAAATTATCATTATAAGAGTCAAATATAAAAACAAATTAAAGTGATATCTTTTAATTGATTTTTTATACTTCTAAAATCAAATTTCAAAAATTTAAAGGCAAAGCATAAATTTATATTTTTTAGCCATAAATTGCTATTTGTTATCTCAATAAGACTAAAAAAATTCAAATAAATTTTATTTAATTAACAAAGCTTTTAATATTTAGAATTTATTTTACAATTTTCAATAAAGATTTTATAAAAAATATTATATTTAATTTAAATTAAAAGGTATTTTGTATAACTATAAAAGAAATACATGTAATTAAATACCAAAATAAATAATCCTTTAACTGTTTTTAACAAATTTAAAAGCTTTCATTTTATTAAAATTAACATTCACTTTTTGAATTAAAACTTATTTTGGCTGAATCTTAAAATATTTTTAAGTGAATAATTTTATATTTAAATTAAAGTGACTTTGAAATGTTTGAACTAATTTAAAAATTAAATATTATTCAAATTATAAACTAAATTTATCCCCATTACCTTTTTCAACTAAAAATTTTTGTTACCTATTGTTTCAACCAACCAATCAAGTCTTAATCTGGAATACATCTGTGAATATTTTTCAATGAAATGATTGTCTATATAAATTTAGCAAATCAAATAAAGTCTTTGAAAGTACTTTCACTAAGTCATTTGTTTTTAAAGAAACTCAAAATTATTATGATCAAAAACATCATAGTTTATTTTTTGACTTTAATTTACTTATTAATTTTTTACTAAAATTTTATTTAAATTATTTTTATAAATTGTCATCTTAGAAATTTAAATAAAATTTAATTAATAATTTAAAAATATTTTAATTAATCCAATTATATTTTTTGATTTAAAAAAATAAATAATTCAATGTTTCTAAATTCTTTTTAATTTGAAGTAAAATTTACCTTTTTAGTAAAAAGAAAGTGTATTAAAATTATATAAACAATTATTGATTTTTTATTAAACTAAACTAAGACGGATTTTTAACATTAAATAGCTAGATTGAAATGTTAATACTTAGTTAGAAATTTATTGATTAATAAGTTTAACATCAAAGTCAACAAATATCTAAAATAGTTAATCATAATTTAAAATAGTAGCTTAGTTAATTTTTGTAGGATTTACAAGAAATAAAATAAATTTATTCAAGTAGATAGATTACTTTTTAATAAAAATATAATCTATCATTAACAAGAATCATTTATAAAAATTAATTATTGAATTAAAATTTTTTGGTATAGAAAACAATTAATAAGGCAATTACTGAATTTATATAAAAATATCTATATTCTTATATTAATCAAATAGAAACTAAAGTAGATGGACATGAGTATTTAAAGTTATTGCTTAATAATGTTGTTACAGAAATAAAGTTAAGAATTAAAATATTCCTCATACTTAAATATGATTAAATGTTCATAGTTGACGCTCGGCTCTAGCTTTTTAAATATTTGAAAGAGCGATATATATCCATCTATTTTGAATTTCTGTCTATTTTCAGCTTTGAAAAGTTATTAATTCACTTAAAACTCTTCATAATTTGAATTAAAATGTATACCAAACAAAGTAAACAAAAGACTGATAAAATTTACATCAGATCATTACAATTTTTTGTAATAAAAACTAATAGCTGATAAAAATTTAATCAATATAAATATTTCTATGTGAGTATATGTTGAGAAAAAAATAATTCATTAATAAATAAATAGAAATAAACATACAAATTAAATAAAAAAACAAACAAAAATTCTTATAAATAAGATATTAAAAATAGACTTATAAGGTAGGTAGGTAACTAGCTAGATAACAAGTAGAAGAAAAAAAATAAGTAAATAAAAATGTCTGATTATGATCGTACTCGTGAAAACTCCGTTCATGGAGATAAGGAAATTTAGCTATAAACCCTTCAAAAAAAATATGAGCAGATGGCCGTTGATCACGAATAGGCTGAAGAAAGGGAATAATAGCATGAACAAAATATAGAAAACGAAGCTAATTTGATGCCTATTCCTATTAAAATTATTGGAATTTGCTTGATATTACTATTTAGTGGTGTTGTTCTCTTCACCATTGGTTTAGTTGATATTCTCTAAGAAGAATCTAAGACTGGAAGGGATGTTTCTCTTCTTATTATTGGAGTTATACTCTTGATCCCTGGTCTTTATTACACATTCTAATTAATCAGTGCTTGCTTTGCTAGAACAAGATCAGAAAGACAATAAATATTAAATGAATTCCCCATAGATTACATGAACGATTGAGGAATTTCATCTGATTTTCAAGCAATCAAAAATATAATAAAATTTTCTTAAGCAAAAAACTATTAAATAAAAAAGCTCCATAAATTCAAGTTAGGTACTAAAAAACATGATAAAAAGATAAATAAATAAATAGATGAATAGATAGAGTATTAACTAAATTCATCAAAACATCTCTCGATTATTAATTAATTAATTATTGATAATATATTTATTAAACTTAAAATTAATGTAAATCTTTCAAATAACTATATAAATATATTCAACCCTATAAACAGATAAATGCACTTTTATAAATGTTTTTAATTCATTTTTTACATTAAATTCAAATTAATTTATTTTCCAAATTTACAATCAAAAATTTTGAACAGAATTCATTTGATTAAGAAATTATATTTTTTTTTTAAATAATAAATAAATTTAATTTACCTTTTGAATATTTGTTGAATTATTTACAAAAATGATTATCTTTTAATTTAATACTTATTTTAATTTAAAAAATTTATTTATTTTAATTTAAAAATTGAATATCTCCTTTGTCATCAACTTAAAAATATTCTAACATTCAGCTCAGTTATAATTAAATCTTTTTTAAACAAATATATATAATTATTTGATTTTCATTTATATAATTCATAAATTAATCTTATCTAAGACTTTTGTTTCTAAATTAAAAAAAAATATTTTACTTAAAATAGTTTAAAAGATAAAGTTTAAATTTATCCCTTCAAAAAGACTAAATATTTTTTATTAATTGATATCAAATTTAAAAATTTTTCATTTTATTTTTATTATTTTTTAATATTTTAAATTTAAATTTTTTTTAAATCAAAAATCAAAGAAAGTCTTTCACATCACATCAATTTATATTTTCTTTTTTACATACATTTTTGCTAGCTACTCTATCGTTCTTTTAATCATGAAGAAAATTTTTAGTGAAATCTTACAAATTTTATACTAATTTATATTTTTATTGAAAATAATTTATTTTAAAATTTAATTTAATTAAATTGATTTAAGCAATTAAAACAGATATAAAGATAGATTCATTCATTAATCAGTGATGAAGTATTTCATTAAAATCAAAAAAATAAATATCTAATTTGTTAATTAATTAATTAAACAGGCAAGCACACCAAAATGCTTTTGTAAATTATTCAAAATTGATTTTTTTATAAAAATTTAATTGGCTTGCATCAAATTTAAAAATTAATAAATTGTATCTGTGGACAAACAAGCATACTAATTAAATAATTAGCGAGCTCGGTAGTGTAGAAAGATTTTAAAATTGAAATGATAAAGGGTAAACAGAACTCTAAGCCTAATGCAGATTTAAAAAAGAATAGCTTGACTGCATAGAACAATAATAGCAATAGTTAGTTTCCTTATAATTAGTATAATTCTAGTGCAAAGAAAAACTAGGCTCCTTCTGCTTGGACTGATTCTACAACATTAAAAAAATTTGCGAATTTCGAAGATGTGAAAAAGAATAATTATGATTTTCATTAGCAAGAAAGCAATGATTTTAGAAATACAATTAATAATGGGAGTCGTAATGGTTCTGGGAACAAAGGAGATAATTTGTTTAATTCTTCTGTAAATTAGGAAAGCTTAAATTCTTTTTAAAGTTATCAAAGTCAAGCTGCTCGTCTTTAGGATTTATGTCCAGAAGATAAAAAGAAAATAGGAGAGCTGATTAAAAAGCTTGCTTAAGAAAAAGAGGAGAAAGATAAATTGCAAAAGCAGCTCGAAGAGAATCAAAAACAATATTAAATGAGATTGCAATAAATATACAAATAAAATGAAGAAATAGCATAAGAATCTGAAGACTTATCAAAAGAATTTCAAAATAATTTAAATTCTATTAAAACAATTCAAACTCAAAACATTGATAGCTCTAATTAAAAAAGTTTTTCTTCATAATAAAGTCGCGATGCTCTTGATAATTAGTAAAGCGTTGCTAACTAAAACATACTTTAAAGTTATAATACCTCTTTAAGTTATAATTTGCCAAGCAATTATTCTTCTTCTTAGTTTCAAAATATTCAAGATGATAAAGAAAACTCTAATTAATTTAATAATCCCTAAGCATCAGCTTATTAAAACAATGATAGTTATGCTTCACAGAAAGAAGTAAAAAAACTATTTCCTCTACCTAAACCTCCTTCAGTAAATTTACAAAGTCAATCTTTCTCTACTAAGTAATAAATTAAAAAAAGAATTTTTATCTTTATTAAATACTTATTTTTTTAATAGAAAAAGCTAAGAAGTTACTCATTCTGATTCGAAAAATCAATTATAAAATTAAGATAATCAATTAAAAAGCATAAAGAATGAAAATTAATAAGCAAATAAAAATGGTCAAAATCAATAAATTGTTTCAGATTCTTCAGAAGAAGATGACGAAGAGTTAGAAATAGCTAAAAAATGGAGAACTTTGAAGAGATCAAAAGAGAATTCTTTGAATGGCAGCTTTACAAATACTAGAGATATGTAAACATAGCAAAAAGAGAATGAAAAATAGCAATTTTCTGGTTAGAAACAAGAATAAATTAGTAAATAAGGTGAATAAAATTTCACAAGTTCTTTTAAAGATTAAAAAAGTGAAGAAAAAGAAGTCAATTTAGAATAAAAAAATATTAACAGTTTAGATGTTGACGAAATAAAATAGCTAAACTCTTACCTTCTGCAAAAGCTCAAACAGTTAAACCAACAAGAAATTCAAAAAGACACACCCAAATTTCAATAGAATTTCTTAACTTAACAATCTTAATCTTCTCAATAATAAACTCAATACAGTGATTACATCAATTTACAAAAAAATAAGCTTAAATCTGTTCCTACATATTAATTTAAAGACGATAATGAAGACGAATATGGAGATGAAGAGGATAATTATAATTAAAAATAAATGAATCAAATATAAAAGTAAAATAGTCTGTAAAAGCCTTAATTTTAATAAGGTAAAATCAAATAAAATCAAATGGATTATTTGTAAGAATAATAAATTCAAGAAAACAAGAAAACATAGGATAAATATGAGACAAGATATTAAAAGCAAAAAATGCAAATGAATCAAGGTAAACATTTTATTTAATTACTTGCTTCATTTTAATGTTTGACTTAAAGAAAAAGCTATTCATGAAGAAGATTCAAGTGAGGAAGAAAATAATCACGATGAACAAGAAGAAGGAGAAGAATATCAAGAAAATTATTAATAAGATTTTAATGGAAAAAATAATAAGCAAAATAATATTTAAAATAAATAAAAATATTAAAATAATAAATAAATAAATTAGAAATAATTTAAAAATAATTTATTTAATCAAAATGACAGCCATTTAGATTCTTCATAAAGCGAATTGAGTTTTGTGAAAAATTAAAATAAATAAATGAAACAATAAGAAGAGGATCAACAAAGATAGTAAATTAATGATCATTAGCTAGATTATTCAGATAACTCTTTGATGCAAACTATGAATCATAAAAATATGAATTAAACCAATAATACCTTTATATTTAGCGCTTTAAGCACTCCCTTTCCTGAAAAAATGAGTGTAGAGCCTGATTTTTTACAATCACTTAAAAATTATAAAATGGCTTTCCTCAATGAATAAGATGAAAGCTAAGTAATGAGAAATAACAGCTAAAAGATAAAAAACAGAATCCCAATGTCTCCTTCTTCTCATAAAAATTAGAAAAAAAGCACAAATAATTCAATCAGAAGCAATTCTAAAGACATCAAAAGAGAAATTACAGAAGCTATTGAAGAAATAGATGAAGAAGAAGCAAGAGAAATAATGATTGAGATTCTCAATTAGAAAAAGAGATTAAACTCATCTAAGTGTTCTAACAACTCTGAAGGAAGGGAATAATCATATTTTGTAAATGGAGATAACTCAAAAACCAACAGAAGCAATAGTTAAAATTCTTAGAAATAGTTCAAATAAAAACAATAAAACAAGAAAAGCGAATTTTCTGATTATGAAGAAGATTAATTTTAGAACGAATTTCAAGATTAATATGAAAATGAACAAAAAAAGCGTTAAATGTAGCAAAAAATTGATTACCAAATAAATTAAATGAGTTAAATGAGCTAAGACTCCTTCTAAAGTAAGAACTAATCATTCCAAAAAAAGACTAAAGTAGATTAAGAAGATGTCAACTTAATATCTCTTCTTAACGAAGATGATGCAGACGATAATTTGCTTGATCTAATTTAAAAAATAGAAGAAGATGAAATAGTAAAAAAAATGAAAAAAGGCCAATAAAAATAGTCAAATAGTTTTAAGATAAATTAAGATAATTATAACAATAGACTATTCTAAAATAAATATTAATATTGACATTTATCATTACTTAGTTACTTAGTTAGTTTGTGCTCAAATTTAATTAATTTAATTAAAATTTATTGCAAAATAAACTCTTAAAAATTTGGAAATTATTCTTTTTATAAATTTTAAAAGCTTTTAATCACTTTTAAATAAAAAAACAAACAAATAAATGAATGAATGAATTGCATTTTGTTCATTTCAAATAATTTTTTAAATGTATGTATTTTTCTCTCATTTAATAAAATCTTAAAATAGCACAAAAAAATTAAATTTGAAAATGATAAAATCAAGAATTAATTTTTCATCTAAGAAAGAATTAAATATTTAATTTATTATCAAAAATCAAGCTAGGGTTTAATGTATTTATTAAATTGCATATATTCTATTCAATTAAAAAATATTTCTTTGAAATATATTTTATTATTATTTAGTAAGAGATTAAATTTCTTATCAAAATTTTAAATTCTACAATCTGGAATTTATGATCTAACCAACAATTAAATATCTAATGATCAATCATCAAATTAATTATTTAAAGTATTTATTAAACTTTTATCTAAATTACAACATAAATGACATTTTTTTTATTATATCGTTTAAAAATATATTTCTTTATTACATGTTTTTCTGGTTAAATTTCTTGTAAAAATTTGAAATTCTACAGTCAATATCTGAAGATCTAAGCAAAAATTTAATATTTAGTGATCAATCATCTTATTATTTTAATTTATTTATTCGTTTTTTATCTAAATTATAACATTTTTGATAAGTAATTTAAAATTGATATTTTATCAAACAAGTTATTTCTAAATTCGATTTGATAAAAAATTTGTAGAAATAATAGAAAAATTATCATTTTTTACGATTTCCCTTTTTACATAAAAATAATTTTAATTTATGCTTTTAAAAAATGTAATCTAAAATATTAATTTATTTATTTAATATCAAAATCTATATTAACTTATTTATTAATTAATTTGAGGATACTATTTAATTAATTGGAATTTATAATGCTAACTCTTCTGAATTTTTTGATAGATCTGAAATTAATCCAAAGATAATAAATTTAGAAGTAGTAGAAATGAACAAAGAAGGAAAATAAGCATAAAAGCAATCAAATGTGAATAAAGTAAAATCTTTATTGAAAGGAAATACTGATGAAGAAATATTAAATCAAATACTACACTAATTTATTGCGAAATAACAGATAATAGAGCAAGAATGTTCAACGTAAATATCAATTAATTAATTAGCATATCAAATTAAACTAATTTTAGTATACGAAAATTATTTTTTTAACTATTTAATGCAGAAGAAAAGAAGATTATGACAAGATAATTTTATATATGGGACAGGCATTGTAGTGTTTGGAGGTTATAGACTTAAATGATATATTTAGATAAAAGAAGTTTACATTTAAGGCCAATAGCTTACTATAAAATACATAGCTTTAAGACAAAATGGATGTAAAGATTACAAGAAGATTTGAAAATTATATGACAGAAATTTAGAAAAGAATGTAAAATAAATAAATGAAATTTAAATTTTAAGTAAAAATTAAATTGATTTTACTTTAATTAAAAGAGCAAAATATGAAAGTTACGAAGAATTCATTAAAAAACATTTTGAGTAAGTAGAACATTTATTATAAGAAATAGAATAAAAGTCAATTTTAACTTAATTGCTTAATCTAGAAGTAATTAATTAATTAATATCAATATTTTTTATACTGAAAATATTTAAACTTTTCAAACATTAAAGATTGATGAACCAAAGTAGATATTATAAGATCAATAAAATGCCTCAGAAGTATAGTAATAATCAAAAAGCTTAAAGAATGATAAAAGAGATACTTAAAGTGAAAAAAAGATTTCAAAAGATAGCAAAAACCAAGATGAAAATGAAAGTGAAGAATTATAATTATTAAAAAAAAACATCAATAAAGAAATGAAGAATCTATGCTAATTAGAAGAAGAATATTTCACTAAATTAGAACTCATAAAAGACATTAAATAGAATTTTACTCCCTTCAATTCAGATGTAATTTATTAATAAATAGCTTTGTTTTATTAAATGATTGATTTAATTACATTTTATTAAATATTAAATCAATTATTATATCTTGTTTTTATTATCATAAAACTTAGAAATAAATGAATTTTATTTATTTCATTCAACAATTATATTTTCTTTTAAAAGATATAGATTTATTTGAAAAAATACTTCAGTAAATAAAAAAGCAATAACTTAACAAATATTTTAAAATAATAAAAAAATAAATTGATTCTTTGATTTAGGTTAAATTTTATTTTAGGTATAAAAAAATCGAAATTAAATTAAAATTTTTAGTCTTTATTATTTATTATCTGATTTATTTTCTGAAGCTTTAGAGCTAAATACTATTTATTTAATAATTTAATTTATTGATACTTCCATGAATTATTAATTTTCTATGATTTTTATTTTTTTCATTAGAAAATTTTAAATACTTTCAAATACAATTAATTTGTTTAAATAAATAATAATAAAATAGGATATGAGATTAGAATATTGGAAGAAACGAGTTGGAATCGAAATCTGATGTCAATCTTTTTGAAAATATTTAATTTTGTATTTTTAGTATTTTATTAATAAAAACAATCTTAAAATAACTTAAGTCCAAATAAAATGAATGTAATGTATGATAAAACAAAAATATAACTAGATAACTAAATAAATAAATTATTGTATTGATATTAAATTATCAGCTCAGCGCATATTTCTCTATTGGAAACAATTAAATAAACAAAGAAACATACAAATACTTTTGTTGGTACAATAAAATAGATTAAATGAAAAATGAATTTTGATTGATTGATTGATTGATAGATAGATAATATTACTTTTTATAAGTTGGGTGATGGATATATTTATTTAATTATTGTTTAAGCTATTAAAATTATATTTAATTTGATACTTTTGAAACAGGCAGTGGAATATTTTAATTATTTTATATTAAATTAAATATTTTTATTTTTTAGATATGAAAAAATATTCTTATCTATTTTTATATCATTTATTATTTCATTCATTTTATTTATACAATTTATTTTCATTCATTCATTCATCCATTACTTTTTATTTGTTTATTTGTTTATTTATATCTCGATAACTTTATTTATTTATTTAAAATTTCTAAAGTTTTGTTTTCATATCATCCCAGCTTATCTTTGGTGCCATAGTTGGATTATTACTTATTGTAATTCTGGTGGGTAGTTATTTTATTATAAGAATCTCTAAAGATCTGCTACATCATTGAATAAATCTACCATTTCAATTAGCTAGTTCAGAATCATTTAATCTTAGTATTATTAATTATTATATTACATGTTATTTTATTGGACATTATTTTAATAGTATGGCTATTAAGCTCCTTGCTAAGGATTATATTAGTTTTAAACTCCTTGCTGCTGATATTAGTTTTAAAAAATAATTTATCCTTGTTATTGATTTTGTAGTGGTGGAACATATTGGCCTTATTAAGCTGGAACAATTTATTATTCGTTTTACTCTTCTTCACTGCTCTCTTCTGCGAAATTGTGTCTGCAGAGAGGACATGTCATGTTAACATTAAGCCAAGACATAATGCAATCTTTGTGGAAGTGATGTAATTCATTACAAGGTAAGATAGTAATTTCTTCATCTATCACATAATCCATTCTACATATTGTGCATTCAGTATCCCCTTAAACTTTTCCAACCTAAAATTTCAAATTCTTAAAGTTTTTAAAGATTTGTTTTCTCTTTCTTTTCTTCTTACAGTTTTTGTAAACCATGTAAGGGAAGTAAATGAACAACGCTAGAGGCAAAACTAATTTTTTTATAAAAATTATTAGAACCCATTTATTTATTTCAATTTTTTAATAAAAGATTTATTTTTTAATTAATTTTGTTGAGTATTTCTAATGAATCAAAATCTTATTCTTTTAAGATTAGATAATTTATTTATTTATTTTATTTCTCAATAGCTAATCAAAGTCTTTGTGCTTTATCACATAAGATAAATTTATACCTTATTGGAAGCATAAATATTAAACTGATCAAACAAATTTGAAATGATTTTATTAATTTACTATTTCAGTTTTATTTTCTATTTAAAGCATTTCTAATTTTTAGTTTATGTTTGAAAAATTTATATTTTTACCAACAATTTAATAATTTGGACTTAAATAATTTTTGTTTGTTTGAAATTCATTCATTCATAAAAATAATTGAAATTTATTTTGATTTGAAATGTAATCAGAAACAGCAAACAAGCTATGATTTGCTTTCTTTCTTTATTTATTTCTTTCTTTTTTAGTGTTTAATTGTTTGTTTTTCTTTGAGTGATATATATATTGAAATAATGAAAGATTAGATTACCTATGGCAATGATGAGAATCAAGTCAAATATTTATCTATTGCAGGCTATTACGAATATAATAGAAAGATAAACCCACCAAGTGAGCGCATAATCGCACTATTGGGACTAAGGTTGGTTGTAGTTATTCGATATCCAAATTTAGAAGTAATTTCCACTAAAGAAGACGACCATGCCATATATAACATAGGCGAGAGTGACTAAAGATTTGATATAGTATGCCCACTTTAATAGAGAAGTTCTTTTGTAATAGTAATCAAGGAATTGCTTCTCTAGTGAGCGACGAATTTAAGACCTCTACCTATCTGTATAGTGCTGTTCATATTCTATTTGGCGAAGTTCATTTTCTTCAGGAGAGCGAAACTCGCCCAATTTTTAGCAAATATCAAGTTTATATGCTGATGAAAAAAACTGGGTAAATACAAAGAGATGATAAACAGCTTTAGCAAAAAAATAAAATCCCCATTGAAAATTCCAATATTGCAAATCAGACATTTCCTCACAGCGTTTACTGTAAACTAATTAAGATAAACCTCCCATACCTGCATCACAAAGAATAACAGCTATTAAAAAGATTCTATTATCATTAAATATTGAGAGGAATAACTTAGACATTTCGTAATTAGAATCGTCGTAGATTTCTTCTTCATCTATGTTTTCTTCCTCCATCTCATCTTCATTTTCATTAAAATTTTCATTACCCATATTTAAGGAATTATTCTAATTTTGGTTTGAAATTCCCATTAAGAAATTATTTTATTGTGCTTAAATATCTGTCTTGTCATCAGAGCTTGCTTCCCCGTGATTCACCACACCTACAGAGTGTCTGAAATTAACTTAGGCCTGATTATTGGCATTCGAGTTCAGTTCTAAAATTTAATTAGGATTCTTAATTCCTTGCTAAATATTTTATTGTTAAGGCAAATCAATTGAAGTATATGCCCTTCTTCCTCTTTGCTAGCTCGTATCAGCTTCAACATCCAGCAAAGGAGCTCTTATTTAACTTTTTATATTATCCTCCATAATCTTCTGCAATTGATTATTAGCGAAACTTTAAACAAAAGTTATTGTCGACTTTTCTTCTTTTAAAGTGTTTTATATAACTAAATAACTAACTAGCTATCAAACAAATATACAAATTATTTTCTTAATATTTTCGCTAATTAAGACCTATTTATCTATCTATCTATGATTTATATTCAATCAACTTTTTACAATATAATAAATTATTATTGAACTAATTATAAAAATAATTAAAAGAAGCTATTTATTTATTATTTGTTTGTTTGTTTGTTTTTTTCTCATCTATTTTAATATATTCAATTAATTAATAATTGCCTGAGCAGAAGCGATGCAATATTCTTTCTTCACAAAGTCATTTGCTGATTAGCTAGCATCTTATATTTTTTGTTTAAAAATTAATAAATCAAACAATATAAAAATCTAACTCAAACTCAATGTCAACTTTAAAGATTTCTTTTACTTATAAATAAATTTAGTTTCTAAATCTGACATTTTTAATTTTAAAATTAAATAAATTTTTTTGTTACATTTACTTATCACACACTAAATTTTTGAGTGACTGGTTGATTTATTGATAAAAATAAAGTTCATAAATCTTACTCAAGTATTTAGAATTTTAAAATCCTTCATTATTTTCTGTTTATTTCTTAAAATTAAAAATTCTAAATAACTAATGTAATTAAATAATTAAATAAACAAAACCTTTATTTTTAATAATTTTTTTCTAGCATGAAAAAAAGTTAATAAGTAAATAAGTTGCTAAGTAGATAAGTTCCGATTAAAAATAATGGGATATATGGTATATATAATATGATTTTAAAAAAATTATTTTTAATTAATAATATCTGATTAGATGAGTATGATTATATGGATAATTGAGATAAAAAATATTTAATTTTTTTATTGTGAAATGAGTACGATTTTCCATATCAATATTGTGATAAAATATCCCGGATGTTAAGTTCTCTCAATATAATCAGATAATATTTTATTTTGAATTTCATAATACCAGCAATTAGTATATATTTGCATATATGTAAAATAAATAAATAATACATAATGAATGATATTTATAAATATAAAATCAATAAAAAAATCTATCTATCTATCTATCAATTTATATTTTAGGTTAAAAAAACTTTTTCAAACTATTATAAATTAAAACACAAATAATTTTCAATTATTCAATCATTTAATATTATTCATCCTTTTTTTGCCACATTCAAAGACAACTAATCTTTTTGATTTAAGACACTTGCTTATTATTTTGAATTTTTATGATTCATTCAATGAGCTAAAGATTTTATAATAAATTTGTGTAAATTTTAAAATAAATATTAAAATAGAATAAAATTTTAAATTAAAAATTATTTCTTAAAATTAATAAATAAAATAGCATTAGCTGAATTAAAAATATAAAAAAATAAATCATATAAATTCAAATAGCTTTTTAGTTTTATGTTCATTTTTATAATTCAAAATATCACAATCCAAAACAAATAAACTGTTTTTACAGAAGGCAAAGTGTCAAATTCGAGAGATTAATGCACTTTGCTAAACCAGAACCTAAGCCTGATACACCCACTGCACCAAAATAATTTGAACTTTTTAAATATTGAAGAAAAAATATATAATTAAATATTTAATTAGAAGGAAAAAATGAAGAAAAAATATGAAATAATAAGATTAATTAACAATAAAAGAAAATGTTGAAAATAAAATGATGAGATAACTTAACAAAGAAAGAAAGAGCAAAAAAAAGCAAGCACAATAAAAAGAAAAAGAAAAAAGAATTTATTGTTTTTAATTAGTTTTTATAGTTCAAAATATCACAATCCAAAACAAATAAACTGTTTTTACCCTAGGTAAAGTGTCAAATTCGAGAGATTAATGCACTTTGCTAAACCAGAACCTAAGCCTGATGCACCTTCATCACCAATTTAATTTGAACTTTTTAAATATTGAAGAAAAAATATATCATTAAATAGTTAATTAGAAGTAAAAAATGAAAAAAAAATATGAAATAATAAGATTAATTAACAATAAAAGCAAAAGTTGAAAATAAAATGATGAGATAAATTAACAAAGAAAGAAAGAAAGAAAGAAAGAGCAAAAAAAAGCAAGCACAATAAAAAGAAAAAGAAAAAAGAGCTTTATTGTTTTTAATTAGTTTTTATAGTTCAAAATATCACAATCCAAAACAAATAAACTGATTTTACCTAAGTTGTAGTGTCAAATTTGAGAGATTAATGCACTTTGCTAAACCAGAACCTAAGCCTGATGCACCTTCATCACCAATTTAATTTGAACTTTTTAAATATTGAAGAAAAAATATATCATTAAATAGTTAATTAGAAGGAAAAAATGAAGAAAAAATTTGAAATAATAAGATTAATTAACAATAAAAGCAAAAGTTGAAAATAAAATGATGAGATAAATTAACAAAGAAAGAAAGAAAGAGCAAAAAAAAGCAAGCACAATAAAAGGAAAAAGAAAAAAGATATTTATTGTTTTTAATTAGTTTTTATACTTCAAAATATCACAATCCAAAACAAATAAACTGATTTTACTTAAGTAATAGTGTCAAATTTGTGAGATTAATGCACCTTGCTAAACCAGAGCCTAAGCCTGATGCACCCACTGCACCAATTAAACTCTCACTTTTTAAATATTGAAGAAAAAATATATCATTAAATAGTTAATTAGAAGGAATAAATGAAGAAAAAATATGAAATAATAAGATTTATTAACAATAAAAGCAAAAGTTGAAAATAAAATGATGAGATAAATTAACAAAGAAAGAAAGAAAGAAAGAAAGAAAGAAAGAACAAAAAAAAGCAAGCACAATCAAAAGAAAAAGAAAAAAGAGCTTTATTGTTTTTAATTAGTTTTTATAATTCAAAATATCTCAATCCAAAACAAATAAACTGTTTTTACTCAAGATCTAGTGTCAAATTTGAGAGATTAATGCACTTTGCTAAACCAGAACCTAAGCTTAATGCACCCACTGCACCAATTATATTCTCACTTTTTAAATATTGAAGAAAAAATATATCATTAAATAGTTAATTAGAAGTAAAAAATGAAGAAAAAATATGAAATAATAAGATTAATTAACAATAAAAGCAAAAGTTGAAAATAAAATGATGAGATAAATTAACAAAGAAAGAAAGAAAGAACAAAAAAAAGCAAGTGCAATAAAAAGAAAAAGAAAAAAGAGCTTTATTGTTTTTAATTAGTTTTTATACTTCAAAATATCACAATCCAAAACAAATAAACTGTTTTTACTAAAGTTCTAGTGTTAAATTCGAGAGATTAATGCACTTTGCTAAACCAGAACCTAAGCCTGATGCACCTTCATCACCAACTTTATTTAACCTTTTTAAATATTGAAGAAAAAATATATAATTAAATAGTTAATTAGAAGGAAAAAATGAAGAAAAAATATGAAATAATAAGATTAATTAACAATAAAAGCAAATGTTGAAAATAAAATGATGAGATAAATTAACAAAGAAAGAAAGAAAAAACAAAAAAAAGCAAGCACAATAAAAAGAAAAAGAAATAAGAACTTTATTGTTTTTAATTAGTTTTTATAGTTCCAAATATCACAATCCAAAACAAATAAACTGTTTTTACCCAAGGTTAAGTGTTAAATTCGAGAGATTAATGCACTTTGCTAAACCAGAACCTAAGCCTGATGCACCCACTGCACCAATTTAATTTGAACTTTTTAAATATTGAAGAAAAAATATATAATTAAATAGTTAATTAGAAGGAAAAAATGAAGAAAAAATATGAAATAATAAGATTAATTAACAATAAAAGCAAAAGTTGAAAATAAAATGATAAGATAAATTAATAAATAAAAAAAGAAAGAAAGAAAGAAAGAAAGAAAGAAAGAACAAAAAAAAGCAAGCACAATAAAAAGAAAAAGAAAAAAGAGCTTTATTGATTTTAATTAGTTTTTATAGCTCAAAATTACACAATCCAAAACAAATAAACTGATTTTACTAAAGTTATAGTGTCAAATTCGAGAGATTAATGCACTTTGCTAAACTAGAACCTAAGCCTGATGCACCTTCATCACCAACTTCATTAAACCTTTTTAAATATTGAAGAAAAAATATATAATTAAATAGTTAATTAGAAGGAAAAAATGAAGAAAAAATATGAAATAATAAGATTAATTAACAATAAAAGCAAATGTTGAAAATAAAATGATGAGATAAATTAATAAAGAAAGAAAGAACAAAAAAAAGCAAGTACAATAAAAAGAAAAAGAAAAAAGAGCATTATTGTTTTTAATTAGTTTTTATAGTTCAAAATATCACAATCCAAAACAAATAAACTGTTTTTACTCAAGGTTAAGTGTCAAATTCGAGAGATTAATGCACTTTGCTAAACCAGAACCTAAGCCTGATGCACCCACTGCACCAATTTAATTTAAACTTTTTAAATATTGAAGAAAAAATATATCATTAAATAGTTAATTAGAAGGAAAAAATGAAGAAAAAATATGAAATAATAAGATTTATTAACAATAAAAGCAAAAGTTGAAAATAAAATGATGAGATAAATTAACAAAGAAAGAAAGATATCACAATCCAAAACAAATAAATTGTTATTACTCAAGTTTAAGTGTCAAATTCGAGAGATTAATGCACTTTGCTAAACTAGAACCTAAGCTTGATGCACCTTCATCACCAATTTAATTTCTACTTTTTAAATATTGAAGAAAAAATATATCATTAAATAGTTAATTAGAAGGAAAAAATGAAGAAAAAATATGAAATAATAAGATTAATTAACAATAAAAGCAAAAGTTGAAAATAAAATGATGAGATAAATTAACAAATAGAGAAAGAAAGAAAGAAAGAAAGAAAGAATAAAAAAAAGCAAGCACAATAAAAAGAAAAAGAAAAAAGAGCTTTATTGTTTTTAATTAGTTTTTATACTTCAAAATATCACAATCCAAAACAAATAAACTGTTTTTACTAAAGTTATAGTCTTAAATTCGAGAGATTAATGCACTTTGCTAAACCAGAACCTAAGCCTGATGCACCCACTGCACCAATTATATTCTCACTTTTTAAATATTGAAGAAAAAATATATAATTAAATAGTTAATTAGAAGGAAAAAATGAAGAAAAAATATGAAATAATAAGATTAATTAACAATAAAAGCAAAAGTTGAAAATAAAATGATGAGATAAATTAACAAAGAAAGAAAGATATCACAATCCAAAACAAATAAACTGTTATTACTCAAGGTTAAGTGTCAAATTCGAGAGATTAATGCACTTTGCTAAACTAGAACCTAAGCCTGATGCACCTTCATCACCAATTTAATTTCTACTTTTTAAATATTGAAGAAAAAATATATCATTAAATAGTTAATTAGAAGGAAAAAATGAAGAAAAAATATGAAATAATAAGATTAATTAACAATAAAAGCAAAAATTAAAAATAAAATGATGAGATAAATTAATAAAGAAACAAAGAACAAAAAAAAGCAAGCACAATAAAAAGAAAAAGAAAAAAGAGCTTTATTGTTTTTAATTAGTTTTTATACTTCAAAATATCACAATCCAAAACAAATAAACTGATTTTACCTAAGTAATAGTGTCAAATTTGAGAGATTAATGCACTTTGCTAAACCAGAACCTAAGCCTGATGCACCTTCATCACCAACTTTATTAAACCTTTTTAAATATTGAAGAAAAAATATATAATTAAATAGTTAATTAGAAGGAAAAAATGAAGAAAAAATATGAAATAATAAGATTAATTAACAATAAAAGCAAAAGTTGAAAATAAAATGATGAGATAAATTAACAAATAGAGAAAGAAAGAAAGAAAGAAAGAACAAAAAAAAGCAAGCACAATAAAAAGAAAAAGAAAAAAGAGCTTTATTGTTTTTAATTAGTTTTTATAGTTCAAAATATCATAATCCAAAACAAATAAACTGTTTTTACCTAAGTTATAGTCTCAAATTCGAGAGATTAATGCACTTTGCTAAACCAGAACTTAAGCCTGATGCACCCACTGCACCAATTTAATTTGAACTTTTTAAATATTGAAGAAAAAATATATAATTAAATAGTTAATTAGAAGGAAAAAATGAAGAAAAAATATGAAATAATAAGATTAATTAACAATAAAAGCAAAAGTTGAAAATAAAATGATGAGATAAATTAACAAAGAAAGAAAGAAAGAAAGAAAGAAAGAAAGAAAGAAAGAACAAAAAAATGCAAGCACAATCAAAAGAAAAAGAAATAAGTTCTTTATTGTTTTTAATTAGTTTTTATAATTCAAAATATCACAATCCAAAACAAATAAACTGTTTTTACCCAAGGTTAAGTGTTAAATTCGAGAGATTAATGCACTTTGCTAAACCTGAACCTAAGCCTGATGCACCTTCATCACCAATTATATTCTCACTTTTTAAATATTGAAGAAAAAATAAATCATTAAATAGAGTAAGTTGACATACAAATTTTAAAAATGTGAGTTTTATTTACCAACTTTACATTTTATAAAATTAAAATTTTAAATATTTTTTCAGAATTTTTTTTCATCAAAAGTTGGTAAATTTTTCAAAATTTATTTTTTTAAAAAAAATGATAAGTTATAAGAATATACGGTATGTATATATTATTTCAAATTTTACATTTTGTGAGTTTAAAGCTTTCTAAAAACTCAAAAATAAAGCTATTTTAAGCTAATTTAGCTTTATTATTATATTATTAAGATATATTATATTTTGCCTTTTATAAATTAAATAGGCATTGTACTCTAGTTAATTAGAAGGAAAAAATGAAGAAAAAATATGAAATAATAAGATTTATTAATAATTAATAAAATTAACAAATAATGAAAAAAAAAGCAAATCAATAAATAATGATGATAATTTCTATAATAAAAATTATTTATTTAAATAAATTGAAAGATAAAAATATTAATAATAATAAAAATAATATTTTTTAATTAAATATACCGAAGATCAATATGGAGAGCCTAATGAGATAAAAGTGAAGAGCTTATAAACTTTTTTTATTAATTTATATAAATTTAAAGGATATTAATAAAAAAATTAATAATTACTTTTTCTAATTCGTAATATTTTTTAATCTATTATATCATTTTTTTTTCTTCAAAAGTATTGTATTGCAATTTATGAAATTTAATTAATTAATTATAAATGGATAAAAAGAACAAATAAATATAATAATAAATTAATTATCAAATATTAATTTATATATTTGGTTTTATGAAGAGATAGATATCACAGAAAAATTATTTAATATTCATTATTTAAACTGAATATTTGTATTTAAAACATATACTTAAAAATATATATAGTAGGAATATAGATGGTCAGTTATTCATTTAGTCATATTTGAAAAAATTCTAGTAGTTTTCATTTTTTTCAATTAATAAATTGTTTAAAATTTCTATCCTAATCTGAATTTAGTTTTTTAATAAGCGCTTAAAATAATTTTTTTTAATTAAAAAAAATGATATTGATTATTAATTAAATGAAAAAGAAAGGCTGATTAATAAAAATATAATATTAATAAAAGAATGAAGCATCAATAAATAAATAAATCTAGAATAATCCTTTTCTTTATTTTATAACGTGAAATATAAATTTCTAAAACTTAGCCAGCATAAAAATTTGAATGTTCTAAAAGAATTTC